GAAGCATGATGTAAGGAGCCAGCCCGTTCAAAATCATGCCCCCCCCCCCCCCCCCAATATGACTACGGCCCCTTCAAACCCCAAACCCGCTGCAATCCATTTTTCGGCCCCATTAATTTTCATGGCAAGTGACATAACAGGGTACCCCTACTAAACAGCTATAGCTAGCAGTCAAGCGCCGTTTCTACTCCCACTCCCATCTTGCGCAAAAGAGAGATTGCCAGGCGCATAGATTTTGGGGGTGTCTGAAAAAGCCAAGACACCATGACTGGAGAAAGTATTAAGAAGGCTCACTGCGCCGTGAGCTAGTGCTTGTGTGGCAAGCCGGCCCTCTCCTCCCAACTGCCTCTCACCCTTAACGCCATCAAGACTGGCCTTTTTTCAGGTGCTTGCATACTTTACTGCTCACATGGCATGCTACATGGCCTGGCATGACATGGCATGACATGCATCACTGATGTACCGACGCAAACAGTACGGACTTTGATGATGCGTGCATGCATACACTCGTAGAAGTGCATGTGTAGTGCTTTTATGCTCATTACACCCAAGGCAATCCGAGGAAGAATTGAATGGCTAAGCAATCCACCCGATCAGTGGTCGCCCCTGGTGGCCTCTGCTCCCACAGCCGTCATAACGCCGCTTGTCCTTGGTTCCCGGACGCTGAATGCAAGTAGGAAATACCAGCGCTTCCCTGTCAGAAACTTGGACAAAGACGTGGGCTCCAAATACAAGGCCCTCAGTCATCCCCTGCCACGGCACATCCGCAGGTCGTAGATGGACAAGGCATTCAAGACCCTCACCATGTCTCTGTGCGGGATGTCCTGCAATGTCTTGCAGGGACATCGACAAAGTCTCCAGTTCGGGATTCAAGGTTTCTCATTCGGCGGGTGGTGCTGCAAGGGTCCCTGCTGGCTTTTGGCCTAAAAATCGCCGTGTCAGATTTGCTTGACAGCTATAGGGATGCCAATAGTCCACACCACATGCACGTGCGGGTGCGATGCTCCAGTTGTGGATAGCCGACCGGAAACGACGAAGAACTTTGTGCGGCCCTCCACCGCTTCTGAATCTGGACCTTCCTTTCCGAACATCGTGTTCGTGGGGCTCTGATGCCGTTGCTGAAAACATCGAAGCTTTTGCCGGAAACCTACTTTCCAACATAAGTTCGGCTTCATGGCTCTGTTGCACGGCGCCTTCAACCCTGAAACCCCGTAAAGCTCACTTGCCCCAGAAGGTTGAAACAGTGAAACAGCCGGAGGTCCTTGATCACGCTGCCGAAGTGGGAGAGCTTCTTCGCCATGATCTGAAGGCGTTTTCGTAAGCTTCGGAAAGGGTCCCAGCAAGGAGCTGTCTCTTTGTCTAAGGCTGTTTATGATCTGAACGATTGTTTGCCTTGCTGATACGACCGCATGATACCCGGACCTCCTGAACCAAAAACCCGCGTTGCAACAGCAGGGCCTCCTTAGGGGATAGCCCTAGGGACACGAGCAGTATGACAACCTTCTGGGTGCTTCGGTGACACTGTTTAGGTTATTTGGTGCTGGTGATTGAGGGCCAGAACAAGGGCTCGCGGCTCGCATGTTTAGGGGCACCAGTCGAAAGTGACGCAAGGAATGGCCCTGGGCTTGCGCCAAGTTATGAGCCCTGTTTTGGGGTCCGTGTGTACGTATTCCGCAAAGTTTCGGGTACCAGGGTACACCCCCCAAAAAAAACAGGCCCCCATGACTTAATCCATCCCCACATACCTTCTCTCGATGTCCCGAGTCAACCCGATAGACCAGCAAATAGGGGCAGTGCCTCCGCATCAGGGACCTTGCCCAACGCCAAGATCACCGACTCCTGCGCAGACGAGCCGCCCGAAACGAATGATTCAATCGCACCGCAACCGCAAGAGGAAATCCATGACCCTAAAGCCTAAACCTATGCAACACCCGAAGCTCCAATGATAACCAGAAACACTTGGTAATGGGACGTGGCATTCTGCTTTTTTTCAGAGCGGTCTCAGGCTCTGGTCGCCAAGCCTAAGAGGTCCCACGAAAGCTTACCAACCCAACAAAAGGGTGCCCAAAATCAGAGGTGCCCTGGGTAGGATTTGGATATTCTGGGGGTAGAATGGCCTTTAACATGGTCCTTGGCACTCCCCAGGGCATGTCGGTAGAACATCGAGGCCACCGTCACGCAGACCATGCAAAGCACCACCACTTGGAGCGCCACCATCTCAGCATTTTTGGCAGAAGGCTGCGCACATGACCACGGTTTTTTGCGGGCAAACAGGTGCCTCGACCTACCAAGTGCTACAAGAGGAGAAGCCTTTGTCACCAAGGACCTAAGGTGGAGCCAGATACGCTTCCGAAACTGCCAGCTGAGCAGCGATCCCGATTGACAGGCTTGTCAGGATATCCAGCATCCTTGGCGTTGTTTAGGCACGGGGAAGGGACGTTATGGAACATGAAGCACTTTTCCTAGGCAGGAATCAGGGGCCATTCTGTATCGCTTCCTGGGTGCACGATGTATGTGTGTTGCGACCCCATGAAGCCAGCTGTGTCAGAGAGGCCGAAGGGCCTGTGCTTCTCAGCTTCCTGGTTCAGGGCCTGGGTTAAACGGTTAAACAGCCTTCGCAGCAGGCGTGTGTGTTGCAGCGCTCTAGCATCGCGGGGAAGTGACGCGAGAAGTTTTACGGAAGATCCCAAGCGCACAAATATGCAAGGTCCTTTGATAGGTCTAGGTCAGTTCAAACCAAACGACTCATATGACTTAGCATTTTGCCACATGTTGGGCTTAGTGCGTGTTCTTATGCCTGCGTGCGTGCGTGCGTGACAACTAATTATCTGATACTTGTTGCAATGTTTGCCAGATATAGGCGCCGGCAAACAGACCCCGCAATGTTGATCCGATGCATGGTCTCGCTGTTGCTGGACATTCGCCGCTAGGACGCGGTGAATCCCAACCAAGAACTTATGAGAGCTGTCAATGCCCTAGGACCCTTAGGACTGTCACGTGCAAACACAAAGTGAACCGTTAGAACATTACAGTACGACACTGACGACTATGCAGAACCAAGTTCTTCAAATCCGGGGGGCGATTGCGGAAGGTCCGGTGTGAACGCGCACATGCACACCATCATCTTCACCAGGCACACGCTGACCTTTCGCAAAGCGTTGAGCCCTACGCTTTGTGCGGATACGTGCAAGCAGTATACAAAGCGAAAGTTCAAGCTTTCCGCTTTCCTTGTTAGAGCACGGCTCCAAACTCCAAACCTCCTTGCTACCAGCAGCTGGGTGTCGGATTTGGGATTGAGCGTAAACGGATCGCTTTAGGCCAAATACATACACATCATACATACATCTTTTCTGTATATGTAGACACATGTTCCTGCCTTGCAAGGAAACCTCACAAAAAAAGCCTAATTGAAAAACTCCCAACACGGACCATCCAGACAGGGCGAGATAGGACTTTTAATATTAGCCCAGTGGCTAGCCTGCTCCTATCCAGGCCTATCCATGTTTCCCCGAAATCCTCCAGCATACAACAGGAGTCGGGCAACGCCCCAAATTGCACCCCCCCGCGCCCTTGCCCCCCCCGCCCCAAGGGACAGCTTGAGGATGTTATGCGGTCATCCAGGCTAGGCCGTGGTCACTGCGGCACACGCTCCTGACATCAGTGCCCTTGCTCTCCTCCTGGCCCCAGTTGCCTCGTCAACTGCGCAGTTTCCTTTCTCACATTTTCTCACCCGTCTCGCTCTTCTGGTGCTTGCCAGCTTGGAACTGAAAAGTGGACGGTTCTGGAGACAGGCGCGGCTTCCCTTGAGTCGCGCTCGCTCACTCACTCACTCACTCACTGCAGGAAGTACACACGTCAAAAGCGAAGGGAACGGTCGAATCGAAGCCTCTCTTCCAGGGCCGCCCCCCCCCTTCACCAAGAAAAAAGAAGCTTTAAACCACTTTATGAGGCAAATAGCATCACATTGGGACAAACAAAGCGTAAAGAGCTTAGCCGGCGGCCACGGCGTCGAAGAGGTTCAAGGCTGGGAGTTTCCACGGCCAGGTGATCAGCTGCACAACTAAATACCTCGAAGCACTGTTGTCGACTGGGATTTGTGCTTCGGACTTGGGAGAACACTTACCCCGAGACCCAGTGCAAGCGCCACCTCTCACATCTCAGTTTTCGCACCCGCTGGCATGCGTCAAGACTATGTATTACATGGGTCAATGGCAGGGTTCGATGAGCTAGTTGACACCCTGTCAAGGGCATAGCTATCCAAATGTACCCCGTACCCGCAGTAGTATCCTGACAATGTGATTTTCATGGCCGGCTGATTTCTGATACTGGCCGGAAAACGACACAGGCGCGCAGCAAACTTGTCACATCCTGGCGATTCTTCTGGTATCTTGATCGCTACGTTCGTGCCCTTCCCTCTGCCACCTGAACTGGAACAGGTCCAGAAGATGGAGGTCCCTAAGCCCTAAACTCCCTAAACCCTGTACCTGGGATGCATACAGCAACAACCTCCAAACAGTCACCGGTGAGGTGCACTTGTAGGATGGACACGATGAGAACCATCTGCACGAAAGGATAGTCCTTCAGCGCAGGCTGCTTGCTTGCCACCCTTTTCAACCCAAGACCCTTGCGCCAAAATGCGGTTCGAGGTTGGGAAAAAGCAAGAGTGAGCTTTGTTTTCCCGAAAAACCGATAACAACTACCCCAGAGCTATAAGAAGACGCGCAACGGAACACGTAACAAGGAATCTAGGGGCAAAGCTGGGCTAGTACGACTTGACTGGAATACCGTGGCGCAGCTTTCGGTGACTTGGATCCAAACAGCAGTGTCCATGACTTTTACAACACCCTTTACATCCCAAACTGAATCTGGTTCTGAGCCCCCCTGAACATCACGATTCAGCTAAATCCTATCTGCCCTGCCCCAGCGGCAGCAGCCAGGACGATGGACAAAGACAGCGCGAGACCCCTCGGCAGCAGGGCCGTTCCTCGGCGCAGCTGGTCGACGCTGGTGGTTGTGAAACGTTTGGCGCTAGCATCCCGTCTGGAGGTCCTAGCGTCTTTATCGTCTTTGCCAAAGCGAGACAGTGGAATTGCCCCAGGACCAAGGGCCCAACGGATCTACTTTACTCTGGAGATTCGTGCATGTCGAGCGGCACGAGCCTGCGCGGCCTGCCCCTTCAAAAGAAATCCGAAAACAGAAGTCTGCCTACAAAAATGTATAGAGGTCAAGGCTCCATACCACCAAAAGTCGACGCGGAATCGAGCGATCAAGAAGCGGACTGCCTGGAGAAAGGTTGCGTTGCCGCTCTTGGCAGCTCGAGGCGCGTACCTCAAAGGAATGCTTGGAAGAGGCATCTTTTGGAGGAGACCTCTTGGCAGCTATAGCTACAGTGGTCCTTCTAGTACGTCATGTATGCCCTCCCTGCTTCTCAGCTCCTCTCCATTCTGACTGTGGCCCTCCTCGGCCTAGAACGCTTTCGTTCTTCCTTTTGTCTTTCCATGCGCTTCTTTCAATCTTATTCCATCTGTTTCCTGTCCAGCTTCCTCCTGTCAGCTGACGTAGCAGCCGGAGACCTTTAGCTAACACTGCAGGTGCGAAGCCGATCACTCGAAGGATGTTTTGTTGCTTCTTTGCGTGACTTCAATTCAAAACGTGAGCATCATCACCACTTGCGGATGCAAACGGCAGTGCCAATGATGCTCGTGACACTCATGCACTCTCCCCGGAACATGATGAGCCTTCCTAGCGTTTGCCCATTCAAAGACATCCTCTTGGGCTACGGTCTCCGAACAAAACGACCCCGATCGAAACCGCACTTGTCAGCCAAAACGGCTGACAAGTGGAACGAATGTGAAGCTATGCTGTTGGGCCTTTCAGTGGGCTAACTCCGTATTTTCCGGTTTTCGGCCAGTGCAGATGTTGATCGGGGGCCCTTTTCTTCATCGAGACAGCAAGCGTGGCCACCCAGCAGGGTAATTCTCCCCGCCCTCCCCCCTCAAACAAAGGCAATTTCTGTTGGGGTGGCAGTGTAGTTATACTGCACACAGCTCGCACATCAATTTGAGATCCAATCATATGTCATAAGCTTAGAAATTTCAGGTTTATGGGACGCATCACCGCAGCGTTAAGAAGAAAGCATTGCTAGCAGTACCTTCATCCCATAACCGGGCACTGTTGGAGAGCATAGATCGTCCGAGATACACGGTACCCCACACCGCGAGGGCGTAGAAACCAATGAGGAGGCAAAGGAGAGCCACGCCCATCATAAACATCGTGGTGTGTTCGGGGCTCTCCTGTGTGCAAGGCAACGGATTCGGTTCTGGAAAGTTAAGGCCAACTCCGCCCTCTCATCGGCCAAGCGGCGAAGCAAAAGATGCCATTGTGAGAGAGCATTCCCTCCTTGCCATTGGGGTGAGCGTAGCACCTAGCGAGAGAGCCCGACGTTGTCTGGGATTTGGGTCGGGGGCTGGAATCTTAAGAGGAGGATTTCGGGACAACTTCTTCCGAGCATTGCCGCTCAAGGTGTTTCGTTCGAGGCAAAGGACGCCATGCTCAAACCTCATCATGGCTGCAATGTGTGGCCAGCATATCAGTAAAACAGAAGCAAAAGTAACGCCGGCAAGAAGAGTGACGCAGCGCCGCAAGGACAAGCGCATGATGCCGGGCCAGGCGCATCATGGGCTGCAGCGCGGTCTTGCTGCAGATGGTGAAGGCCACTTGGACCACCTGGACGAGAATGCGAAGAAAAGAGGGAATTCAAGGGTGCTGGGGTCCCGATGAAGGGCATTTGGCCGGGGCTTGCATGATTCTGCACTGCCATTGCACCGAGGTGTGTTCTAAGCTCTCCCGCTTTTTCAGGTCCTCACCCAAGCGACGGCGTCTTTTTTCCCGATGGCTGCTTCGAAGGTGAATGCTGATGCACGAGCCACCTGTCCCATGGTGCTGAAGGTCTTTGGCCATTCAAATCGCCAGCGCAGGGGAGCACACCTGCGGCTGATCCTCGGAGGAGACTCGAGGGTTGAGCGCGAGTGCTTTACAGGGTCCAAGTGGAATGGGGAGCTGCTTACACAGGCCAGAAACTCTCAAGTTGCATCCTCCTAGCAGTAGTTTTTGCATGCATTGCTCCCGTTGGTCAGCTTCCCGTGCTCAGCGCACTGGTCTAAATGAGGCCGACTCCAACGGCCCCACGTTCCTCGACTTATGAGGACCTACAGGCCGTGGGGATGCGACCAGGCCAGAGTTCAACCACAAGCAACTCCTCAACTGGGGGGGGTTGGTGCTATAGTCTGCGGGGAATCTTACTTCAAAGAGGCGCATCGTTTAACACACACCCCAAATACCAAACAGGCCTTCTCAGTCTTTCTTGTGAAAGGGTACATACTGTCGGACCTCAAACGCCCCCAATAAATAACTAAGCAAAGAAATGTGCATATACACATGTGACTCCTTTTGCAAGGAACATCACTGAGTCCTAGCCGAGGTGCACCGCAGCTGTGAGGATCCAAAGCAGTGCAATGGGCAATGCCGCAGCGCTGTACGCATACCTTCGGAAGGAAGCTTGAAGCACCAAAGAATTCTGAGAACACTAAGCCTTACTCAGCGTCTTCCAAGGAGTAATTCTTTGAGAGCCCGGAGCGCTCCCCTCTCCCAATGCAACCAAGCCACCGTCTCACGGGGTTGCCTCAAATGGTTTGGGATCTCCGAGTTGCGTCCGTGTGGTTCACAAGCTATGGCCAGTTCTCTGAATTGTGATCGCATTTTGGGGCACCTTTCATATTCCCACAAGGGACCATCATGTAGAGAACTGACCACACATACATATATGTATATATACATATTTATATTTATATTGATATGAATCCATCGAGCAATATGCGTCTATATTCATAGATGCACAAGAAGGCTTTTATGGCTGAGGCAAGGAGCCAGCCACGCAGTCGAATCCCATGGAATCGATATCCAGGAGGAAAAAGTTCCTCGAACAAAGCTTTCTGTGCAATGCTTGGGAGGGGCTCAGGCACCCCTTGGGCAAGGACTGTGGGCTCTTAGGCGGCTCAGGGATTCTGGGCGCCAAATCCAAGCCCCAAAGCTCTATATAAACTCGAGATAAGCCCATTTCAAACTTCAGCCCTATCAGCCCTAAACATCAAACCCGGAACCCTAAACCTTCTAAACCCCCGAAGCCCCTGCACACACCCGGAACCCTAAACTAGCCAAACCCCCCTGCAGCCCAGGAGCGTGGTCCCCTAAACCCCGTAGATAAACCCTATTAAATTCCAGCCCCCTAGCCCAAGGAGCATGGTCTCGAAGACCCAGGCCAGCTCGGAGGGCCACTCAAAGGAGATGAGGCCGATGATGCCGACAGATTGGAGCCTTGGCGTTTGGGGTTTAGGGTTTAGGGTTTCGGGTTTAGGGCTTGGGGTTTAGGGCTTGGGGTTTAGGGATTGGGGTTTAGGGTTTGGGTTTAGGAGGGTAGTCACTGTTCAGGTTTGGGGCATCAAGGGCTTTAAGAGGCTTCAAGGGTTCTAAGGGGCTTCCAAGGGTTTTGGGGTCGAACTTGAACCGTGAGTCCGCGGAGCTGTAGGAACTACAACGAGAGTTCCAGGTATGCCGCGTTTTCATGGGCACCCACACATGCCTTTTTCAGAGGGAGTACGGCAGCATGCAAAAATGCAATCCGAACGATTCTGGCTCCCCTGATGTCGCTCGAGGGTTGTCGGATGAGGAGGCAGCTGCATAACTTGCAGAAGGAGGAGTCGTTTGGCTTTCGGCGGGCGAGACAACCCTAAAGCGCAAAACGACACCCTATTGGTTCTATGAATTGCGCTGTCGATCGGAAGTCTTGCATTGCCCAGCGCGTGAAAAAAGGAAAGCCTTCATTGAAGAGCCTATTGCTACTAACGGTGGATCAATATTGACTGGGCTTTGCTACTTCATTGTGTGGGTTGAAGCAGGATTTGTACTCCACCTCAACTCACTGCAACACATCACCTCACACACATCGCATGAGGGCTCTTGCCCACCACTTGAGTCCTAGGTGCATGCTGATGGTCATGCCGAGCACGCACGTCGTGGCCAACATCCTCACTTTGCATGGAGTCCCCCAAAAAAACCCCAAACCCTGAACCCGAAGCCCTGGGCGACAAAGGGAGGTAGAGAGGTATGCCAGAGCCATGAGTTGTGGCAGTCAGGCAACTGCCATGATGTGTACGAGGGTGGCCACCACCACTTTCAGCAATATGGGCCCTAAACCCCCAAACCCTAAATTCGTTGGGATGGTCCAGAAAGGCTCACGTACGTCACACGCATCAAGGTTTTCGGCGGAGCCTTCCCGAACCTGTGTATCAGCTTTCTGTGTTTCGAAACAGACGCTGGAGCTGCCAACATTTAATTGCAGTCCTATGGACCATCAAGCTGACACAATACCCGGCCTACGAGCACCCGTGAAGAAGTGAGTTAGAGTCAGCTACGGTGAACTCAGCACTGAGCATGTCAGGCCAGGCACGCGCTTGCTCGCGTCGTAGCTGGCGAGTTGATAAGGTAGTACACAGCCACCTTGGAGACGAGTTCCATATTCGAGGAGGCGTGCGGAAATCGCATCATACAGCACTGCCCAACATGCTGGTTTACCACGTCTGCCAGTCTCCCCTTCCACCCCAACCTTGAACACTCCTAATTCAACAGACACTGTTAAACACAGCCACTTGTTTAGCCCGGAAGCCATGACATGTCCATGTCTGTTTGCATGCCACAGGCACCAAGGAAGTCATGCCAATCACAGCTGCGAAGACCCACCCCACGAAACCTTCGCGCTGGCAAAACTAATTCGAACCAGGCTTGCTCGGTGTGCTTAGACTGACCTTGGGTTGTAGGAGGGCAGGGCATCTTGCCCTGCCACATGCTCTCGCTCGGTCCCTATGAGCAACTCGGGCGTTGCTGCCAGAGAAACCAAAAGAAACATCTCAGAAGGAACAAGTCTGACATTCGAGTGTGCGTGAGCGAATTTGCATCCAGCGGCTTCCTCCAGCGCACGGGGTGCAGATGCCCTCTTCCAAGCTCAACCCATCGGGGCACTGTGTACAAGGCACCTCAGCTTTGAAGAGGCGGGGGGCAGTTTAGGTGGGGTTTCGTTGGGCTCACTTCCTGTAACTGTAGCTGGGCGAATTTGGACTTGTAGCTACTGGTTCTCGCTGTTGGCGCATGTGCTTTGATCCCTATACCTACACCTAAATTTCCGCCTGCATTAAAATCTCGTTTTTGTGGACTCTGCGCCACAAGGGCCCGACCCTTTGGAGACGAGCGACGGGTCTAAAAACGAACAGAAGGTCAGCACGACCTGCGACTTTCTTGAAAGCTTTTGCGCGCAGCCTCACGGCCAGATACAAGCCTTGTGGACTTTTGCAAATTCTCTTGCCGGATCTTCATAACTTGAAATTCTGCAAGGCCCTGCGTGGGAAAAGGCCTGGAAAATCTTTAGGAAGCGTTCTTGGAAGCATGTTCAAGGGGACGTGAAAGCACATTGTGGAAACACGGTGAAATCCGTAACCTTGCTGAGTTCAGTGTGGATGCCAAGCCACGCCAATGAGGCCACCCTTGCATGCCCCTGATTTTGGGTGGCATTACGCGTTAGGCTTCACAGGGGTAGGGCACAAGGAGGGCTCATGATGTGCTGAGCACTATCGCTTTAAGGGTCTGGGGTGGGGGGCGGGTGGGGCGGCTGGAGGGGGGTTGGGATTTGGTGGTGAATAACGTTCCTGCCGACCTTAACCCTGAACCCAAACCCTGAAACCCAGAACCTTTCCGCACAGCAGCTTCTGGGCTCACCGAGAAACAGCTACATATTCATCGAGGGGAAGGAATCATACAAAGTACTGGATATGTGTATATACATGACTATGTATACCATATACATATAGATAGCTAGATAGATAGATAGATAGACCGAGGCAGATATTCCCACAGAGTAGACCTTCGCTTGCCAAGCCCCCCGCGCAGCTCCCGGAAAGAAAGTCTCTATCACTCCCGCCTGGGGCACCTCCCGGGCACTTGTCCGACGGCAGACCTCAGGATTGTGAGTGGAACGAGCGCGGTTCGCCGCCGGACTAGTCCGGCGTGCAGGTGCTTTGGCCATGACATGCATGTGGCGTGGCGGCATGAGGTGAAGGCGAGGTGGAGGTGGGGTAAACAAGGTACTTTTCGAACAATACAAAATGAGATGTGAAAGGGCAGGCAAAGGAACTCCTGCACACACGATACCTAGCCATTTTCGCCATTTCGAACGGGCAGGTGGGAGTGGGGGGGGGTGCCAGCATGGCATGAGAAGGCAAGCCTCATGTGGCAATACACATCTCTGAGCCGTGCCAGCCTGTGACACTGTGATCACTTGAGCCGAGCTGCACTTGTAGATCTCGTAGGGTGCTGCCAACGTGGCATAGTAGCCTCGACAGATCAAGCTTACCTTCCCACACCACACAGCAACATGGGTACATGTAGCCACGTATACAAAGAGTCGTGCCGAGGGTATGCCAGGGTTCTTGTTTCATTCGTAGATCCCACGAACAATCAACAGCCGAAGCACCTTGCGCCCCAATGACGGCCAACTTCCTTCAACAAAAGAAACCCCACACCCGCAACACCCTAAACGCCTTAACTACAGACCATATATCCACCTGCATTTGTCACATGTACCCTACAAAAATTATCAGCCTAAATCCTAAAGCCGCCGTCTACGCCTGGGAGGATCGTCGGCTCTTCTCCCTCCTCGCCTGGGCTCGGACAACCCGCTTGGAGTGGAGGGGGAGAGGCGAAAAGAAACGGAGCACTCCCCCAACGATGTGGGGAGGTTCGCTAAGAATTTTTGAGGGGATCCTACTAGAATACAGAGCGGGCCATTGATGAATGGGCCCTCTTTGCCGCTGCCAAGAGAGCTGATGATTCTGAAGGGTTTTTGGAGTCAACTCTCGTGTCATAGCAGCCCTTGCAGTACGCATTCAATCTGGTAAATGCCCCACAGTTTGGAGTTCTTAGGCGGGTCTGTGAAAAGGAGCCGGAAAGCTTTTCGGCCTGCGAGCCCATTTCTTCATGTCACATTCGCCCGAGTCGGTGAACTACCTTTCGCATTGCTGTCTAAGAGAAAACAAATTCGGCAAGCTCCCGAGCAACTCGCTCGTGTCAGAACACGTGCACCACTTTGGGGAATATAGCCTACTTGCAAAACTGCAAGTATCTCGCCAAATTGCGAGTGCCGGTGGGCCAGTCCTTGAAAATGGATTCCTGAACTCACAGGGATCTAGCTATCACTCCCACCCAAGAAACCCCAAGTAACCCAAGCACCGTTCGACGCAGAAGCAAAAGCCTTGTCGCCAGCGAAAATCGCGGCAGTTGTGAATGATCAAACCCTATAAGCCGAAAATAGCACTTCAGGCTTCGGCGAAGAACCGTCGCCTCCTCAGCCTAAGCCTGTGCTGCCACGTGGCATTCGAGGCCAGCTTGGCACGAGACGCACTGACCCGACTCGAAGCGAAAGTTATCCTTGCAAGAATCACGTGAAGAAGAAGAAGAAGAAGAAGAAGAATGCCACCTCATGGTAACAGTACTTAACAGGAAGGAGCTTGCACCCTGTGAGCTTGAGCTTATCAGTCATTGGTCTCTCGTCTCTGCTTGGGCGGGTTTTTTTATTTTATTATTATTTTTTTTTTTTTTTTGGGGGGGGGGGTGTTTCGGTTTTAGGGTCGAAAGGGTGCCTTCTCTAGGTCGGAAAGCAATATGCCAGAGCTCGTGCGTGCTATTCCGCAAGCGCACTCTCAGTGCCTTTCTGTGTGATTTCATGCCACCCTGCTACTTGCAACAAACAGCAGCATGAAGGCAAGAATGGCAAGATGCTTCTGCTGCAGCCGGCTGCGACAGAAACAAGTTCACTCCATTCTGGACGCAGTAGGGTCCGACAACAAAAGCCCCGTCAGCATGCTAACCTGCCATTCGTACCTCTCTCTAGTGCGTTCACTAGCTTCGCTAGTTCCCCACTTTGTGTCTGCAGGACATCCCCTCAGGCACAACTACTAGCAAACCCTGGCATGCAAAATTTCCGCGCACACACCCCTACCCTCCCCTTCCCCGTCCCCTCCGCCAAGCGGCTGGACAGCGAATGCCTCATGGTGTGATCCGGCGTTCGGTGCGGGGGCGGGGGGGGGTTCTTTGAAACGACCCCCCGACGTCAGCCACTGAGACTTCAAGCAGAGGCCATGATGGTGACAACCTCTCGACGCTGGCATGACACCACCATACAACCTCGACTTGATGTGTCTGCAGAGCCAATAGAGGGTTTTTAGGCTCCGATCGCAGCCGAGAAGCATTCACCTTGCCAGAGCTCGCCATTGCAAGCACAGGCTGCAGCATCTAAAGCGCCCTGTCCAGAAAAGGGGGCTTGGTCGTGGGATTGAGAAGCCAAAGACGACATAAGGACCTAAGGCCATTCTTCGAGATTTGCAATCCGCAATCCAGCCTCATAGTTGGTGGTCCTTCCCGCCGGGCAGTCCCGGCATTGCGTGAGACCTGATTGGTCCGCATAAGTACCTTCCAGGTCTTTATGCCGAATCACGAAAGGACCGGTCCCGCAAAGACACAAAGTAAGAAAACGACAGCAAGCGAAGGGAGAGGAGTGAAGAGTGGACAGGGGTCAGGAGAGAGGAGTGAAGAGAGAGCGACGGGATGTCGATAGGCATCCAGATGCCCTCAACGCTGCCTTCCTCAAATCCCGAACAGATCCTGGTTGCGCCAAGCCCCCGCCGCTCTGGTTTGCAGGTGCTCAACTTGCTACATACGTCTTGCCACAACTTAACAAACAACAGAGGCCGTTGCCATAGACGGCACAGAGCGAGCCAGAGGGCCTCCTTTGCACTTGAAGCACTGTGAGGCACCAGACTCGTTCACGAAGAAACCTCTTTCTGCCGGAGAGCTTTGGGGAGACAGTCTTTCGACTACGTGGGGAGTTTTTCCAAACTGTGATTCGATCTTTTGAGGGGCTTTCGCTTTTCAATGTTGTGTTCTCTTGCATACCACTCAGCCGACAAAATACCTGCGAGCATTGTTGAAAGGCTGGAGAAACTAAGGGAAGCAGAGACCGCAACTGCTTCCACTGAAAGATCCCAAGCACTGCCATGCTTGAAGTGCATCCAGTCTCCTTCTTGGATTTGAGCTTTGAAAGCCCCAACATGCGAAAGATTCCTGAAAGGGTGTGCACTTTCTCCGGGTCTACAAAACGGAATCCCCACCTCTCTGGCACAACATGCAGGCGGACGATGCCTTCTCTTCACCTCAGGAGATGTCGCTCCGGTCAAGAGGCTCTCAGAACAGTGGCTTTGGAGCAAGTTGTCCCCAAGAATCTGTGAATTCCTTGAAGACCGACAGCTACGAAGGTCTTCTGGTCTGGGCCTGTGCCACGGGCCATTGCAGCACGGGGGCTGATGCTGCCAGCTGGACACGGGTAACAGCTCGCCAGGCCACTCACATTGCCTTGTCTGACTGTAGTGATGTCGGCACAAAAGCAGCTTGCAATGGTCGTAAGATACAGGGTGTGGTTCTCCGGCTGAAGGCCTGCGGGTGAGAGCTCAATCTACATACCTATGCGCACCTCGCGCCCGCGCGCGAGAAGAAAAGCAAGACACATGAGAACACACCCTCTGGCGACTCAAGCCTAACTACTTGTAAGCCCAAAAAGGCAGATCCTGGACGGGATAGGAACTGCATCAGTCTTGTTTCAGAGGGACGGTATACCCGAAACCCTGTTGCTGCGGCAAATCTGAAGTCAAACAAAAAACCCCTTAACAACGGGGGCCCACCAAGACCCCCTGAACCGCATAAACCCATGAACCCCCAAACCCTCAACCCAACGCCGACCATACTCAACGCAAGCAACCCGAACAAACCGAAAACCCTACATTTTGTCGGTCCAGGCGGCTGAAGTCTCCCGTGAGGCAAGGCTCACATTGGGTCGCGCCGGCAGCCTGGAATCGAAATTTCTTCCTATTTCCAAGTGATTCGCTTAGCTTAGAGAACTATGATGAGTAGGTCTATTGAGGAAGTCCGCTGACAACAGTATCACCAGATATCACCAGGCTGCTTCACAAGGTACCCAATGAGAACAATAGCTATAATGTATGGACTCTTGCTCGCTGACGGCACTTGATTCAAGTTTGTTCAAGGTTTGGTCGACATTGCTTGGGGTCACCGGTTGGCATTCAGGGTGGTACAGCAACGACCATGGCATTGCCCATTAGGTCCGGTGCAAATCCTGCAGCACTCAGATGCAAAGCATGTCCCAGCAGAACGCTCTATTGACATAAGGGTTTCGAACAAGGATCAGGGCTTGGGGCGTACACTTGTACATACTAGAGTACAATACATGTGTGTATAGATGAGTACAAACGTGTAGATACTGCTGGTTTACGACACTTTGATTTCAAGTCAGTGCGAGGCAACAATCAAATGAGTTCATACTACTGTTGCAGTTTTTTGAGTGCACGAGGTTAGCAAGCTTGGGTACTTTCCCGAACAAAAGTTCAGGGACTGAAGGGGGGACCCCGAACCCCGAACCCTGAACAGCTGCATCCCACAACATGCCAGGAGCGGCCCCAAAACGCCCAGTGGGGCAGTCGGTGCAGCCGAGGTCGTTGAACCTCTGTGCGAAAGTCGCCCAATGAGAGAGGTTTAAACTGTAGGCGTTAAGGATCTTTAAGGTTTAGGGGGTTTGAAACATCTCTCCTCCACGCTCCCGTGCATCTATGAGACCGAAGGCAGGGGTAAGTTGGCTTCCCTAAGTAGCTTGATGGGTGGGTTGTGCCGGTTGTCCTTACACTTGTGCTTGCATGACCCGACTCAACGAAGGGCGTGGGTTCTCAATATGCTTTTTGTGTGGGCGCATGGTCTTTATATGTTGCAGGGCTGCGGCGGTTGCCCCCCAAGCCGATGGCAGAAACAAATGTCAACATGCAGGTCCTTTGCTGTTTCCGATGGGATTGTGAATCTCGCTTGATGGAAGGGATGGGTTTCAAGGGACAACCCTTCACTAAGGCGCGGCTTTTTATAGGTTTTGGGGCCCTTTTCTTGGGGGGTGCTCTCTGTTGTTTCACGGGCTACAGAACACCCCTTAAAGATCAAGGGCATAGTTGAGCCAAGCATCCAGATAGTTCCGGCAGGGCACTGGCTGCTTCGATCCTGTAGTCATATCACTGGGGTGAAGGGTGTGCATCTCAAGAGAGGTGGCAGAAATGCTGCCAAAGACTGTGAGGGTCGACGAGGTCAAGTGCACAGAACCCTGCCTCTCAGATGAATCTGATTAACTATCTCGAGAACTGTTCCCTTCAGAGGTTTTCTAGCTCTTCATTGTGAACCTCGAAGCCAACACTGTATGACAGAAGCGACCAAACCAGCCCTGAGCAACCTGTCAACCCCCCAAACCCCCGAAACCCCCGAAACCCCCAACACATCCAAAACAACGCCTGAACTTCTAAGGCCAAGCCGCTGCTGGAACAAAGGCTGTTGCCATGTCGCAAGTCCCGCTGCTGCAGCTGATGGCACGGCCTCGGAACGCCAGCCAGGTTTGCCAGTTGCGGGTCAAGCAGCAACAGGGGCTGCTGGGGGCTACTGCAGTCAGAAATAGGCACTGGTTCGGACAGTGCTCGGCACCAGGTGTCTGAATCTTGGAAGATGTGTGCCAGTATATTTGTATCACTTGTATCTGCGTTCTGAAGCTTGCCATGGCTGCTGCGGCTAAACATTCAGCAGGTCTTCAGTACCAACGAACCCTGCAAGAACTATCAAACCTCGGTCAAACTACACGAAGATGACATTGCCACAAAGTGTCTGCTGTCCGTCGCGCTCCAGGTGATGTCTCTCAGCCAGCGAATCCCTGCATGCGACTTCCACAAGTAATGCCCGGGGCGTTGCGAAAGTTTCACATACGCCTGGCTTGCAATTCAATACAGCTCCCCACGTAGACTGGTGCCCCACTCTGCGGAGACCGATTCTATGTGCAAACTGATGCGTGCCTAGGGAATCTCCGCGCTCTGGCAGCATGTTGTGACAGTTCTGTTGCGGAATCTTGCTGTTGTTCCTTTCAGAAAAGGGTGGCTGCAAAGGAATTCCAAAATTCGGGGCGCGCCCGAGAGGTTTTGGGTGCTTTGCCCACGTGGTGCTGTTACTTCTGCACACCATAGAGATACTTCAGAAGTCCTGAAAAGATCGTTTCGGGCCCTTGCCCAGATTAACCTATCAGCCCGTGTAAACTTCTGAACCCTTCTAAGCCCCTACACTACACCCCAAGAGCGGGGCTGAGAACCAACCTCTGCTCAAACCGCAAGGAATGCAGATGCACAGTGAAAAGCCTACTTTAAAAAACACCCAGCGCCTTCCTGCACCTCTAAATGTCGGGATAAGAGTTGGCAAGTTCTGGGCTTAAAGCATTCACACGGTTCAAAGATTTTGGACAAGTAGCAGGTCAACATATCGGTCATATGTCATATTCATGTCGAAGCCATTTTCTGAAGTGGTTCAGCCAGATTTCTGACATTACATCGCCGGCGGGATGACTGTCCGAAAATGGCTGTGCGCCGCTACGCTGGACAGGGTGCAGAACCCTGGACACCCTCCTCAACCCTAAGCCCTACAAGGAGCCAAGCTACGGAGCAACGGAGCCGAGCAGATTCAGTGGACGCTGTGTCCACCCATAATTAATGAAAGACATTAACAACCCTCTATAAAAACCCTAAGCCTAAACCCTTCAACCTTCAACCCTCAACCCTAAACTACCCCCCCAGGCAGACCCGGCCTGTTGCCGTCCAGAGGCCCGTCTGCTCGAAGGGCTGGGCAGGGCGCACCAGAGGCCAGGGGGAGTGGCCAATGAACAAAAAGCACTGAACAAGATAAGCAGAAATAGAAATATAGATCGACAAAGTTCTACGAATATCGTAATAATGTATATATATATATATAAATACATATACACCGGTACAGGTCCACTGAGGGTTCATATGAGGAAAAAGAGAGCACCAAGAAACGGACAGTTTGTTTCGGGAGCCAGCAGCTAGGGCAAAGCTCGGCATCTGGGGCACGTATTGGGCCTATGGGATTGTGCACTTGGACTGCTCGAGCTCTGCTCCGAACTCTCTCACATGCTCTTCCGAATGGCAGCATAGTAGCACAGTGAACTTCCGACGTGCTTTGCACAATGGAATCACGTCAAGCTGTCGATGTCTGGCAGGACCATTGCTTCAACAGCCGACTCAAACCGGACTCAAACCAAGATGAAAAGCAACCTGACCTGCTGAACAAGAGAGGCGCCGCGCGGCCAAAAGCCCTGAAACTACGGAACCGAGCCTCCGTGGTTGTCCCCGCAACCTGCAGAATCAGCATCACGCCCTCCCGGTCTCCTTGTGATTCGCTTTCCATTTGCCGAGGGAGTCTATTTTGTGGTTTTTTTTTTGGGGGGGGGGGGGTGGGGTGGAGTGGGATTGGGGTTGGGTGGGGCAGGGTGCAGGCTGGTTGTGGGACCTTGGTGAAAGTCTCACCTCTGCTGACGTTCCACGCTTCATGATGAGGTAGATTCTCGGGGTCAACTGAGGATTGCGGGTTGCGCCGTACTTTCGAGCATGACTACATATTGGTCCGATGCCAAGGTCTGTGTGGTCTACTCAGAACAGTTTGGCGGAGAGCCACGTATGTGGGGGTGCACGTTCCAAAGAGCCGCTTGCATTACTATGATGGCGACTGCTGCTGTTGCTTCAGGCTCTTGTGGCGAGCTTCACACCGTCCGAAATGAAGGTGTGTTCGGAGCAATAGAAGCACTCTTCACGCCCAGCCCTTCAAGAGCAAGCTTGTTGTGTCGATAGTCTCATGTGAAGCACGACATAGCACGACTGTGTAGACTTGGCAACCCTTAAACGGCAACGCCGTTAGTGGCTGTGATGGGCACATGGGGCTGCAAATGGGGCTGGGCAGAAGCAAAGTGGCCCCATAATCTGTATAACAGGGGCGAAGATGATACTCAGCTCCTAAACCCTAAACTCTAAACCCTAGACTCTAAACCCTTAGCCCTAAGCCCTAAACCCAAGCGGTCCATAGGATGGAGGGGTGGTCGTCGGCTCCACGCTGTTGAAGAGCCGCACCCGGCCGGTGATTCCCATGTAGTCCTGTCTGGGGTGCCCTGAAAACCTTAAGCTGACGGAAACTGAACACATTGTATCATGAGGATCTTGGAAAGGCAGGATGGCCCATGCACTGCTTAAACGAAATCTATAGCGCAAGACTTCGGGCGGGAGGGGGGGTTCCGAGGCTTCATAAATCATCAGTAGGATGCAAGTCACTGCACTTGCAAACCACAATAGTACCAAAACAATTCCTCCGAAAAGACTTTGCCTATGAACCTATGAACCCCATATTCCGAGATTACATCAAACACCCGGGCTGGCTCTGGCGCGACCCAACTACGAAACTCCAACCACAGTTCAAGGTCCTTTGCGTCTGCGCCTCTTTAGGAACTCTTCTTCGAGGACAGCTTCAGCCATGAACCCTCAAACCCTAACCCTGCGACATATACGTCATTGTGCAGCAAAATCTTGAAAAGGACTCGGACACTAATTACTCGACCCCCTCTCAATCCCTGAGATCCAACATCGGGCGCCTGGTGAAGGGTGAGCTGGTACAGGGCCTCCCGGGAGAAGTCGGTATTGAGCTCGTCATAGGACCTGCTCAGCTGCTCAAATGCCCATCATGCGAGTAATCAAAACTTCTTGTGTAGATGAGCATCCACTTTTCACTTTTTCCGCGCATCATCCAAAGCCTCCCTCCACTTCCCACCCACCCCCGTCCCTGTGCCGGCACAAGGCTGAGGCCCCTCGGAACGGTCGACTTCCGCTGTCACAAGCACTTGCCGCACCTGTTCTGGTCGATGAGGAAACCATGAAGGACGGTTGCCTTTGTCCATGCAAGGGTGACGCACTTGGTAGGTACTCGGGGCAGCATCATGTGAAATTCCATCGTGTGATCATCAACCGATTTCGGCACACGATGCTACCTCCTGTTAGATGCACCAGGCCCTGACAGAGCCACCGAGCAAATCTCATGTGTAGGGGTCGTATGATAGAGGCCGTCTGAGGACGGGCTGTGCAAAGGGTCCATCAGGTTACCTTCACGATACGAAGCCAGGGTGCAACTTGCCAAAGCCCATCCTCAGCTTGCTTCACTTTCAAAGTGGGAGAGTGGGAGTTGTACTTTAGCCTTACCCAGTATGTCAGAGGCGGAAGGGCCAGCCGTAGGTTGAGCGGGCCTGTTGGCACTGGGTTCAAACGTTGGGCTTTAGGGTTGTAGCAGGCCATTCAGTGTGAGGCTCAGGGTTTTGTACGCCTGGTTTACAGCCCCACCAAACCGATTCATCTGGCACTTTGATGATGTTCATGCAGTTTACACAACAACCAGGAGCGTCACTGGATTTACTCAGCAACATGATGGACCCACATCACCAAAATACCCTCGGGAAGATACCCTTTAAAGGGATGCTTGGGCGAGACCGGGGGGGGGGGGGGGGGCAAGAAAGCCACAATGGCTGGAAGCGCAACTCCATGCCCTCAAAACAAAACCATTGTAATGAGAACCTAACCCCCGCCAAAACCAAAAACAAAACCCTAAACCCAAGAAAGCCCTTATAAAACCTCCTGAAAACCCCCTGAACCCCCCCCAAAAAAAAAACAAAAACAAGCGGGGCTCGTAAATGTAGCCCATGGCGTCCGAGCAGATTCCCGTCCTTTCTGTCTTCGGTTGTTATCTGTTTTTATGCGTAGGACGTAAGGTTTTGAGGGCTTTTTGGCGTTGTTGAGGGCTTCGAGAACTTGTTTGAAAATGGCTTGCCATAGGTTGTTCCTGAGTTTCGTCAGGGCATGGAGGGTTAGGCTTCTGGTGGACTCCCTGTACTGAGGATTGCAGTAGTTACTGGGGGGGGGGGGGGGGGGGGGCACCTGTATGTTGGCGAAGTACCCTTAGGGTTGCTATAGGTTCCAACCTGGGTTCAGGTCATTCGGGCGCATTCCGGAAGTGGGGGAGCCAGATCCATGATGAACTTCATTGCGAGATACAGGTATCCCGCTTTCCGTTTTACTGAGTCTTGGTGATTTGGCCGGACGTGGGGTGATGCCGCTGCCAGTCCCATGAAGCGTTCGCTGACCCAAGCAACTGGCCTAAAGCTGATGTGGAGTACCCCGTGTTTGGTATACTCGTCCCGCAGGCAAAACGGGTGAGGGGGGGGGGGGGGTTGCCATATTAGGGCCCAAGGCTCCCGTTGCCCCAAGCGGCGCAGTCCTTAGCACCAGTGTTGCAGGTGAAGTGCTAAAGTTAATATTTTTAGGGTTCAGGAGCTTCTTGGGTTTTAGGGCTTTTTGGGCAAGCTCAGGAGGGAGGAGGAACGCGATGGCAGTGGCTGTGGACTGGGTCTTCGCATCCGTTTGTGCTCATCGATGCTGCGTACAGCTTTGTCTACAGCCAAGGACATCACAGGAGATTTGGGGGGGAGTTCGAGTTCAGGCTCCTGCTACGACCCCTCGGATATGATAATGAAGTGACGGTCTAAACCTGTTGCAATCTGCACACAAGTACACACTGTGTAGCTGCTGCGTTCCTGAGACAGTCAACTGGTGCGACCCAGCGGTAAACTACCCTGCGCTTGCGAATCCTGAGTGTGCGGCCCTATAGTCGTGAACGGATAGTTCGGGTGGTTTGCCAACAGCTGTATTTGCAGCTCTGTACGAGAATAGTCAACATGTCCAGTCTCGGTGTGCTGAGCGATGTCTTCAAGAGCTCTCGAGAACGAGCAAAGGGCAGCCTATAGCATTGCAGCCACTTGCTTTTCATACCCAGTAGCAAGCAAAAAACACACAGGTAGGCTTGTGACGTGCCGGCTCACCACTGCAGCTGGGCCACTCTGTAGTAGTCCTTGCAGGCATGTGCGGGGAGAACATCGCGGGCTTGGCAAGCTGATCTTCGGGGATCGGGAAAGTTCTTGGGGCAACCCGCTCCGCGCAGACTTTCTGAAAGTTCCCGCATCCCAGATCTCCCTCTTGGGCTTGAGGTTTATGAGGGCTACAAGGGTTTAGGGTTGAGGGTGATGGCTTATTTTAGGCTTTATAGGGCCTACGCAAGGTCCTTAATTAAGGGTTCCTCTCTTTGAATCCAAGGTTCGTCAGAGATGTCTGAGAACCTTCGGCCTGAAAGGCCGTGCACGTCGTCCGTTTTCCTGAGTTGCATGTCAGCAAGCATGGTTCTCTCTGAGAACGACCCAAAAGCCGTTGCAAAGGAAGGGCTCCATTGAGATCCATGCTTAGCGCATTCTAGGTAAATTGGGGGCTGCGCATGAGCTCATGGCTCCCACGCGCCGTTCCACCTTTTCCCTTTTCGCACCACCCGACGAACGTTGGCTCCGCGTGTTCCGCGATATCCGAGGCGGGCACATATGCATGGACATTGCATGTCGGTTCAAGTCAACCTCAAGAGCGAAGCTGGACATGACTGCATTCTTTCTCAATGACATCACGGCGGAATTGAACCCCACGAAGCTCAAGATTGCATGGCTAATCGGTGTGCACCGTGCGTGCGCGCGTCTTGGAGGGACATTTTGTGTTCCGTACAGCTGTCTTTAGAGCCTCTTCAGTTGGATCTATGTCAATCATACGTTACATGGCAAGTTGGTGCAATGTTCCGTATTTACAAGAGAATCGTTGTGGCATCAGCTTTCGACGGGGTGGGATGGGCCTGGAGGCGCTCTGGACCATCAGATCTGCGTCTCGACTACCACACACACAAGATCATGTCGACCCTCAACCAGAAGGAATTTTTTAAAGCAAATATATATATATATATATATATAGATATATAGATAGACCTAAACAGAGGGCCCTAAGAACTTTTCATGTAGCCCCCGGTACTTCCAAGCTGCAGTCGGAAACCCAAAGCCCTCAGCTGCCCTAAAGCAAGGCTCTGCATGGGACCATAGGTGTATGCCATCATCCCCCAGGCGGCGTGCAGGACCTCCTCTGCGGAACAAGGACCTTCAAGGCACCGGAAAGCACAAACAGGGCTCCAACTTGCATTTACCAAGGTATGTTTGCAGGGTATCAGTGTGTTGGGGTGTCAACACACAGATGTTCAAGGCATCCGTAACGGGATGTGCGGCGCAAGAGTGACTGTCGTAGAAGCTGTGAGCAGGGTCAATACACTCCTTCTTCGCCACTCCGGGAGCTCCAGCCAACAATCACAACAAATGACAGAGAATGGCAGAAGTCCTAACAATATTGACATCAGCAAGCTGAAAGGAGTGCCTGCAAGCGATGGCCGAGAGGCCTCCCCCCCCACCCCCACTTACGAGGGGTCTGGATTCTAGACTGTCATTTGACACACAGAGATTTGGACTTTGCAGGGACATCACAGTCAGGGGAAGAGCATATTCATAGCCACTCTGCCATCAGTTCTGCAGCCATGGGACATGTCGCGGTGCCGGCTGCGGCATTCATGAAGTTCTGGCTCCTCAGCTCGTGACTGGGTTTCGGCTTTGTGTACAGCTTCCCAACAATTCCTGACATGGTCTTCTACAGCAACTGATGGAATGAATGACACCCACATCGTGAGCCTGTGTGTCGTCTGAACTGTTCGCCCTCCTGCTCAAGATGATTCTCACAATCGCGACAAGTTGGCTACAGTGCCTGTTGGTTTTCTCAGGGAACGAAGGCGTGCCGGACTGCCGAGCAGGACCTCCTTTGTCATGTTAGTTGCGTTTTGTTCCCATGCGTGACTCTCATATTCACATCAATTGAATGGCCAGCTTGCATCACATTGCCCGGACTCTCGGGAAGTATGGAGCATCGTGGTGCAACTGAGACGTGCTCTGAGACACTTCTACGCTTCAACGGACTGCTCGAAGTCTTCGAGCTGAGTCGGCTTTCAGAACACAGAAAGGTTTAATCTATTTCATGTACATACTGTTCCCCTGAAACTGTCTGAATGCTCAATTCACTAGAATGTGCTCAGGAAAGTCGCACTATGCAGTTTGACCCACTGTAGCAGGATCAGAACAAGAACATGCAAGGCTCCACCAGCCATTCAAGAGCATCCAGTTGTAGTCTGGCGCAAGCCTCGGGAAAGTTTCGCGACGCTTCCAATGACGATCTGGCAGTTCTAACTCATCATCCATCATGATGCTACTTGCGCCGTACGGTGATTCCCAGGAAATCGCGTCGGTCTCAGAAGTGTTCGAATGGGCTTTTGACATAAGCCCGTGATCTGCAAGAGCCGCGGCAGCGCCGCTCTCGACTACAGGCAACACCAAAACTCCCCCAGACCCAGTTCATTGCAGTAAAACGTACCTATTAGCAACGCAGAAGCCCTCAACCCCAAACCCTCAACACAAGTAGGGACAAACCTGAACTCCGAAAAAAGTGGACAATGCACGTATGCCTCTTCCATGGCCCTCCCTCCTAAAACCTCCTAAGCGTCCCGCCCAAGACGGTCTTTAGGTGAGTGCACCATCTTACTGCCTGCATCATACATGAACGCGCGTAACTTCCGGATGTGCCCCAGCCCCAAATATGGATTCACGTTGCTTTTGTCAGGTTGTGGGGTAGCCAAGTCAAGCAGTTCATGTTGCCGAGAAAAACCCTACATGGAATCCTCTTGAACGCCACAATGGGCCCCACAAGAACATGAAATGGGAACAAGGTCACTATAGAAGCTGTCACAGATAGCCGGATGCACCCTTTGCACCCATACACCTTGATCCCAAACCCTTTTGTTGCCCGAGTTCTCGTATTCTCGTCCTCAAATATCAAGCCAGGGCTCATGCCATGCCTGTATGCCTGGCAGAAAACCATGGCTCCCTCGCCCTGGCAGTCCGGACAGTCTGGAGAGATTTGAGGGTTGAAGGGTGGGCTTTGATTCCATACTTCATGGGAGGAGGGGGACTTCGGGAATTCGGTACTTCATACACCTAAACTTGAGCTGTGGTAGAGCTTTCAAAGGGCGTAGGGCCCAGGAGTCCCGCGCCCTCCCTCCTTCTTCTTATTCGAAGTGGGTCGGACCGTGTATTTGCATAAAGGTGCAAAAAGAGGTTCCTTCTTCAAATGACGTCTTCCCGGGCCTGGTAGGAAGCAATCACACTCATGCGGGCATCCCGCTTGCGCTTCAATTCCACTGCCTCAGCTGAGATGTGTCGATGTCCGTTTTGGGACGAATCTTAAAAGCCGTTCAGCGCCGTTTGGCAGGTCGGTTTTCTTGACAAGGCGGTATGCGCCCTGCACAAGGCACTCAGTCTGGTCGCGACAGCAGAATTGCAAATGTAGCCGAAACAACATGACCAAGGGTTAAATTTGTCTGTGGCGCATGCAGGAGTTGGATGCGGGGGAGTGGACACGCATGGTCTTGCATTCAAAGCCCACACAAGTATGAGCACAACATGAACACCGCATCTCGAGCAAGGCAGGACACAGTGAGCCCAGTGCCCTGTTAGGGTGCACTTGTGGAGTTCAAAGGCACGAGAGAGAAGGTCGAGAGCTCGAAGTCAAGACTTAAATTGTGGGGGGATGTTCTGAAAGGATCAACTTCGCACGTCCCAGGGGCAGCTGCGGCAGAATCCACATCCTGGCGGGCTCACTGTGGCTCCGAGCAACTCCCCACAGCCTGTAGAAGCCCCAACTGGCCCCCACGAACCCCAAAAAAGAACAATATCTTGACTAGGCACATTAAACCCCCAAATCCACCAATAATGAAGCCACCTCCCCCCCCCCCCCCCCCCCCCCAAAAAAAAAAAAAAAAAAACCACTCTCCTGTACAACCGCTTCGAAGAGCACCGTCCAGTTGTAAGTGCCCGCATCCAGGTCCCGTTGCCTTTGAAGTCTGTGGAGGCTTGGAGCTTGGAATCTTTGCAGGCTCTGCTCTACTCCTGGGGAAGTTTAAATTCTAGGGTTTAGAGGGTTGGGAGGGAAGGGCTCTTCTTGAGGCTTCTTCAAGTTTGTCAGAACACTCAAAATCAAAGGGTGCGTGTTCGACTTGGGCTAGGAACAAAAACTTGTTTCGTACAACGGGCTTTTGGGAGGTGGGGATCCACGAGGTCACTCACCAATTCTCTCAGGGGCTCGTTTCAAGGTAGTGGCGATGCTAGACTCTTGCGGAAAGAGCACTACGAAATCTAAACGCCCTGTATGGTTGCGGCATGGCCCTTGGGCCACAAAAACTCAACCGATTCAGAACAAGCCCAAGCCAAAAGTTGCTGTGATTTGGGGTGGGGGGTTGTGGTGCCGAGTTTGTTTCCATCCACGTGAAGATGCGGGATGTGTGACCGCGCCTGTTCCACCTCCGCACAAAGCGTCTAACAGCCGCTTCCCCTCCACCCCCCCAACGGCACACCGAGGAAGAAAAACCGAAAAACAGAACAGAACCTCGTATGTAGCTGCCACGGGGTTTCCATGTGGTCTGGTCGCATAGTGTCGTGCAAAGGCCCGCTGCCCCAATTTGTCGCAGTACTATCATGTACGGGTTCTTCGGCTTTAGATGCAGAGTGGGCCGGTAGGCTCATCTGTCCTTTGACATGGGTTGACGCAACAGCAGCTCTTGTGCAGCGGAGCCACACGGCCTCCAGGAAAAGCCCCGAGAGTCCAACCTGAGATCTGATGGGACGTCCCCCACTCTGTCTGCCCCCCTAAGAGTGGGATGTCGCACGAGGCATCTCCAAAGCAAGAAAGCAAAAGAAGAGACCACTGTCTGTGACTTGATTTTGGGAGTCCAAGGGCCCCTGAACACACGCCAAAAACCCACATCAGCCCTTCGTGAGACCCCCTGCAAATGCTGCGAACCCTTTAGGCATCTTCATAGATTTGTGTTGTGCAGGGAGGCTCTGAAGGGGCCAAGGCACGAAGAGACCGGCTGTGCCACGCACGAAACCAACTCCTTGAGGAGGCACCCACTTGAGGCTGAACAAAAGGAAACAGGGGCTTGAGCGGCTTCAACTTTTGAGTGTCGTAGCATGAAGCCATAAGAACAGGGCAGCAGCTCCCGCTACAAATGACAACAAGCCAGGAACACAGAACAGCAGAGGTGTGTCATGTAGCTACGAAGCCCACATTCCGCAGTTGTCCGTCGTGACAAACGCAAACGCTTCACACCTCATGCCAGACAGACAGACAGGCAGGCAGACAGACAGACACAACACACACACACACACACACGCAGAGAGATGCACAATCGCATTCGCGAACCTTCTAGAAACAGGGGAGTCAAACAATCGGAACATAGCTTCTTGCACGCGAAGCTCCGAGCTGAGGGTCCTCATGTCATGGGGTCTCCCCTTTTGAGCCCCAGTCGCTTTGGAAGTTGAACTTCTTCAACACCTCCACGGTTGCCATGACGGTGATGCGGTAGGAGGGCGCCATGCGGGCGAAGAAGGGGAACTTGTCACCTGCTTAAGAAATGAGGCCGAAGACTGTGCAACTCGTCTGGTGCAGGCATGAATAGCTGGCTCCCTGGAACCTTCACCCATAAGACCATTCACGCTAAGTAGGGGCGTTGGTGACCAACAGGGCTCTGTACTGGGGACTCCTTTCTTTGGGGACGAATACAGGCTGTTCCGTGCTGTTCTGCTTCGTCGGCAGAGAAGCTAGGTACCTGCTAGGTACCTATATGCAGATGGCTTGGGGCTCTTTACGTCAGGAGTTCTTGAATCATAGAACAAGGATTCAGTCCGAATAAGCAGAGGGAGGGCGCTGAATGGGCTGCTGCGGGTCTTGAATGCATCGCTACTAGCAAAGCAACATCTTTGACGACGGAGATTCATTGACTCTCTTGCCTCAGGGTCTTTATGTGAATCAGAGATCGCGCCAGAGCACGGTCGCTGAGCTCCACGGTGATGGAGAATGGAGACACCTTCCGCATCGAGCTATCACTCTGTGCGGGCTTTGAGAGTTTGGCGGAGGGGCCAAAGAAACTGGAAGCAGCAGGCTCAGTAGAGATTCTACCAGCATGATGTCTCAGCCTGAAAGGCCCGAACGAAACAACCCATCATGAGGTTACCCTTCAGCTGCGACTCCGACCTGCATGACTTTGTAGTAGTAAAGGGCGTGGTTTACCGGCTCACTCGATGCGGCGCAGGAGCACCCAAGCACCTGTGAGCCACCAGAGTCTGAAGGGCGTGGGGGGAGTTGAGACTCCGAGGCGTTTTCAGGATTTGGAGCTCTTGAAGTCTTGAGTGGGTTGGAGCCGTCTTTTATAGCTGCGGAGGCCACTGAGGCTAGGGGTGAGGAGAACATACATCCCGAAGGTCGTCCCTCTTGTCACAACCATCGATGCTCGCCAAACCGACTCACGCCGTGCAGCTTCAGGAACATGGTCAGGCCCTTGAGTTCAAGACATGTTCCTCATCTGTTCTGAAGCCAACCCTAAGAACCCGAAGCCGGAACTCCTACAAACGCACAAATGCAAAAGGTGCATGACCCATGTATATAGAAAATGTTGATATGCAATTATGCAATACCCCCCCCCCCCCCCCAAAGGGACCTCCTATACCCCCAAACCCTGAATCCCGTGAGCCCTGAATCCGGGGGTGGCACGATGTGTTTTTGTGGGCCGGTGCTCATGGACTCGATGGCCCGACGAACCGCAATCCTGGGTACGGAGGGTTCAGGGTTTTGGGGCCTTTTAGGGTTTAGGGCTTAGGGTGCACTGCCTAGCATCAAGACGAACTCTCACGTTCAATAGTGCCCTTATGCTGATCATGCTGCCCGAGAAAGAAGCAAAAAAGGGCGCGCCATAAGCCTTGTTAGCACCCCGCCTGGACCCTTGATCGTGGTTCCTGTTCTGTTCTGGGTACCTACAACGAAGCCACGGTTCGTAGGGTCAAGCGTGCGACAGAACCCCACCACCTCAGCAAAAACAAACAAAAGGCAAGCAAACGCGATCCCAAGTGACGTCTTCTCTGAGAAGTGTGTTCAGGTTTGGAAAGAGGGGGGGTTGTCAGCACTATAGGGCATTGGCTGGCCATGCCCTTTGATGAACCCCCTGCTTCGCTTCAGGGCTTAGGGTTTAGGGTCTTGGGTTTAAGGACCCGGCCTTACCTAACACACCAGCGGCATCACAACCCACACCCCGGCACTAGATGCAAGCCAGGTGGCATCCTTTGACCGAATCGGAACGTTCCGAGCCGATGCGATTTCCAGCTTCAGAGTTCATAGCTGTGTCTGAAATTCTGCCAAGCATCTGCCCAGAGCATAGCTCATCCACCATGTGGAGCTTCAGTCGATACCCTGGTAACAGGCCGCTGTCCTGCGGGGCTCTTGACCAATCGAGGACTGGACCATGACTTGAACATCTCTCAAGCACAACACGTACACATGCACGCACGCACGCACGCACGCAGGCAGGCACGCACGCACGCACAGAGAGAGAGAGAGAGAGAGACGCAGCCGGACAGATGCTTCTCGGAACAGTATAGTTAAAATCCGATGACGAGGTAGCTTCGATGCTACGGGGAAGAAGGACCGCAGCGTCCCTGCTGCATTTCATGGTCCTTCTCGTTTCCGACGCACATACACAACTGCTCACCTTCGAGGGTTAACACTTAGCAGGTCACTCATGTCTCTGCTTCTTCAGTGCTCAAATCCGCTGCACGGTCCAGCGTTCCACTTGCCGCCTTTTGTTTTCAAGTGGTTGACGCGATGATAACACCTTCGTTTTTCCCGGATGTCGTCATGCGATCTAACCCAAACCCTTAAGGGACATGGGTCCTCGATCTCCTGGGTGGCAGCGCTCAGCATGGGCTCGGCGAGGGTGCCAACGTTTCCGACTGCACCCGAATACCTCAATTCATCTCACTGGGTGTAGTGTTTATGTCTCGAGTTTAGGCTTAAACGGTTTAGGGTTGTGCTTGGGGCAGGTGGATCTGGGAAGCTCGCGCACACCCCTTCTGGGTCTAGTCTCCAAAGATCTGCTAAAGCACTTGAAAGCATCCTCTACTGCACCAAGACTCTACAGGCATTTTGCCCCGGGAAACGGAACAGAAAAATGAAACAGAATAGAAAAAGGGCCCAATGTTCACAGTTACCAAGAGCCTGCGAGGCCGGCAAGATTGCCTACATGTGTTGGGGACTCAGACCTGCAGACGCGTCTGAGCGATCGGAAAGTTCTTCCTGGTTTGCCTCCGGCTTCCACGGGTTTCAACCCTTCTGCGCACATCTGCGCACAAAGTTTTCGAACTCAGCTTTGCAAGCCGTGCTCCACCTCCCTGGTGCTAGTTTTCAGCAGAGGGGAACAGCAAGGTCACCATCGGTACCGCTCAGGGCTTCTTGAACCAGATCACCCTTCTTGTAGGCTGGCTTGGCCATCGCAAGGCGGGTAATTAAACCGGCAACCCCAGCATCCATTTGAGTGCAACTCAAGGTATCCACAGTCACGACCAGGCAGGTTCTTCGTGAAGTTGCCTGTCTAGGTACAAATTACGCAAGCAGCGATGCTTGTAGTCTCGCTCCCCGCACCGCGCCCCCAAGGGCAAGTGCTCGGCAAGAAGAGTTCCGCCTACAAAAAGGTTGGAACCACGGGAGCGAAATTTCTAAATTCAGTGCTACTCGCAGCTAGTGGTGTGGTCCGACATGCTAAGGGCCGGGCTGCAGTCTTGCTCATGCCGCGCCTCTTTCCATGAGAAAACAACTCCGCCACTGTGAGCTGTGACTGCTGCAAGCATCAGAGTTACGAGAGGGCGCTAGAGTGACCTCCGCGGAAAAGGTGCAGAGTGGGGTGACACCTTTACTTTGAACTGGGTGTGCAAGGTTTGGAAAGCAGGAGCTAGGCCTGAGTACTTGGCCTCGGAACGCAAGTTGCAACCGAGGCTGCGAGGCGTGAGATTCTCAGCAGGGCGAGCTTCCAAGAAAACCAGCCACAGTACATCTGGGTTGTTCAGGCCGACCTTCCTTGTATGTTGTTAACCTGCGCCGGTCTATACAGGACTGTGTGCCTAACAAGAGGCGAGCGTCAAGCCTGCAAGTCTTGGTGTGCTGGATCGGTCTATGACAGGCACCTCCTTTTGGTCCACATGTATTAATGAAAAACTGAGCTTTAACACAAAAAGGTCCCTAAGTGAAGTCCCCAAAGCTTGCCGAGGTGCGGTAGCATCACAGCGACATTCAAGTCCCTCGTCGCATTGCGTGCGGGGTTTGGCGTGGGATGAATCTCGCCTTGACAGGATTCCCAAGGATGAAGGCTGATGGCCATGAATTGGGGATGAGCTTGCAACCCCAGCGGGTGCCTGCTACGGCACCCTACATGCTGCATCCAGGGCTGTTGGTCCTGCTGGTGCTAACTATAGTGAGGCTTCTCATAAGACCATATATAAAGATGCGTACCATTGCATTATTCTATGCTGGCGAGTTCTTGGCTCCACGAGCCTCCAGATGAAAGGAGTCAAGCGAAAGCTACACTTTCAGTCCGAGATAGCCCGACAGTCTATCAACCAAAGTCCAGCGACCAACTTTGACAGTGGGCAGCAGCCGTGGGAAACATGTTTTGCTACCGCGTTCGTCGTGAAAGGTGGCTCTTGCACTCAGCCATGAGTTCTACACGGTCACGGAACATGAAGCTAAACAGGAAAACGAAAAAAGCAACAAAACGAAAAAGCCTTTCTGGTCTCCATTCCCGGCCGCAATTGTTGGAGTAGTAGCGGCAGGGGTAGAGCTGGCCATCCTTTCTAGGCAGCTGTGGGGATCTGCATCAGTGGGACTTGTGAAAGAAGGCTTGGGGGTTGACAAGGGACCTTTGGAAACAGAGGCGATGCTAAGGTGAATCCAGGCCTAGGGAACCGTCCCAGTGGCAAAGTCATCGGTTAACAGACGTCCTTTCCCTTGGGCTCCAAGAATACCCACTTTGGGGTCTGAAGCCTGCAAGTAGTACCTACTTCGGGCTATTTGGAGCCTTAGGGTTTAGCTTAGAGACCGATCCAACCACAGCACCCATCACACCTTGAGACCCGACCTCTGCTTCCGCGGCGAGTTTCAGTGTAATTATGCATTCCAATAGTTCTCATGCATACTCTATGTTGCGTATGCTTGTATGCGCTCATATGACTTTGTTGTGATTTCATCATTCTATCAATATTATCAATTATGTGTCACATACCTCCTTGAACAACGGTCCGGAACCCTTTACTATAAGCCTTAGTAGGCAGCCGTTGTACACCCTCTAAGCCGTATGAAGCCCTCTAATCCCTACAAAACTATACGGTTTGCTTAGATCCTGCCATAGCCGAGATGCCCCACAGGAACAGCCTAACGGCAGCCAAGCATCACGACTTACGCCGCCACACATCTCGGGGCACAGAAGCGCTTCTGTGGGAAGCACCTCAGCATCTTCTACGGTGTACAGGGCCAAGTTTGGCAGGGCTCATCAGGTGTGGTGAGTAGTAGAAGCTTGCTTTGCTTTCTGAAACAGTCTTGAAGCCTGCATGCGCACAGCCCCGAGTCTCATGGACCACCCGTAGCGAAGGCAAACATTGTTTGGAGTCTCTGGCAATGCTCATGTAGCAGCACAGACGAGTTATGACGAGTTTGCAGCAAGTGTTTTGTAAGTGTTTTGGTTGGGCTGGGGACGGCAAGTGCTTTTGTCGTCCAGCCGTTCCGATCTGCACCGGAACTGTCCAAGCACGGTCCACGCGAGAACAGGTTGTTGCATGTCTGTTCCTGGTGACATCCGGCGATATCCAGTGATAGAGCTTCAGCGTCTCACTTGCTTGCAACCTGTGAAGTAGTCTTTGAGGATGACGCGGGGTTTGGGAGATGGAAAATAGGCCACGCGGCTGCACCGTAAACCCTCCACTCGGAGCCGGAAGCACCCATACCTTCAAGCGCGTATGCGGTACCACACAGCCTTGCTGTCTAGGCACGAGGGCGAGCCAGGGCCAGGAAAACGTCAAGGCGTGGAAGGGCGCCATCGCCTCGTTTGGTCTGCGAAACAAGCAACAAACGAGCACAGCCAAGCCACTAGACAAAGCGCCCCCCCCCTGCAGGCCCCGCGCTGTTTTTGGGTGGCTTGGGCCAAAATGCAAGCCCACACCGTTTGTCAAGTGGAAGGTAGTCAGCGGGGCGGCCCGAGTGCAGATCTCAAAGTGGAGAGGCAGCACAATTTTGGGCCAGTTTGTCGTCAAAGGCTATCGCGCAACGGAACCCTAAGGGAAGTCCTCGCCTTCTTCACCTGACTGCTGGGACGAGGAACTCACCCTCCGGCGTCATGGGAACGCAAACCCTCAATGCGCCCTAAGCCCTTCAATGCCCTTCCAATTCATCCTGAACGCTGGAGCTTGTTCTTTTCGAGGCATGTAGCAGCAAAGTAGGTGCAACAAGTCGTTCTGATTCTTCACAATGCGTTCTGAATCTAGGTTGGTCGTACTTATGGGCATGCGAAGGTGCATGCATGCGTACGTTCCTATGTCAGTATACTGTATACCTGTACATCTCGGCCCACCCTGTAGAGAGGACCTCTTTGACCATCGAGCTCAGGGCTTAGGGGTTTGTGGGGACCATAGGGTTGAGGATGGTTGTGCCAGGCTTGTCCCCCCCCCCCCCCCGGCCCCCCCAACAGGATTAAAGCAAGGCGATCAGGGCGCTCAAAACTCAGCCGTAGCCTCCCAGACTCTTCACGATCATGCTCGTTTAGTCTCCAGGTCCTTTGCCCAGCGCCGCTCTGTACACAGGCACGGACAAGGAGGGTCCATGAACATCTCTATGCAAGTCTTGCTTAAAGCAGACTGCTGATTGCACATGCATATTGTTACACGACGCCTTTGTCTTCTACTCGCACGAAGAAGGCATGAACGGTACCCCAGACCCGGGCCAGGGTGCAGTGTCTGGGTTGGGCCTTCCAAGGTCGGATAATTCAAAGCAGAACGTCTGTTGTTCCAGGCCTCTGTGGCCAGGGCATCAAGGCCGAAGCTGTTCACGAGGCGGGAGGCTTCCTCCCGGCGGGTGCCTTCCCGACGTTGACATGCGGATACGATGTAGCCATACCAATAGCTCTTACGAGCATTATGCGCAAGTCTCGTTGTGCCATTTTCCTGCATGCCGGAGGATTGGCGCCACGTGCCTGTGACGTCGCATTCAGTCGCTTCCATCCGGCTCTTCAGTGTTTCTAGACCCATGCAGGAATCCAAGATCTGAGCGGCCGAGGCGTCAAAATGGACTCTTTGGTTGTCATGGACTTGTCAAGCTCACGCCGGTGCCAGCCCAGTCCAAGCTGTTTCGAGCGTCGCTGACACTTGGCTTCTTAGGTTAACATACGCCTGGCCCATGGGCCCATGGGCCCACCCATATGGAATGTTGCAGCACGCTTGCGTCGCCTGGCACTGTGACCAGCTACAGCAACTTTCCGCTCGCCTGATCTGACTCGGCACCGCCTTCTTCTTGGCTGCGAAACATCCGTTCTTCTCCCGTCGTCCGTTGCCCGTCGTTGATGGCGGTGGAGCATCTGGCCAAGTTGCGCAGCGGGATGGATCTTGGCTCGTCATCTCAAGGAGGATGACACTGACGATGATGACGATGCACTTTGGCAGGACTCCTTGACATCATTCGTCTGCATCTGCAACCGCAGAATCTTTTTCTGCCATGGGCTGCTGCCTTGTATAGGTCTCCACAAAGTCGCGGCCCCCTTAGCCGTGCGAGTAAGAACTTTGGAGCTTGGGGAAATGAAAAGTATAAGTTTCAGATCTATGTGTGTGTATGTATGTATATATGTATATAAATAAATATATATATATATGTATATGCACACACGTATACCTTCATGGACACAAAATAAAGACATGAATATGTCTATAATATATATATATATATATATGTATGTATTTACATACATTTGCACATACGCACACAGAGCCAACTGTAAAGGGAATGTGAGCACAATTATATACAATTATGGGGTCCAAGGTATAGGGGGGAGAAAGGCTGAAAGGGGAAAACTCCGAGCCCGGGGCCTGCCAAGGCAACGCTGCTGTAGCCTCGGGCAGACAGGCGGGGTTTGCTGTGTCCTCCCCTCCCGTTCCCCCCCAACTCGACAGAGGAGGCAGGGAAGAGAGGGAGAGTGAGAGGGAGGGGAGGGAGGGGAGGCTGAGCGAGAGAGATAGGGAGCGAGAACCATGAGTGGGGAAGCATGGCAGTGTAGCAGCTTGGAGGCCATATAAGGGATCGTCCCATTTGTTCAGCCCGGGAGCGTTCCAGGTACGTCGGGCCCACTGGCGGCATCGCAACTGAGGAGGCACGTGCATCTTTGTACTTCAAGGCGCATTGGGGTGCAAATACAAGGAGGGCACTGCGATTTCAGCGCCTGGACCCGCAAGGGCGCTTCGAAGCCTTTCTCACAAACTTTCTTTGTCAAAGCCGAGAAGATGCCTTTCAAGTGTATGCCGTGGCCCAAGAACCCAAAGCCCCCCCCCCCCCCACACAACATATCCGGGCAGCCTCCGGTTGCGAGATCTCGGTCTCCGAGGACCGCCGCCAGGGGCGTCGAGGACCAGTCCGCCGATCCCCCGACCCGCCGGGCGCTGAAGGCCGCCGAGCGCAGCCGCTGGAAGTCCTCTCAGGGATTCGAGGTGCTGCGCGGAAGTCCGGGGGGGTACCATAAAGTGGCGGCTGTTGGAGGCCTCACCTCTCTTAAGTAAGGCTCTGGGATGGGATTTGTTGTTGGATGTTGTTGGGGAATCGTCGGGCTCAGGGATGTCTTGGCACGTCCTGCTTGGACTTGCCGACAATGTCCTGCAAGCAGCGCACTTCCTTGGCTTGGTGCGGTAGCCCAACAATGCATGCGGTAGCACGTGCTGAAGCATGCTCCGGTGACTTTAGAGAAACACGTTGTGCTGCCCGGTGCACCATGTTACGTCATGTTGTGAACTTCCCGTAAACTGCATACTGTGTGCAGTTGTGACTCGTGCTCCGAGAACCAGGACTCACCCAGGTAGAAGCGCAGGAAGCTGATGGCAGCCTGGGGGACAGCAAACGTCCGGTTCCGGCAAAGCACCTGAGTGGTACGAGCGACACGTCGGCAAGAAGAACTCTCCTGCGAGACTGCAGTGATCTGAGAGGCATCTGATTGTATGACGAGGGGCGTGGTGCTCTTCCATTGTGGTCTCCGGAGCTTCGAACATAGGGGCTTCGGAGATCGTGTGCAGCACAAAGCCGTGGCTGGACTCGCTGGACTCGTGTGCTGAGCTTTGCAGGATCCAGCGGATGCTTTCGGCCTCGCTGAGTGACAAGGCCAGTGTGGACGTAAACCCCTTGGTGCTGTTAAAGAGCTGGAGAGCCACCAAGGCAGGTCGAAGTATCGGAAGATCCTCCGTGATGCGGCAGTTTGGAGAGAACCGCAGCCGAAGCCCATCCAAACGACCTCGGGCTTCCAGTGCCTTGGCTGCTTCCTTGGCCGAGCCGCTGGCGGCCATTGCTTTCAAGACGTCCGCCACGTCGGCCATCGATGGGAAGGACAATAAATGGATGTTTTGGATCTTGTCTCCGCCGATGACGGCGCTCAGAATCTGCTCCATCTTCTGCTGCAGCTCCCACATGCGGCTCTCACCGATGTGGGGCCGGCTGACTGAAGTATCCTTCTCTGACTCCACCTGGTGTTCCAGCTGCTGTTGCTGCTCCTGTTCACGCACAATTTCCCCCCCTCCGCATCCAAGGTCCTCTGGGAGATCGCCCAAGAGTTGCAAGGCCCTCTCCACCGCCCTCTCAACAGCCGCGGCCACCGGCGCTGCCTTCACGAAGGGAGCTGCCAAATCTCGCAGAGCCGCCTGCAGAGTCCGGGGCGCCCGCTGCACCACACCGGAACTTACGGTTTCCAGTAGCACCTCCACGTGATCTTTTCGGGGGCCGCCGCTCATGAGAGCCTCAGGGAAAAGGCTCAGCTTGAAGAAGCTTCCGACTGCACAAGTCACAAGTAGGCTCTTCAATAGAAGCAGCAAGAGCCTAAAGCTGCACCCGGCCTTCAAAGCCTGAGACTTCCAGGTGTGGCCCAAGTCTTGGCGCACGAGCTGGCGAGTTTGGAGCTCCTCCTGATCCAAGGAGCCTCGGTCAAACCAAGTCCCACCAAGGTCCCCCCCCCCCTTCCCCCATAGGCCCAGCTAGCAACACACAAAGGACACAAAGGATCACATACGGCTACTTCTCTACCTTTGTGTTGCCCATCTTTGTTTCGTAAGGTAACTAATGCATCCTATATTGATGGAGTCGAGGCACGCATCAAGAGGCAGGCCTGGATGTCTTGCAGTGCACGGGAGCTGTTCGAAGGAGGTACCGCTCTCGGGTCTTGCAAAGCACTTCGCATGTAAGCCGCAACATCTTCTGGCAGAATCCTGGCAAGCCAATCATAGAAAAGCCTCTCAAACAGAAGCTTCGGACCCCTGGAGGCTCTTGGTCGAGCTCTACACAGTGTCTACAGAGAATTGCAAACCTCAGAAGCGGTGCAAACTTTGCCAAGCATCATCTCGAGGGTTTGACCCCGGGCCAGGCCGCGCATGCGCCAGGCGCCTTGTTGCAGCTCCCGGATGCTCATGTCTTTTCCCATGGTGATGGCAGCAACCTCAGCCAGGTGGCGTCGGAATCTTCAGAGATGAAGACTCTGTGCTGACTTCTGTTCGCGGGCGCGATTCTCGGTTGTTGCCCCACATGTTCTTTCGCAGGCTCGAAGATCGTTTGCATGTGTACGCAAAAGCCACCAAAAATCCACACATTGTTTGGCTAAGGCCGAATCGCCGAAAAGATTTCACGAGTGTCACTAGGCAGCTCCGAAAGAAATGCTGTGCAGCGAGTAACGCAGAAGCGCCTCCCGTGTATCAATCGAACAATGGGAAGTGCAAGGGTCTCGTCCTCCTGTGCTGTCGTTCTTTCTCATGTTCCCGTTCTCTCTTGCTTTCGAGTATGTATAGTCTCAGGACCAATGACCATTGTCAATGTGTCACCGGACTACATATCCTTTGGGCCTCTGTCAAAAGATCTGCTTGAAAGGCAAAACGACTTACTTCCGCTCTAGTACAGTGCGGCCTGCGCTTAGAAGCTCTCATCGGAGTGCGCTTGATGCTTTGTGTTCTTCTTCTCATTATTCCCGGGATTTTACAGCTTTAAAACGTGTGCGGGTATGCGTGTTGCCCATTACCCCCTGCTTAGCAGGTGTGGACTATGAGGGAGGAAAGCTTGCCTTGATGCCCTCTTTTGCGAACACAAGGGTTTGGGCGCACACCCCTTCTCTCCCCAACTTGAGAACATGTTGACGAGCACCTACTATAACACTATCATCACAATCCGGGCTTCCCTTCTCACCCAACCCTGAGGTGCGCGCTCCGAGCGCCGGCTGGTTGATGTCGATGCCCGTGGTGTGGGGCTGATCGAAGTAGCAGAACCGCTTCTCCGGAAGGGTGCTGGCATCCTCCAGAGGCACTGCGGCTGCGGCGCCCTTCAGGAGGATCATGGGCAGGTCGGTGCCGCGGGCGAGGAAGATGCAGCCCTCCTTGCCATCTCCCTGGGTGAGGGGGCTGTCCATGAGCCACCTGGCAACCTCTTCGTTTTCCAGGCCACAGAGCAAAGCGGCCGTGTCGATCAAAGCACAGAAGTGCGGGCGCCTGCCAAAGCCATAGACTATAGTGACTGCTATCCCTGTCCACCAAAGCTGCTGCATCAACTACATTCACTGCAAAAACAAGACCCGTCCATCGCATGCAATGCCTACTACGAGACTTGAACAACAGTCGAAGCCCTCAACATCCCTTGAACGCCTTTGGGCCACGTACCCCAATAGGGACTGCGGCGTCCAGCCAGGCTTCAGGCAATGAAGGGTCACGAGGTGCGGTGATGACAGGATTGCCAGGGTCTTCCCGTCCGTGGCGCCGTCGAACTCCACGGGTGGCAAGCTCGAGGGGAGAATGTTGGTAGGGGTTCCAGAGAAGCCCAGGCGCACCTTGAACAACACCGGCGAAGCAAGCTCCTGTGCGCACGCCGACAGCTTCTTGGTCTGAGAGGGCGTGGCCTTTGGAAAGATCTCCCGGCGGAGGTAGTATAAATACACCGGTGCTTTTCGAGCCCAGAGCCTCTTCAGAGTCAGGATGGAGGCGGGATCGGGCTGGATCAGGTCCAACGGCAGAACTCCACCGGAGTCGAAGCCGTCATCTGAGGGATCCGCCCTTGTCCAGGCCTGGAAGCTTCGGAAGGCCTGGCGCTGAACTGTTGGGGTCCCCACATCCCGAAGAAGGTCGGACTTCAGCCTCAAGCTTTGAGAAGGCGCAAATGGGAAAAGCTAGACTTCAGGGTGAAGGGATACACAACATGTACACTATAGGCTACACTGCGAGAAGGAGGGAATCGGAGGCCCCGGCAGCAAGAGCATGGTCTTCACATCGCTGCGCCGCATGCCTTCGTGTCCGAAGGCCAGGATCGTTAGCCTCGCAGAAGATGCATATGCCAAAATCACTTTGCAAAGGGGGCCCTGTAGAGGCCACTTTAGTGCCCGAAAGTCACAAAAGCTGCCAAGGCACCCAATTGCCACATCTGGGTTTGCGAACTCCGATGCAATGGAGGGCGTTTCGAGACCAGTGAATGGCACGGCCATCTGCAGACGAGTGCCTCGAGCCGGGTAGCCTCGTGCTTCGAGGTCTGCAGTGTCCTTCGGTCTTAAGATGAGGCTGGACTCGGATGAAAGCTACTGGGAGGGAAGACTTCTGAAGGCTTTGGTATAGGGCTACAGAGGGCTTCAAATAGGTGTTTAGGGCTTAGGCCCGTTTAGGCATGCATGCGCCTTCCGTCGCAGGAGCCCATAATGCACGCGGTTCACTTTGGCCAGCACAAAAGGCAGCGTATGCCTCCACCATTCCAGGTTCACAGAGAGTTCACATGTGTTGACATCGCGTGTTGCCACTGGAAAGGTGCTTTACATGATTTCCAGGTGACTTCTTTTTCGGACAGGGATCCCCAACTATTCATTCCGACCCTCAAAATTATCCACAGCGCGTTGTAGATGACTCTTTTGGCAGCTAGGGGCCTCAACCAATCACGCCCCAGAACCAGCAGCTGGCTAGCCCGATTCCGATCCTTTCCACCAGCTGCGGGATCCCCCAGAGCGGCCAAGAGCCAATCATGCCTGGCTTGAGGGGTGCCGCCGACCGCTTGAAAGGCAGCGTGGGCGCTGAAGTACTGGCACAGCCAAGACCGCAAAGGAGGCTCGAGGTGAGTGTGGTAGAAGTCCTCTATGACCAGCACCACATGGGGGCTGTCGCGCAGGGCCAGCTGCTTTATGCCCATGTCGATCGCCTGCCGCAAGTTAAGGGTTAAGGTCCCCAAGTTGAGTTCCCTGAAAGGGCCAAAGAGAGGGAATGAGAGGGACTGAGAGGGACAAAGGCACACACAACAGGCAAGACGCCCCCACAAAAGAGAAGCTTCCTGCCTGGCGGCACTCATGCCAGGCAGGGCTCTCGCTGCCTACCTCCGCCTCCAGGCAGAGGAAAGGCTGCAGGAGATGCCTCAACTCGACGCATGGTACAAGCAATGCCAGGCAAGCAGCATTCAAGCCCGCCCTCTACCGCTCCGCTCCTTGCTACGTGAAGCCTAGGCCTGGGACCAGGCTCTCTTGTGAGACTTCTTAACACATAATCAATGTCATGATATACCACAACATAACATCAGGATCTCTAGAAGACCTGCCAAAGCCCTGAGCCCTAATGTTAAAAGGTCTATCCCAAGCTTCGTTTTGGGGTTCATGTCGTCCCCAACAGTTCGCTCCCAGGTGCATTGGCAACTCCCAGCGCTCCGGGGAGAGGTCCAGGGGCTCCCGGGCGCCGACCGGGAAATTCCTTGAATCACAAGGAAGGCAGGCTAGGGTTTAGGGTTTAGGGTTTAGGGTTTAGGGTTTAGGGTTTAGGGTTTAGGGTTTAGGGCTTAGGGCTTAGGGTTTAGGGTTTAGGGTTTAGGGTTTAGGGTTTAGGGTTTAGGGTTTAGGGTTTAGGGTTTAGGGTTTCGGGTTTCGGGTTTCGGGTTTAGGGATTTGCGGAGGACGAAGGTATTCTTGTGTTTTCAAGGGCAGTCTTGTAACTTGACTGTGGGGATTTCGTGCGCCGAAACTATAACAATCCCGTCCCAGGCGCAGCTCCGACATCAGGGGATGCAGGAGCAGATCCACTTCCTTCGCAAGCAGCAGCGTTCATAGGGTTTAGGGTTCAAGGCCCACCTAGGGGGAGCGGCCTTTTTGGGCCTCTGTTCTCTCCCCGCGTTACCCGATGTGAGGGCTGGCCGTTATTCGGGTCTTTTTTTGGGAGAGCCCGTTTAAGATGGCGATACGGGGCCCTGCTTCAGGACAGCTCTTCTTTTCTTCGAAGGCACGTCCAACACACCCACGCTCGACTGGAACGTCGCCAGAACACCGGCAAGACAGAGGCTGGTGAAATCCAGCTCTTTCCTCGGAATACAAGGGGCTCAGAGGAACTTTTAAAGCTTCTGAGTAGGGTGAGACACGTTGTGCCCCCAGGATCGATCGGCCGGCAGGACCATCACTTAGACAAAGTTGGCCACGGGGGCACACGAGTTCTTTCGTACTAAAAAGAGTGCCCACACTAAGAGTGCTTCAAAGCTGCTCGGGGGAGGTGTCGACGCCGACGAGCTTGGAGGCCAGCTCTAGACACCTGGTCGGCTGTTGATGGGACAGAATGCCTGCATGTCTCCACCCACAGAACTGAGGGGCCCAAACAAAACCCTTCCTGCCGAGATGCTGCTGGGCATTGCGAGCTGAGCCGGAAGGTGCTGTCTTTAGCCTGCTCAAATGTCAACGTCTAATGCTGAGACACCGAGAATTGCCGATCATGATACGTGTAGTGAGTAGGGAGTGCAATCTCAACGTTGCCGCTACCATCACTTCTCAAACTACCCCGAGCTTCTCGCGCAAACCATTGGCCTGCTCAGCTTCATCTCGGCTTCCACGAAGGCCAGGACGCAGCCTAGGAGGAGCCGCTTGCAGCAAAAGGCAGTGTAAGGACCGAACTACTCATTAGACCGGAAAAGGAAGAAATGGCTCAAAGGGGAGGGCGGACCGGGGTTCGCGCTTTTGATGGAGGAGGCCGTGGAGCAAACCTTGGCTTGGCATCCGCGACCAAGGGCTTTCACGCATCTTCGCGAATATGTCGAGATGAAGAACTGCTGATTGCTTTTTTCAAAGGGCAGGAGGCACAGGATTTCCATCACAAAACAAAATAGTGCAGCTCGGTGACGGCCGCATGCTGCTTCGTGGCCGTCGTCACCTTCCGCAGCAGGGCATACGCCGAGCTGCCGGTAGCGTCGGATCTGTCAAAGCCAATGTGGTAGACGGGCCGGAAGAAGGCCTCCGACGAGCTGACAGGCCCTTATATGCCCTTGTGTATGGTCACGTCTCCTACACCCAGCACCCAGCAGCGAGTGCAAGAATCAGTCCCACAGAGTACACGGCAGCTCTGACCAGCCGCAGTTGCACATCGGGACGGTCACATATGATCTGTGAATTTCACCGACTACTTGCCAATTTTCACCGACCATTTGCCACCTTGCTTTTTTCTGACTTCATTGATTCCTTGCCGTTTCAGTTTGAGTCATCAAGGAGTGGTGTCGCAAGCCCTTCGCATGACAGACCGTTTACGAAAGACAGCGTGCGCCGAAGCAGCTGGATGTTTTTGACCGTTCCAAAGAGGCATGTGGCAAAGGCAACCTATGCTCGTTTCGCGGTACCGTGCACAAGATGAAAACAATGCACAGCTTGCCTGCTACGTCCAAAGAGGACCACCCGAGATCTCCAACTTCATTGCACCAGACCATGGTTCATCTTCAAACCCTAATGCCCTAATCCCTAAACCCTCATCAGCCCTCATCCAAAAACCCTATAAACCCTACTCGCCTGACCGAAGAGGGCCCGCGTCATCGCCAAGCTTTGTGACAGCAGCGCATCGGGCACCACCTTGGATGACCATCAAGATGGGATCGTCAAGCGGTGTGTTTTTCTGGATAGTGAAAAGTAACGAGTTTTTGTGTCAATTCGCCAAAAAAATGTCTACAAGGTGCTGCCCTACACCCTCAACGCTACGAAAGAGATAGATATAGATAGATATATATATATATATATGTGTGTGTAGATGTGTGTGGCAAAAAAGCCAGCCGTTCCTTTTCAAAGCAAGGGCCCGATTCTTTAAGCGATGACCGCAGCTCGAAACCGTAAGCTTGAACATACTCGAAGCCCCTAAGCCGAGGCTGTGGCTTGGAGAACGAGGCCATCCGATGCCAAGAGCAGGCCGAGAAGCGGCGCAATCACCGCAGACTTGCCTCCCCCAGGTCTACAGGGTTCATGCAGGAGGTTCAGGGTCACTGACTTAGTCAGAATAACCGGAATATACTTGTACGAGCGTTTTTCGAAGGATCGCGTCTGGGGACTACTGGAATGTGGGGTTTCGATTAGTAAGTGGTTCGCACTGAAGCAAAATGTTGCCGAAAATCAACATAAAATTGCCTGCAATAGAACACAATGCTGCCCAAGCCCAATAATTCGCCTCGGCTTCTGGCCAATAGGCATCTACCCGAACCCTTCGACCGGGCCTCCCCTCTTCTGTGGGACCTGCCGAACTGCTTGGAGGAGCCGCAATCCGATGCCGTGGGGGTTCCAGGCTGTGCCCATCCCACAAAAGCCATGCCAAAAAACACGAAAAAACACTCCTGCAGCCCAGGACAGACAGGTGTTGTCCTGGTCCTGGGATCTATTCCCCAACAGGAATTAATTACACATGCCTGGAGCTCGGCGGCGTTGGTGGTGTTGACGCTGTGGGTGAACAGGTTTCGATGTCTGTTGGGGTTGGGCTGGAACTTAGGGTTGCATGGAAGCGGGGGAGGTTGGCAACTTACATCCGAGCGGACCAAGACCAAGACCTGACTCCGTACGCGCGCCAATGCAAGTCTTCCCTACTCTTCGCAGATTGAGGCGACTGGCTGCGGAGGATGTTCGGACGTTCCAGCTTTCTCAAGACAGCGTACCAAAACAGGCAGGTGGACAACTATCGAAGCAGCAAGTTCGCGCGTGTAGCCCTGACGCAATCGAACCCGTCGTACCTTTAGGACACTCTTTCAGCGCAAGCTTCGGCGTCCGGGACATGACATCTTGCACTTGCTAGGTTCAGGTTGGAGAGCCAACCACTTAGAGCCAACCACGATAATGCGATTGCTCTACTTGCTTTTCTGGCGTGTCAGTAACTGCTCCGGGAAAGCAGAACATGCAACACACTGCTTGCTGCGCGTGCACAGCAAGCAAAGCTTAAAATGACGTTGCAAGGGGCAGCAAAACCACACTCTGCTCACATCACTTGGCGGGCAGCAAAACCACACTCTGCTCACACCACTGGGCAGCAAAACCACTCTGCTCACACCACTTGGCAGTCAGCAAAACCTTCACAAAACCCCAAGGCTCGGAAGCTGCTGTCACTGAGCTCTGACACTTTGCTCACATCACTTGCCCCGGGCTCTGCTCACCTTGGTGGGCAGCTGTTTTCCACAACTGGCTGGGGGTCGGTGCGATCTTGTTTAAGCATCGCAGTTCAACATATCTCTGCACCTGGCTGGGGGTCGGTGCGATTCTTTTTGAAGCATCACAATTCAACATATCTCTGCATCTCTCTGCGCTGCTTTCAAGTCACCAGTCGCTGGGTTTGAGCCAGACAACGGACAACAATTGCGTTTACAGTAAACTCCTGAGCTTCCTGTCGCAGCGGAGCGCAGGCTCAAAGCCTTGCCCCCGGCAGCCGCATTAGCGCGTTGCGCTGCCGTCATTGGCTGGCACCCTCAGCCAGTTGGCCTAAACGCAGCGCTCCTTCGCGGACCCACACCCGGCCAGCGGTGTGGGGGCATAGCAATTTATAGGGTGCTGCTCATGCCTTTTGGTAGGTCCCCCGAATGGTCTTAAAAACAACCAGACCAGACTCTATTAACAGCAACCAGACCAGACAGACGGCCCAAACGCTCCTCAAGGCTAGGGACCCCAGAACAGGCTCCAAAAACAAACAGAACTCGCCAGACCAGTCAGGCCCCCAGACCGGACAGCTCCCAGAATCCAGACACTCCATGGTGGCCAGCCAAGCACATGCCTACCACCAAACACAGACCCCGCTGTTTGGAGGGTTGGATTGTTTCGGAGGGTTGAATCGAAGCATGTACCCTTTCTTGCCTTGGACATCTGCTGTGAATTGGCACGGCCATAGGCATGTGGTCAATGAGGGCACAGCTCATCCTTGGGCCTGAAACCCGCCGCCCACTGCTGAATGGTACAGGACGACTTGAGCGAGCGAGACGCGCCCAGATTTCCCAGATTCGCACGTTATTCTTTGAGCGCCGCGTGCTGCAGCTGGACAAAACTCTGGCGAATGCAAGTCGCCGGCAGCCCGACATCACGCAGAACGGTGGCAGGCACCCTGCTGGCTACGATGCGAGTGTTGACACCGGGACAAGGCAGCGCCAAGGTGACTTGGCACCAAAAAAGCCCGAAGCAAAGACTTCGATCGAAATGAGCATTGAGGGTGAGAATTAAGGAGGGCTGCCAAAGGCTCAACGCGGGCCAATATTCCGCAGTGTCCACTCGAATGGGCAAGTTTGGGAAGAGTTGCTTGGGGGTTGGGTCAACGTTGTTCGGAAGCTCCACAACCAGCTCCTCGGGACAAGGAGGTCTCTTCGTGCCTCAGCAAAGGCCGCAGCCCAGCAGGCTTTGGAGGACAATTCTACGTATTTCCGAAGGGTGCAGTGAAAGAGACCCTGCATTCTGCCTCTTTTGGACTGAAGAGGTGCTGGATTGGAGAAGTTCACAGAAGTCAATTGTCCAAAGAGGCATGCAGAGCAGCTCCCCTTTTTGTCACACTGGCTGAAATGTCCCGGTCGGAGGTCAGGCGGCATGCGGATGCAGAGGCAGGACCGAAAGGGACTGACAAAGAGAATGCTGGGCGGAAAACTCCGGCTGGAGGGAATCCGACGGGCCACAGCGAAGACAAGTAAGGGACAGACCTGGAGAGGCGGCAAGACGGGCCCCTGCGACCCTTAGACCTGACTGGCCTACAACTTTGCCTGAAAAAGCTGGGATTCCTCGTGATTCCTGGGACCACCCTAAACCTCCTGAAGCCCTGAAACCTCCTGAACTCATGACGTGTGGTGCTGCACCAAGCGGCATATGACTTTTGGCTTTCCTTCGTCTGCGATGCGCACGCTGCACCACGCAAGCGGCGTGCGCAAGCCTGTGCCAATCAAGGCATATAGGGCTTCGGGTCTAGATTTTAGGGCTTAAGGTTTGCGGTTTAGGGGCCCTAAACTCCTAAACCCTATTTTCCTGAACCTGAATATGGGTGGGAGCCGGGAGGGATCTTTTTTAGTCGCACTAGCTTATATTGAATTTCGGGAACATTTCGCGCATTTTTGAGTTTCGGCAACATTCGCTCCAGTGCCAGCCAATTTGCTTATCGGCACTAAACATGAACCACAACCAAGATCACTATCATAATCGTAATCTGGTAGAGCCCTGGTAGAGTGGTTGAGGGCTGTGCCTCGACATACTGCGGACTCCATACAACTTACAGCTGCATGGCATCAATGACGTTAAAGCGTTCGTTGCCTGTCTTATTACTCACTCATGGAATATTGGGTCGATGCTTGTGGCCTTGATATAAGCTATGGCAGCTATGGGGTCCACCCAGGGGCTCTGAGCGTGCAGCGCAGAAGCTGCGCAGCGAATCGGGTTTCTGGGACGCACTGCTCGGCAAACATCTTCAGGCTCACGGGCATTGCCCTCAAGTAGACAATGTGTATATCACTGTATCTACATACACATTGTTAATACACATGTATATACGTACATATATATATATATTTCGCAAAGCTGCACACATGTGGATTTTGCCCTCTCCTTCCCCCATCAGGAGCTGACGGATGAGGGGCCGGCCCGACCTGGAAGCATCTCTGCAAGCATAGCCCATCAGCTCCAGGAAAGCACAACCCGGGACGCTGCCAATCAGTTCCATTCCGGGCTTCAGAAAAAAAAAAAACGTTCCAAGCTCCGCAAGACGCCTGGCAGCTTCAGCGAACTGGCTCACCAGGCGCAGTTGGCTCGCTCGCAGGTTCCCCTTCGTGAAGAGCCACTCGAAAAGCAGGAAGTGAGGGTCCAGGACGACACCACCTCGGGGTGAGGGGAGGGTTGGAGATGTGTTGCCCACATCTGCAAGGGGACAGCTATCAGCTATCAAATCACAGCATCAGCCTCCTGCATGTTCGCGGACGAACTCCTCCCTTGCGCCGAGCTCGGCTGCCAGCTTCGTGGCCAGGCTTTGCAGATCCCGGAGTTCATCCGCGCCGAGGCCTGAAGGCTATTGAGGCTCTTACGTTGAGCTCAGAAACCCCGTTCCCTCCGAGCTACAGCTTGCAGGGATTTGACATGTACATGTGTGCAGAGCTTCAATGACCGATGATGGAGCAAAACCAGCGGCCGCCCTTGGATGGTTTTGCCGGGGTGCTGCCGGACGAGTGCTCGTGCACCAAGCGCCTCTCAGGGCAAGAGTCGGTAAGAGGAAGATCCTGTGGCTCCTATCAGTGGAGGGCGGGTCCCACGATAGGTGCACTGTTGGGGGGTTTCGAAAATTAGGATTATCGCTTTCCTTTTTTGGGGCTGAATCACATCAGCCCTACTAGCATCCCATGAGCCCTACACAAGCCCTATACCATCCTAAACGAAACCCTAAACCAACCTGTAAACCCCAGCTACATACAAGACCTACATAAGCCCTTACCATCCTATGAGCCCTACATTCCTTTCTTGTTCTCCACCCGGCCTCAGGCGCGCTGCCAGAGCAAAGGCATGGACCAGGGCCCGCCGGGCGGAAGCGGCGCGGGTGGCAAGCAGCAGCACGGTCCTCGTAAAGTTTCCGGGAGCATGCCCCGAGGGTTTCTTAGAGGGCTTCTAGATGCTTCAGAGGATTTGTATAGGATTTGTAGGGTTTACAGGGCCCTCATAGGGTACAACGGACTACTGTAAGCCCGGCTGAAGATGGTGAGTGTATGTGAGTGTGAAGCCGGCCCTGAACCCCTCGGTTGCGACGCAGAACGAGACATGCAACAGAACAAAGCCAGGAGTTCGATGCAAGTGGCAGGCAGGCATCGACCAAGCCTCGGCACGCTTTTGCCGGGGGAGTATCAATCTTCTGCGTGTGTCTTGATGGCTGATAAGGCACTCTTCGCTCTCTTGAAAAGGGGCTTGACGGTGCCCATTCGCCCATCCATATCCCATGCTGGCAGGCTGCAGTCTGGTTGAACCAGCTCGAGGGAGGACTCTGGAGATAGCGACGACGGCAGGAAGGACGCCACAACATCTCCAGCCTGCACTGAAACATACTGATGCCCTGAACCCTGAAGCCCTGCACTCTAGCCCCTTGAATCCCAAGCCCCCCTTGCAAACACCCAAGAGAGAAGCACACAACACGCACAAAGTCCGGCCGTTCCGCCCTGAAGCCTGTAAAAGCCCATGAAAAAGAATCTGGGTCGTGCCTCCGCCGCGAGAGTCGCAGCCACGGTCCACTCGAAGCTGAGCATGGGAGGATGGAATCCTGAACCAAGCCACCACGTTGAAGTCTTACTATAGGGGCATCCCCAAGAGTCCGATAGATGTACGCAACCATGCCGTAGTTCCTAAGGAAAAATACCTACCCTCATCGGAAACATAGTCAGATGCTAAATTACTTCATACCCTGTAAGCCCTATCAGCCGCGCGGAAGCATCTTTTTCCTCATAAATCATAAATGATATACCCGAAGACTAAGATCTTAAAAACTGCCCTAAGATCTGTAGACAGTTCGTGCTCTCAAGTGTGCTCCCGTGTAGGGTTACTATTCTACTCGAACCCGCATATGTAGGGTACCCCAAGAAAGGGCCCCCCACATTTGAGAGAACTGCCCAAGTATTCCCCGAAAAGATCGCAAAAGATCAGATGAGGCTCCGGACACCACCTCCAAATCCCAAAGGGCTCGGTGCTCCGTCTCCTCGATGTTTTGGGGGTTATCGCTACTAGGCGGAGCGGGGGGGGGGTCTAGATAGGGGGGGGTTTAAAGGCTCTTGAACTCAAAGCCACAAAAAACAGAAGCAACCACTGGCAGGTTTTCTGACATTCAGGGCTGCTGGGCTTTATTGGGTTGTCTAGGGCTTGAAGGTCTTACAGTAATCGCTGCGCACGTACCGGAGACGCAGTACAGATCGTCATTTTGGGCCGAGTTCTCGCCCGGCTCGGCTCCTTCAGCGGCCGCCTTGACCAGGAAATCATCGCCTCGACCCCTTGCTGGGCACGCCTCGACAAGAGAGGACCAGGAGAAGTCGGAAGGAAGTCGAGTTAGTTGGGGGGGTTTTGTGGTCCATGGATTTGCCAAATATTTTGTGCTCCAGGCTTCCTGAAGATCGTTCTCACTGCGAACTTTCGGTCACAGGCAGAAAGCCACGTTGCCCTGCCTGACATCCTGGTCCTTCTGCGCCTTCAGGTAACAATCGCCACGGCTCTCACAACATGTCATAATCATAACATGTCCCTTACAAGCCCTTCTCATCGCTTCTGGACATTCAGCACTCGGGACAAGCGCCTGTCACCTCCAATCCTTTCGTCACCTAACATCCTGGAGACAACTCAGAGGCCTGCAGCGTCTGCAGGAAGTTGACCACATCTTGCAACAAGTCCTCTGCACATGAGCATGAGCAACTTGACCAAGTCAAAGCGAAAGACACGCCTAGGTTGGAGGTCCTCGACCAGGCTGATGTCCAGGTCCCCTGCGCACAGGCCCGTCAGCCCACCGTGGCGGGTCTTGAACTGGCACGCCGCTGGCTCCTCAGCCCATCAGCCGCAGCAAAGCAGCAAGCAGCAAGTGTCTCCTCCTCCCGAGCTAAGCCTGTAAGCTTCCCCCCCCCCCCACGAAAAAAAAACTAGCACACCACCCTAAAGCCCCCAAAAGCCCCAAAAACCCCAAAATCCCTCAACCTCAATGCCAAGTCTCCCCCCCCCCCCCCCCTCCCCGCTAAACAAAATAAAAATCAAAACAAACCGCCACTAAACCCTCTACAGTCCCAAAGCCCAAAAAGCCCCTTTGAACAGGTCTTTGCCCCCCGCCCCCCCCCTCCCCCCTCCCCTGCCCCCGCCTCCTGCGCCTCAAAAGCCAGGGCCGAGCTCCTCCATCGCTGGAGCGTGGCCTCGCTGACGGGGAGGGGGCCCGCCGGGCGGCTGCACCTGGGCTTAGGGAATTTACAGTAAGCTTATAGTAAGCTTATCGCAAGTTTATAGTAAGCCGTAAGCTTCTACTAAGCTTATTCCAAGTTTATAGGGTTCCATATAGGGTTTAGGGGGGTCTTCGGTTTGTATTTCGGGGGTTCTGGGATCAGGAGCTCGTGGATGCATCCCTGCAAAAAAAACGTATCAAACTCGAAACGCGAAAGCCACATCCCCAAATACCCAATATGACCCCCCCCCCCCAAATCCCAAATACCCCCAAAAGAAGTTTGGGAGTATCATGCCCATTTTGGCCTTGATGTAACCACCGTATGCTTCCCCATTCTCCCGATCCAAAATATACCATATTCCCCCAAAATCGCCACTACGCCAACAAAGTATGTATCCAAAGGAAAAGAAATCCCTATTCTGCGATATAGGAAGTTACCTAGGATCAAGGCTGTTACATCCAGACCAGACTGGGCATGATCAGGTGAAAAGATTTTACTACAAGTAGGTTTAGAAAGCCTTCCATTCAAGATACGGTTGTGCTCGTGTGCTTCCAGTGCTTCGGCTGCACCAGCACGCTGTTGCAAAATCAGGTCCTAAACCGTCTTTTTCGGAGACCGCGCTGAGGCCACTGAGGCCGAGGCGTGTGACGGGAAGGGCATACACTCGCGCTCGTAGGGCAGCCGAGCAAACCCCAGAACAAAACACTCCGCAATGGCTGGAAACAAGAAAGGTACTGGAACGTAACCAGACAGGAATATCTGGTTTGAAAGTACCTTCAGCAGCGTCTTGCGGCTGATGTCTTGCTTATCTAGCAGACTGACGCAGTCATTAATGTACAACCGTCAGACTGCAACAAAATTCGAACTCTCCGGGCCTAGTATCAGAACTGGCACAGCTCCGGGAGGGCTCTCAATAACGCGTCGGGAAAACGCCAAAATAGTTTGAAAGTACCTTCAGCAGTGTATGGCTGCTGATGTGCTTATGTAGCAGACTGACTCTGTCAGTAATGTACGAAAGTCGGGCTGCAACAACATTCACAACAACTGGAACTCTCCGGGCCTAGTATCATAACTGTAACAGCTCCGGAAGGGCTCTCAAAAGCTGCGGAAAACGCACAAAAGCACATCGGCAACTGAGCCACTCGTCGCTCTTCTTTAGAATTCCTTGGTTCGAGGGCTCAAATCATTATTTGTCATTCTTTCATCATCGTTGTTCAAGGCATCGGCTGCGAACATCTCAGAGACCTTGTCCTTGCGCACATCGGCTGCGAACGTCTCAGAGACCTTGTCTTTACGCACAAGGCAGCTCGCAATGTCACAGCAAGCTTTGCGCATTTGTGTGGTCCACACGTCTACGAACCCGGCGGCGTACAGAAAGGCGAAAGAACCGCCCAACTGCACCGACATCTTGGTGATCAGCGTGAGGTCCCACAGGAAGCGGATGTGAGTAAAGACGGTGATCCATGTTCCAACCACGGCGACTGCAGTCAGCAACAGCATATTGATCTGGTGAGCACGCACATAATCCATCTGCTTCCACGTGCCTCCGGCGCACAAGCGGCCAGTGAACAGCAACAAGTTGGTGGCATCGAAGGTGATCGCCCAAAATGGCCGAATCAAGTACTCGATGCTCTGCTCCCAACGCGCACTGTAGGGCTCCAACGACATGATGTTGCCAACCAAATGGCGAGCCATCACACCAAAGCCATACAGCAATCCAAGGACGTGCACCACGATCATCAGCGATGTATACTTTCGCCACGAGGGCTTGATGCAGAGCATGCCGTTGAGCACCGCGAAGATGTTGAACAGCCCGAACCAAGGCATCAGAATCACCTGCACCATTGTCGGACACTATGTAAGATGATCATTTTATGTTCCTATCATGTTCCTTAGTGGGCTCAAGTCTAAGTGTTCATAAAGATGTCAAATGATTTTCTCAACAATGGCCCAGCCACGTACTCCTCCATGTTGATGTCCTGATGGCCTTTCGACGAGGGCTGCGTCCAAATCCTGCAGAACATCGCTATGAATCCCGACAGCACCTCCAATGGGAAAATGTCGGCAAAGCACACGATGCCAACTCTTTTGTGGGCCTCCCCGTGTTTGAATGGTGATCTCACGAATTGGTGTACCAATAACAGAGTCATTACCACGGACACCACGTCGTGGATCACGATCATTGGCACGAGGATGGGGTGGTGAGTCGGGTTGTTGCCCAACAAGGTTCTGCCTAGCTCCATCTGCGACAAGTCCACATTGCGATACTGGAGGATACCGCCGATGGTGTACGCCATCAAGAGGGCACACGAAATGAGTCCGAACTTCATCGGAAGCACTTGTGACTGTCACAAGGCCGTGGGCCGCGTCGATCTACTTTGATGTGCTTTTGAGCAATAAAGCCTAAACCCTAAAACCCTAAACCCAAGCATCCAGTCCCTCGGTTTCTCTCACGCGGGTGCATTCAATACTACAACCGTTAATCTTAAACCTAGCAAGTTAAATTTTGCCTACTCATGCCCATTCCGGTCTAGTTGTAAACGCCTTGATCCTAGGTAAATCCCCATATTGGACACATACTTTGGGGGAATATGGCAAAAAAAATGGAGCGGAACAAAGGGGAAGTTGTTGTGACAATGGTTGCTAACCCTGAGGGGGATACGGCGGTTACATCTAGGCCACAATGGGCATGATACTCCCGAACTAAACATCCCATTAAGTGTCCCTAAATCCTCAAAATACTCCCAACATTCCTAAACCTTGGGATGTTCCCCGTATACTAACAGTCCTGAACAGGGATTATAGTACCCCTACTAGAATCCCTACTAAGGACTGTTAGTACAAGGGGGAACATCCCAACCTACACCCCGTCAACTCCCTAAGTACCTCAAATACTCTCGACATTCCTAAACCCTAAAACCCTAAAACCCCAAAACCCTAAAACCCTAAAACCCTAAAACCCTAAAACCCTAAAACCCTAAAACCCTAAAACCCTAAACTTCCTAAACCCTCTCAACTCCCTGACGCTTCTGCAAAGTGGCCTCTGAAGGCTGTCCTTCCAGGATCGGTCCAGGCCCAAGCGCCAGGGACCTCATCCGGGTCACATTTAGGGTGGGTTTCGGGTTTAGGGTTTGGGGTTTGGGGTTTAGGGTTTAGGGTTTAGGGTTTGGGGTTTAGGGTTTAGGGTTTAGGGTTTAGGGTTTCGGGTTTAGGGTTTTGGGTTTGGGGTTTAGGGTTTAATCCTAAACAGATATAACTTACAGAATCAGGATACCTCTCGGGGCTTCCCAGGATTGCAGGGGGTAGGGTCGCATGGCTCAGGGATTCTTCAGGATGTTGTGGTAGGGTTTTGGGGGGCAGGTTTGGGGTACCAGGGGAGACACGACCCACCGAAATCTGTGAGGTTGCTCTGCCCCCACCCGAACAAAACCTATACGAACAAAAAGCCCGAGCAAAAAACAACCATCACGTAGACCAAGAACTCCAAGGCCCCACAAAATTGCAACTTCATGTCCCATGAACGGGAAGGACCTGAGTCCCAGGCTGCCAGGAAGCGGCTCTGTTACCAACCTGAAAGGAAAACTATGGGGAGGAGACAGGGGGTGCTCCGGGATTGTTCGCATGTTGAGGGTTGGCATGGGGTTGCAGGGCTTGACCAGCACTTGTATCCCCTAAACCCTGAGGAACCCTGTAAACCTTACCACAAGCTTTCAGGGCCTCTTAGGGAAGTTCGGGAGCAAGTACAGTGGAGCGTGAGATCGGAGGGGGGAACCCTCATTTCGTGTAGCCAAAGGGCGTTGACCGCAGCATCTCACAGCCAACGACCAAGGATGGCGTCCGCCTCATGGCGAGGCACTGTTGCTGCATGTTTTGCCAGTTGTCCTGCTGCCTGTGGGCCTTTGGATGTTTAGGGCTTGCAGGGCTCTTGGGGTCAAAAGAACTCATTTTTTTATAACAAGATTCAAGCCGAACCTCCCCATATGCACGCGTCGACAGGAGCCCACGTTGCGATTCCGATTACTTACATTCACTTCGGGCGAAGCCCATGTGTTTCACGCAGAAGCTCCAAGTCATACGACAACCCAAAACTTCTACAAGCCCTGGATCTATCTACCCCATAGGTCCAGAACCGTAGATACATCCCAGCATAATCCCCATCATGAACCCAAGCAAGCCCCCAAAAAGCCCCCTAAAGCCAGAGGGCACCCAAGGAGTGAATCCAAGGCACGTGGCCATCCTTGGAGTGTGGACATGGATTGGAAGCATGTTGTACACAAACCACACATCTGCCCGCACCCACGCATGCATGTGGACATCTATGCACACACACACACAGGTATATATATATATAACTGACATTTACATGTATATTTAACAAAAGGAAACGCCTGACACGCGTGATGAGATCATGATCTCTTCGTAGAAGAGTGGAAACGCTGGAAAGAGCGAGGGAATTCACGCCTGTACAAATGCCCGCCGTGCAAACAAAAAACAACCCACATGCTGCTGTGCTCATTGATTGACAGCTGAAGACTATCGAAGCCAGGAGTCTCTCCCAATTCTCTGTCAGACAGGGTCGGCCACGCAGCGGTTTTGCCAGCGGTGGTGGACAGCACTCTCTCGTGACACCGAAGATCCTCGGGCAGAGCGCTAGAAGGCAACATGACAACAACCCCGAATTTGTGCTGCAAGGCATTCAGCTGCTCGTAGCTCCATCCTGAGGCACGGTCTGTGGCACTACGCGGGACTGCCGTCGGCTGGAGGTTCACGAGCTGCACGCAGGCACTTCCTGAAGCTGAAAAGTGGTATACATACATATATACATATATGTGCACACATATATGCACATATAATGTATATGATATAATAACAGATGTTGTTATATGACATAGAAGAAACCACAAGCATGGTATTTGGCAACATGATATACTAGAGCGAAATGATATGTAGCATTGAGCACATGTGATTTATGAAGATCTGAGGAGACGGCCGCGCAGGGGTGCCACCTCCTTCCAGCTGCACATCTGCTCAAGGGCCGGGTTCTCTTGCACTTGCTTGCAGCCCCAGTCAAACCTCAAGTGCTGGTTGGTCCCAGAATATTTGGGTTTAGGGTTTAGGGTTTAGGGTTTTAGAATATTGTGAAGGCACCGCAGCTGGAAGCTGAAGCTAATGAAGCCCAGCGACACTTCGTTCAACCATTCCTTCCTCTCCTTGCCTCAGGACATGGTCAATGGGGATGATCCAACAAAGCGCCTCCACTCCGGTATTCGAATTGCAACGAACTTTGGTTCTCATCTAAGAGAGATATGCAGCACGGCCCAAGTCGATCCGAGAGTCTTTGCCGCGGCTGCAGGTCTTGGAAGGCCGCCAGGCGTGGAACCCTTGGGGTCGTCATGAACCCGAGATTCTAATTCGGAAAGGTGAAAGGTGATTCCAGGTGTCTTGACACAAACCCTATGGACCCAATAACTTTTCAGTTCCCAAGGGTCTTCGCCCCAGTAGTATGCCCGGTGGGGAAGTGGAGCTGCAGCAAGCACAGCGTTAGCAGCAGCCGCCGGTCCAAGCCAGGACCCCCTCGGCTGGGGAGAGCGCATCAACGCAGACCCTAACTGAAGCCTTGTTTCGTCAGCTTGTCTTGCTCTCAACATGTCATATGCATAGCGAGTAGGTGTGTGCATCTTTTCATTAAGTATACACACGTGTGCTGAACACACACGTAGTACACATCATACATATTCATGCTCTCACGTGCTATCGCAAATAGCTTTGGGCTCGAAGTGGTGCTTGCTTAAGAAGCCTAGGACCCTAAGGTAGCCATGATCTTTCAGCCGTTCTCACAAGACAACTGAGGTGTCCGCGCGCCACGCTGAACAGCAACATCCTGGGTCACAAGAAGCACTCGGCAGGAAGATGCACTGTGAAACCAGCCCTAAACCCTGAATGCCATGCACCAGCCCCATAATGTGACCCGAAACCCGAAACCTGAGGAATCAGGCCCGAAACCTCTGAATCCTAACTTCAGATCTCTCTCCTTGTGGCCAGGCGTTGGATGTCCGGCGTTTTGCCGAGCTCCCACAAGCCGAAAAGCGTTGCAAACCTGAATGTCAAACAAATGGGGTAATGATAAGAATGGGTGGCAACTTGCGATTTCTCTCTCCTTCTACGCAACACCCCCGGTGGGGCGGCTAAATCTTTCTTTCTGTCTTTCGAGGGGCTTGAGGGGAGTGGGCGTGTTTAAGTATCGGTCTTCTTCGACTCAAGTATCGGTCTCTCTCCGTCTCTCGCGCTCCTGGTGTTGCTCAGCAAGGGGCAGGCCATCCTTCAGGGCCACGCCCTGGACCGATTCCAGCAGCACCGGCCAATCTGCTGCTTTAAACTTGGAGCACTCCAGCAGCGGCTGGCCTTTGATTCCTGGGAGCTTGTTGCCATTAAGTTGGGGGACCTCGGGGGGTTCTACTACACTTTCTTTCAAAGGGACTCTTTAGCTGCGGACGAACGGCCGATGCAATCGATGTCTGTGAGGGGAGGGTTCTGGAGGTAGGCCGCCCGCTCTTCCTCGTTGAAGACGGTGGACAGCCAAGCACCTGGGCACTCCCGCGTCCACTCCACATCCACCTGGGAGGCCTTCTGCTTCCAGGACAGCAGAACACTCCGGCGCCAGTCAATGAAGCGATTCGTATGCTCCAGCTCGCTTTTCATCGAGCTTAAGCTGGTCCAGAGCTCCAGCTCCTCATCCAGGGACATGCAGCAGCTCTGGCTCACGTGGGTCAGGTGGGAGATGTAGCTCCCTGCATCTGCAAAGGCGCAACGGGCCAGGTCCTCGTCAGGTTGCACGGTGGCGACGGTGGCCTGCACCAGACGTAGGCGGATGGCCACGGCATCCGGGCTTCTGTCTGAGGTGTCCGTCAAGGCCATGCGGAAGACCAATGCCTCGTCATGGCGAAGACGGCCCTCTGCCGAAGCCACCGACACAAAGGGCAGAAGCTTTGCAGCGCCCTCGTAATCCAACTGAAGAAGTCGGCACAGCAGTAGCCAAAGGGCCGATAGCAGACTCGGACACTTCAGGTCAGTTCCCGTGGCCAGGGGCAAGTCGTAGGCAGCAGTGGGACACAAGAACTCGTCATCGAAGATGTGTAGACTCACCTCAATGACTCACTTTTAGGTGCCCCAATGACAGAAGCAAACACGCGCGCGCGCACACACACACACACAACAAAAAACAAAAAAGAGAGGATACACCAGCTCGAACGTCTGAGATCAGCAGAGGGTCTTTGGTGGAGAAAGGCTCCGGATAGCTCCGCTGTCGCTTCAGCACGCCCAGTGGCGCCACCACCTGCGCATTCCACGTCAATGCGGGCCGGGTGGCGGGTGGCGTTCGTGCAAGGTCATCGAAAATTCTAAACCGCCTTTGTTAGTGCTGCGTTCTGTTGTTATGCTTTGGAAGGTCTCTCCAATGTCAACGCTGCTTTTGACCAGACCCGACCAAACTCTTGGAATAAGTACAGGGCCAAGTCATCGGGCCTACGCTAAGCTCCTCGCTTCGATACATAAAAGTTCGACATTCACGTCCGATGAACTCCTGCGAATATCCTACCTCCGCACCTGGCTGGTTAGGACAGGTACTCCGGATGTGGAAGCACAACTTTATCAAGACGCGCCTTCGCCTCCCCTGCTTCGGATCTGAGGAGGAGGCAGTGCGGTGGAAGGGCATGTGGGCAGTTGGGAAGCAGCTGGCGGATGGCGTGGTGCCCGGTGGCTTCCAGATAGAGCTGCCCACCATAGGCGTCGCAGAACAGCTTCGGCTGGAAGGCAATCTGGCCCTCCGAGATGACGGGCCCCTCTCTCAGCCGGAAGCGCAGCTGCAGGCGCGGCATCTCCACCAAGTCCACGGAGGGCTCGCCTCGGCCCTCTTTGCCTGTGAGTCTACTGTATAGTTTCTTGTTTTTCTAGGTCCGGTATTGGTATAGTACCCGTTTCTACTTCAGGGCCATTGCTGGAGTTCCCGCCTTACACCCTAGGCCCTATATACGGTATACTTGTAAACAGCTACGTGGGCCTGTCCTGGCTTTTCTGTAGACCACAGAAGCACGTGAGACAGAGGCTCCACGCGCGAGAGCCGCTCGGCGAAGAGGAACAAGTCCGAGCTCGGGGATGCTCGGGTGGCATCCAGCAGCTCAGGGCCCTCAGGGCCCTCAGGGCCCTGTGGGCCCTCGGCTCCCAAGTCCTTGAGCTCTTTGGTGACCTTTGCCTGCCCTGTTTTAAGCATCTGCAGCTTCAGCAGGGAGCCGAACCATCGGCTTTGGGAATTCTTCGGCCTCACAGGGGCCCGGAGGAGGCGTGCCCAAAATATCCGGAAGATTGAGGGCATTTGTGAGGGTTTAGGGATTCTCCCACCGCATCGATTTGGTCTCTAGCCTGGCTTCGATGCACTGCTCGGAGATTTGCCAGAAGGCAAAGTGCGGCAGCACAACTTCGGGCAAAAGTCCTGTGCCCCGATTTGTGTTTCAGAGCTACAAGTGGATGCAGAGAAGCAAGAAGAGGAGTTCGGTTCAAGGATCTGAAACAAACGTCAATGGACAGAGCTAGTGAATTAATAGGCCGGCAGGCTAGGTGGAGACAGGGGATCAGATCATGCCTCTTGCAAAGCCCTTGCGGCTACGTCTGACAACCTACAATGTGGGGCCCTCTAGTTACAGAGCAAGCTATATCTTGTGCAACATAACTTATAACATAACTTGTAAGTTATGTTGTCAGAGTTCTAAATCTAGCAACTTGGATAACTGGACGGGATCAGTTATAGCTAAGTCATGCCAGTTAGCTAACTTGGATAACTAAAAAATACTGTGTTTTGTAAGTTTTCAGTCACATGGAGGTCGAGGCTATGTTTCATATATTTTTATAGTTCGGGCTGGAGTAGCGTGGGAAACTACAGGATTTCACATGTTTTTTGTGAGAAACATGTCACGTACAGAAATATGATGCAGTGTCTTTTGGTATGTTTGGAGCTGAATACCGAGCAAGTCATATAGACTATGTGTGCCCATGGCGTGGAGCAGAGCAAAGCGAAGGTCAACACTTCCTTCTGGGCCAGCTGCAAGGGGAGGTCGACCGGACCACACGCGGACCACAAGCGGACCACAAGGGGACTACAAGCGTTGACAAGCAAATCCTCGAGACATCCCACGAAACCGACCCGTACCAAAGCAAAAACGGCCTACCCGGACCACAAGGAGGACCACAAGAGAATATCCAGAAAAAGTATCCACAAAAAGAACGTGTCAATACTTTTGTCAGGCAGGGAAGCCCAATCCACCAGAAGATACATACCGAAGAAGATAAGTATATATGTATCTATACGATACACTGTGTGTCAATTATACATCTATGTGAAGAATCATCAAAATGATATACTTAAATGTATCTCTCTCATTGATGCCGCGATTTTTGTACTTCTGTCGCCTAACAAGGCCAGGTTTGTGTTAGTATACTTTTGAGGCCAACTTCCCTAACTAAGATATAACTTACATGTATCTGGGCTTACTAAGTTATAACTGAAGGCCCCACATTGTACGTATATGTCTTGGCCTCCATTCCGAGTTGCTTCTGCCCAGAAGAAAAGGCGAGCGCAGCCCCCAAGAAAAAGGAGCAGGCCATGCAAAAGATTGCCCACGAAACTCCTCGAAGGAAGCGCCGCGGGAGGTAGCGGCCCTGCGCGCTGCGGAGGAGCACGGAGGGGCTGTAGCTCTGGAGGGGGCTGAGCTCCCCGGCGTGGTCCTAGACTTCCATAAGGCGACGGCTTCAAAATCTCGGGGTGCGCTCTAGTGTAATTAGTAAGTGATTGACTATAGGGCTATACACTATACACCAGAGGGTTTCAACACAGTAGGGTTTAGGATAGGGCTTGTCGTTTTTGGTGGGCTTACAATCTTTCAGATCCTAAGCCGGTCCTCCAGGGCTTTGGGGACTGCGAAGAGTTCGTAGGAGTCCTCCGGATCGGCGCTGAAGAGGGAAAGCCTCCAGGGCGTCGGCGGCTTTACAGGGCTTGGAGGTCCTGTGTTGAGAGGGACTGTTTAGGCGTGGAGTTTGTGAGGTTGCTAGGGTTGCAGGACTGTGGAAGATAGCAGGAAGGATTGGGCTCGGGCCTCTGATTGGCCCTGAGTTCGGCTTGCTTTCCCAAGTCAAACTGGACGCCATAATCAAAACCGCTTTAAGTAATTGGGTACCCCAAGTTTGGGAAACGCCTTTCCAGTGGCCCTACTCGGGCGGGGGCTCGGGCCTCCGCTGAGATGTCCACACAGCTTCGCGGAAGGCGGAGCGACCGTATTCGTGAAGCCGGTAAGCCACGACCACGCCACTAGCCAGGATCTCGAACTCCAGCCAGAATGCGCTGTTCCCGTATTTGACCGTGGACAATAGAACGTCCCCGCTTGTGTGATCTGGCCGGCCATACCACTGGGCTTCTGTCCACCAGGAGCCAGCCACGCTGCGATGCCAGGGCTCCGGCTGGTTTCGGATCGAGGGATCCTTCTCCGGGGTGTCCAGCAAGGCTTCGAAGACTTCGTGACGGCGCCGGTGCTTTCGCAGGTGGCCCGGCAGGTCTGCCATGGCCACGTGGGTCCAGGTCTCCTCGCGCCATGTGACGCTTGCGCCGCTGGCCAAGGGATGAAAGACGAAGGGAACGTGACCCGAGCCAGTGCTGCCCAGCTTGATGCCTTTCTTCATGTCCAATGCCAGGCTGAAGCCAGGAGGCGCCTTCTGCAACAGACACACATTTCAAGAAGGCAAAGAACACGTAAAGGAGAACAGGTACTTTTTGGGATTTTGCAAGTTGCACCATGCAGCTGTTAGGCCACACAGGCGACCTCCCAAACACACACACACACACACACACACACACACTCTCTCTCTCATACACACACACACACACACAAACAAACACACACACACACACACACACACACACCCACACACCCCCACACACCCACACCCCCACACCCCCACACACCCACACACCCACACACCCCCACACCCCCCCACACCCCCACACCCCCACACCCCCACACACCCACACACCCCGACACACCCCGACACACCCCGACACACCCCGACACACCCCGACACCCCCCCACCACCCCCACACAACCCCCACACACCCACCCACCACACACACACACACACACCACACACACACACACCCACACACACACACACACACACACAACCCACACACCCACACACCCACACACCCACACACCCACACCCCACCCACACCCCCACACACACACACACAACACACACCACACACACACACACACACACACACACACACACACACACACACACACACACACACACACCCACACACCACACACACACCCCACACACCCACACCACACACCCACACACACCACACACACCCCACACACCCACACACCCACACACACCCCACACACCCACACACCCACACACACGCACACACCCACACACACACACCCCGACACACCCCGACCACACACACCCCACACACACCCACACACCACACACACACACACACACACCCACACCCACACACACACACACACACACACACACACACACCACACACACACACACACACACACCCACACACCCACACACACCCACACACCCCCACACACCCACACACCCCAACACCCACACACCCACACACACACACACACGCCCACACACCCACAACCCACACACGCACACACACACACACACATACAGACACACACACACACACACCCACACACCCCCACACCCCCACACCCCCACACACCCACACACCCACACACCCACACACACACACACCACACACCCACACACCCACACACGCACACACACACACACATACAGACACTCTCTCTCACACACAAAGAACAACAGCAGCACTGACTGGCACCCTTGTCATCGGCGTACTGCGCACAGTAGCAGCTACTCGCCCCTCTTTCGCTTCGCAACCAAGAACCAAGGAGCCCAAATCTCCGCAGTGTACTCGTGCCCACGGCACCGGAAGCTCAGAGTATTCCGATACAGGGATGTTGAGACCTCAAAGCTGAGCAACAAGGGCCAAAGCTGCAAAGGCTGAGACACTTTTGGTCTGTGAACTGCACCCAAGTCATCCGAGAGTCTGGGAGGACATTGGGCCGCTCCTGCAACGCCTGAGAAGGTTTTTCTTATGAATCCCATATCGCAATCGCCCCATCAACTACATTCTTACGTTGATAAGATGGCACATGATTCAGCTACTTCGCCAATCAACATCAAGTTTCATGAGCATGAACCTCGAAAAGAGTACCCTGTACTCCGACAGCACAGCATGGCCGAGCTTTTCAAGACCTCACCTCGAACGACATTCTAACAGTACACATACATATACATTTATATAGATATTTTCCTATTTATACAGATATAGATACAGATAGAGAGAGAGAGAGATGAGCATAGACAATACGAATATGAACATACATATTACTTATCAACATAGCTTCAAGATTCATATTAACATACTCGTGAATAAACATAAAGCAAAAAATATCTATATGTATGTCTACACACTTGTATGTATATACCCCCTGAAGACTTGGCCCACAGTTTTAAGTCTCCCCCCATTTCCTGAGGCCTCCTGGTAGTTCGGGTCGGAGAAGCACTCGTTGGGCATGGGCCGCAGCGTCTCGCGCGCCGCGAAGCTGAGCGCCGCTGAGCCCAAGTCGAGCCGCGCCCCGAGGAGCCAGGCGTCCTCGGGGGGGGACTTGGTTTTGTGTTTCTTGTTCAGGGGCCTACAACAGGTGATAATGAAGGTTTAGGGTTGCAAGGGTTTGCAAAGGGTGTATATTCGGGTTTCATCAGGGTTTCGGGATGAGGGCTTGCAGGCTTTTGGGTTGTCGGAAGGCGCCCTGAAAGCTGAGGAATCCATAATGCAAATTTCGGCTTGCTTCCCATTTTATGTGGGCATTCAATCATCCCTCCCGCTAGATCCTCTTCCTTTTGTGTTCTCTTTTCCCCAGTATTGAAACAACTCACAAACATCAATCATGAACATCCCTACATTCAACTTTCGCTTAGGATACCTTTCATAAACACACATCCATAGATACTCGTAAGCGGAATGCGGCGCTCGAACACTGGCTTCACCCACAGGCCTTGTCGTTTGCTCAGCATGGACTTCCGAAAAGTCATTCAGTATACTAAGTCAACAAAATCATCATGCTTCATCAACCATCGACACAACAATTTTGCCATTCATCATGTCATCTTTCTTGGGTCCAAAACGCTTTCAGCCCGACGGCTTTTTTTATCGTTTTTCAGCCACGCCTTTTTGATTTAGGTTGCTTGTTCGGCCGTGTATTTTAATTCTCCTCTTTTGCACGTGTCTTCATCCAGCATAGTTTTTCATGTAATTCTCGTTATCTTTGCATAAAGTCTCGTACCGTTCCCATATTCCATGCGAAGTCGTACCTCTGTGATATTTGAAAAACCCTCACTACTATACACTATATGATTCTATTTATTTCGTTACAGGAAGTACAAAATGGTCCGATTGTGTAAACAATCCTGCCCAATCTTCACCTAAAAAGCAAGAATATTTTAGCAATGATACCAAGAGCATCTCGCCGCTGGGCGTACAGGCCACGTATCATGGGCAAACTTGAGGGTTTAGGGCCACACTGGAAAAAGCAAAGCCAAACAACACAGTGGACAACATCCTGAAGGCTTGCATTAGAGCTTACCCTATAAGCCCTCTACCCTCAACATAATCCCCCGCCTCCGCTGCCACGGACTGCGTTGCCACGAAGCAGCCGCCGCTTCGCAGCCCCAGGCTCTTTTTTCGCTTCTCTGAGAGGCTCTCCAGCTCTTCCCATTTCTGGCGCACCTAAAGGAGTTTGAGTTCAGGTCTGGGCCTACTCGTAACGACTTTTGATTGAGAGTCAGGGGTCCTGTAGGGCAGGTATATATACATACGTGTATATATGTGTCGTAGCGGATGGGCGCTGGGTATACAGTAGAGCAGGCCTCGGAGAGCTTGTAGCGCTGCAGCGCCTCCTGCATGTCGCCCCCGCACTCGGAGAGAATCGACGCACAAACGTACTGCGAGGCGTGGCACGCGAGGTGCATGTCGTTCACTGTGCTGGGCGCCAGCTCGGCTTCCGCAATCAAGCGATAGCCATAGGCGACCTCCTCGCCACCACCGATCTTCATCAGCCGGCTCATCTCGATCGTGAAGGTCTCCCCTTCGATGACCAAGCCTTGGACACACTCCACGAACCTCCGGTATCCCCTGTGTACAATGTACCCCCTCTAAGCCGTTCTCAAACACTGCATTGTCACATGCGCCTGGAGCGTCGACCCCAGGCCACCCCCGGCGGGCGATCTCACTGCGCCCTCCCGACCACACCAGGTCCTTCACACAGTTTGCGGCATTATGTTGCATGGCAGCTCTTTGTCTGTGGAAGACTTGCAATCGTGTTGCCGAGAACTGCGGAGCTTTGGTCGCACTAGGAACTACCCCAAGCCGGCCACTAACTTGTGCGAGTCCTTCGGCCCCTTGGCTTTGGTGTAGATCTTGAGGAAGTCCCCAGTGTCCAGCTGGCTCAGGGGGTCGAAGCGGATGATGATCCGCGAAGCTTTGGGCAGCCGAACCACCCGCTGGGCGCTTTTGCCAAGGTCGTCCTGCACCCGAGAGAATTAACACGAGAGAGACTCTTGACCGTCAAATCTCTCCGAGGGGTCTACACAGCGGCGTGATCCTATCAGACCTTAAGAATGCTGTACAGATGAACCACCCAGGTCGACTTGTCCTCCTGGTTAGCTTTGCCCACGTGTTCGAAAGAGTAGGGCAAAGGAACTAGAAGGACAAGTCATACTAGTGAGTAAGTGTTCTAGATGCTGGTCCCCTTTTTGGGCACCAGAAATCAGACGGTCCATGCCCGATGATGAACTCCACCAGCCTAGAGAGCTGACCATGCAACTATAAACGCACATCTGGGTCTGGAAAACCCTAAACCCCAAAACCTAAAACATACTGCATCTTCCTCTTCTTGCGACCCTAAACCCCTAAACTCCTAAACCTTAAACCTACCCTAAACCCCTAAACCCCTAAGCCCTAAGCCTTAAACCTACTCTACGTCGCCTCATGGATGGGATGGCTGGTCTCCACCACCCGCGTGCAAACGGTGGGGATGTGCTCAGCAGATCGCCAGGTCAAAGCCGGCATCGTATCCACTCCTCAAGCTTCACACGGTTCTTAAGCCGGGGCTCTAAGTTCCACCAGGTTTAGGGGTACCTTTTGGGGCAGAAGCCCAATTCCCTTTCAGCTTCTACTGACTCATATAATTCGAACCTAGGGCTCCCATGGCTCCACCCAGGATGAAGCTGAAGCACTTGTTGCGCTCTTGGGCGTCGATGTCCTCCACCGCCTTGAGCAGCGCCACACGCTGCCTCGCGTTCTTTGGAGGCACCCCAACGGAAAGGAAAGCCAAAGGGGGGGCCCCTTAACATATCCCACGAACAAGCTTTATCAATTAGTAAGCCTAACCCCAACCCTCCGGCACAAAAAGATCCTTGAGCCCCAAACCCTAAACTCCCAAGCTTCATGGCTGCGAGATGCCTGGCAAGGGTGCTGAAGACGGCGTGCACCACGTCGGCTTCATCGCCGGCGGCATCCGCCATGGCATCGATCTGCTCACTCCAGAGGCTGAATGTGCCTGGGCTTCGTACATGGAAGTCGAGCTCAGCAACCCATAATGAGCCATACTGAGGAGACCTTGGTCTTGACTAGATGTTCTTTGTCCAGGCAAGATGGTAGTAAGTTCCCATGAACAGCAGGTCAAGGCGCAGGAGGCCACTGCCAGACTCTGTACATCGTCTGGCTCGAGCTCCGACACCGACCAGGCGGTCCTGAAAACTCGGGGCGGACTCGAGGAGAGAAGGGTGTGTAGTGGGCCCAGGATGCTCCCCCAAAAGAGGCGATCAGAAACCCCCCCCAAACAACCCGATCTATGCAGGACCGAAGGTCATTGCGAGGTGCGCGTGGCACTGCATGAGTACACCGTAGTTCCTTGGCACAGCTGCAGGGGGAAGCAGACCAAATCATGTGGTGCAACAGATCGTGGAGGCGTGCCAGATCATGCCGGTATGCTCAGCATGTACTCAGTCTACTGTCCCTGCTCGAAGCCATGCTGATGCCAAAAGGACCCAAGCCATGGAGCCTTTGACGCAAAGTCTAAGAAATGCGCAGCAAGGCTCTTTGAGACGTTGGCCTGGCGGATCCATCGCGCCAAGATCTTTCTCGACAGCTTCTGCGTGAAGCGGCGGAAGACCTTGGCTACCCCCCCGGGTCATGTGAGCAGTCTGAGCAGTGAGCCCAACGAAGTACGGACCAGGGCTGCAGCCACGCGCGACTCCTGATATGAAGGATGCTGCAAGAAGGGTTCAGGCTGTTCAGGACAGCCCTCTCTCATAGAGAACCCCTTTTGACGTGCTCACATGTGCTCACCATACCTCCTCACTGCCTCACACTCCCTCGAATCAGCAAGATCTGTGATGTTCATGTTTCCGCATGGTGCTGAGTTTTTGAGGTTCGAGGCTGGCATCAAAAGGCTGTACCACGTCAATGCGTGAATTGGCACTATCTGAAACAGAGCTACAATACAAGTGGTAAGAATCCTTTCAACAGAGTCATCCTTCATCTGTCTTAGAAACACCCAGGCACAGAGAGATGAATCAAACAAGGCGGTGGAAGAAGTGCAAGGAATGATGGAAATAAGTGATGCCTGTCTGTTCTAGGTGAGTGCAGCTTCTCTGCGTTCGGTCTCTAAGCCGTGAGGAATGATGTGACTGTGAAAGTCGCTTAGCAGGTTATGCTGGAAGATTATATATACATACATACGTATATTCAACGACTTCTTATCATGTGAGTACCTTGGTGCTGGCTGGACGGTGAAAAAAGCCTCTTTGACCAGTGAAACAACCAAGGGAAAGGCAAGGACTTCAGATTCATGAACTTCGGGAACTCTTCCAGCCCGGACCAGAACTTATAGAGAACTACTTCGGTGCACTGAACAGACCCTGGAAAAAAGGGTAAGGCACTCCTCCAGACAGGCCAGGGCCTCGCCAGTGGCAGAGGACCGCGCCGTCTCTATGAAGTCCTGCAGGGTGCTTTCGGGTTTGCAGGGCCAGGAGGGTTCACCTAAGTGCGAAGCCCACCCAGTCACCCAATCCACAGCTCTACACTTCTCTACAAGTCTGCAAGACTACGTGCATCGTGGATGCTTCACGGTGTGCCACCGATTGCAGACTCATCTTGTGGGATCCGTTTGGCCTTTTCAAGACATCGATTTGGATTATTGAATGGTCAAATAAGCCTGCATTTGGATCACCCATCTGTTGCAACAACTGGCTGTTCTCCTAATTCTAAATTTGCAGCGACTGATCAAATATCAACAGCAGAAGGAACGGTTGCTCATCAACACGAAAATGGACACCAGCTACAGTACTAGGAAAAGGTTAACGACGTTGGCTGCCCGGTGTCCTGCACGAGCACAGCCACGCGAAGGACGAAGAGGAAGGGCTGAACCAACGGGCCGTCGGAGTTGCCATTTCCTGAGCTAAGTTGGCGTCATCTGGATTTACATCTGTTTATGTTGGGTCATCGTCGGTTGGATGGGGGCCATAGTCTCTAACTCGCACAAGACGGAGATTCGAGGTCAGCACCTACAAGATCGAGCACCGCAAAGCTGAACGGAAGCAATCCTTTTTTCGGAATAGTGGTACGTGGTCCAATTTCGGAGCGAGAAGATGTCGGCAAAATATGATGTCGTTCTTGTCGCCACACTTTCAGGAGTGAGGGCCTCAAAAAGAGGCTGCCTTCCAGGCGGTTCAATTCCTAGGCGGTTCGCGGCTACTGGGGCTTCTATAGAGCGATACTATCGAGCTTATGTGGATCTTCTAGTGGTGGAAACTTGGCTGCGACTTCCAAGCCCAGTGTCCCAAGTCCTTCACCGCATCGAAGAGTTGGTGCAGGAAGGGCAAAACCAACTGCGGCTTCGTCACCTCGGCTCGGCTTGTACAAGTAGCAACATGCGCATTTCTCCCTGGCAATCTGTGTGTTGGAGGCCTCTATACAGTATTATAGATAAAGAAGGGGTACAGCACTTACAGGGTACGTCGATCTTTTCCCTGATGTATAATTAAAAGGAAGGGGCTAAGAACGGGCGCAGCCTGGTTAAGACCTCTGCGGCTTTGCGGCCATCTCCGTGCTCAGCCAACCATACTCGACGGCAAGCGACTCGCAAGGGACCCGGGCCTGCACACACAGCAACCAGCGGCATACACGAATAGCATGCGGGGTTTGCCGCGAATCTGGTGAAACTTCGTCTTAGTCTGCAAAGCTATAGTTCGTTCAACAGCCATTCGTTGTGAAATTGCAGTCGCGTTCCGGTATGCTTTGCTTAACTATCTCTTCTCTTTCCGTCAGCTGTCTTATCCGAGCTTCCACGTTCTCTCTCTCTCTCTCTCTCCCTCCCTCGCTTTCCCTCTCTCACGTCTCAGGTCTCATGGCCGCGTCGGGCCTGCGCCAGCGCCTCCACTTTGGGAGGCTTCGGGGCCCAAGGGGCGTCGAGATGGACATCTTTGGCAGCCTTGGACTCCCTGGAGTCCCCCATGGCATCCTTGGGAAAGGGCCCGGGCTCGAAGAGGCAGGCGAAGAAGATCCGCTGGAACTGGCGGTGGTGCAGGAGGGCGACGTGGTTCGGCACCACGAACTGGAGGAGCATGGGGATGCGGAGCCCCGGGCAGTTGAGGATCATCAGGAGGGCCTCTGATTGCGCCTGTGTCAGTGAGAAGTCAAAGTCCGGGAGCACGGCGGCCGAAGCGATCTCGTTCTCAAGGGTTCCCCCGAAGCGAAGGTACGGCAAAGAGGGGCAAAGCACCTTCGGATGCGTGAGCGAGGGCTGTGGGTGGAGGAAGTTGGCATGCCGCGAGGGAATGGTGCAGCTGTGGAGGACCTTCACCGTGAGCTTGCTGGGTGGGTTGAAGAGGCTCAGCGCGAAGCTGCACTCCTCAACGCTGCTCACGGAGAGCACCTGATCCGTGGCGGGGGCCGTGCCCTGCCCCTCAAGGGACCTGGAGTGCAGACACTTTCCAACTTACGAGAGCACGCTTACAGGAATAGGAGCTTGTAAGGCTACGCATTTTTAAAGGCTTGATATATGACTTCTCATAGCCAGGAGACTGGGAGAGGGCCGGCACGCTGCCCAGAAGCATCTGGAAGAAGATGCTCAAGTCCCGAGCCTGAGCCCACTCTGGGCAGGCAGCATCCAGCTCCCGATCGAAGGCCCAGGCCACTTGGACCTCCCAGTCCTGATAAGGCCGCTCGATTTCAGGCAAATCGCTGGGCACTTTCTTGAGACTGTGCAGGGACACAAGGTGGGACACCAGCTCGGTGAAGGCCTTGCCACACCCCACGGCTTCTGCAGAAGACAGCTCGCTGCCCTGATGCTCTGGAGGTCCGAAGAGAAGGACCGATGGATCCTCCATGTAGATGGAGGCGTGGGAGCTGCCCGGTTGGCTTGGTTTCTGATGCCGGCAGATCCGACGCCGCACTTCTAGGATGCCTGGGGAGGTGATGGGCATCCAGGCCGTGAGATCCGCGAAGCCGGGAGGGCGGCCATCCTTCTGCCAGGGGCGCAGGGCCCACAGAACCCCCGAGGCCTCGGCGGAGCTCTTGGCCAAGGCCTGGGTTAGCTTGGCCTCCCTTGTGGCCAGCAGAACATGTTCGAAGAGCTCCAGCAAGCTTGCCAGCACCAGCACTCCGGTGGAGCTGCCGCAGCGGCCCAGGAAGGTAGACCGGACCCCCGCCAAGTAGTGGGCACCCAGGTGGTGGATGGCTGCGAGCACCTCGACTCAGGGAATTGAGTATCTTACAGAGCATTGAATACTCTCGATTCTCAAGTTATGCAGGAGATTGCAGGAGCTTGGATGGTTAGAATTCAATGTGAAGGATGGCTATAAAGGACGGCTTCTTGAAAGCTAATTGGAGCGCCTCTCGGCCCTGCGCGAGGTCGAGGGTGCCGAGGTCCTGTTTCCAGAGGCCACGTCCTTCCCAGAAGACCAGGGAATCGATGATTCCCACGATGAGCTGCTTTGATCGGTGTGAGCAGCCCAAGACCTCTTCCAGCCGATCCTGGACGAAGAGGGGGCCCAAGACTTTGCCAAAAATCCCTGCCTAAAAGACTCTCTGTGGAAATCTGGAAGCCTCCCTAACCTCCCTCTGCTCTCTTAAGCAGGTCAAGGAGCACACATCAAGGCAGCTTGCAGCACGGCATCCAGACTTGGTCCGGAGGCACTTGCAGAGGCAATACCAGTGAGGTCCACGTGCGGGTTCGTGGACTTCGTGGCTGACGGGCCCGCAAAGGCGTTCTGCACTTCTGGAGGGATCGTGGCACTGGCTGCCAGGAGCTCAAAGCCTTGAAAGCAGCCAGAGGCCTTTGGGAACTCCATCGGTGGGTCCTTTGTCTCCAGCTTGGCGGCAAAGAAGCCGAGCCATGGCATGGGAGGTGCGGCCAACCAGATCTTCTGTAGGCAGACGTGGACACGGCCTCGCGCCGTGGCCGCGTAGGCCTCGCGCACGCAGCGCCGAGCCACCTGCTTCAAGGCCACCGTCCTTCGTTGCACGCATGTCTAGCACCTAGCCGCTTAGCAGGAACCAACAGCGGCAGCTTAAGACTGCCGAGGGTCAAGATGATGCGGTCGCTGATGGTAAGCTTGTGGCAGGACTGCTGCAAGTCCGCCACCATCTTCTCCAGGTAGAAGATGCGGAAGTTAAGCATCCACTTCTTCACCGCATCACGTTCGAGCCCGAGGTGTCGAAGCAAAACACGCAGGGTCAGGAAGATGCACTTTGCATAGCCTTAAACTGGAGTGCCAAGTTGTCAGGGCAAGGATGGCAAGAACCAATGCAAGCGGCCACACAAGCTCGAAGACCTTCAAACACCACCTCGAATCCTCGAATCCTCGACCCTGCTACACTGTCAAGGCAAAAAAACATCGTCAGTGCTTCGAAAGGACATGTGCCCGCTCGCTGCGGAGTAGTTGGCCATGCGCCCTGGCCATCTTCCTCAGCAAAGGTGGCAGGGTCCATAGGGTTATTCCTACGGCTAGGACATGCTAGAACGATCTTCTTTGATGCCGGGCTCGGCAGCTTCCAGCAGAGGTAGGAGCACTTCGTAGAGTTGGGCGCAAGTGTGACAGCGGTGGCGCACAAAGTATGTGCGGAACCTGGACGTGGGTCAAGAGACTGTTAGTTCAGAGTCCATGCATAGAGTTTCAGGGACTTCCATGGTGCTTGTTGGCGTTTGTGTCAGCTAGCGCGCCCCGTCCCAAAACCCCTCGCCACGCACCCCCAGTGATGACGCTATAGGCCTCTCAGGCATCCTCAGACTAGAGTGGCTGATCCAAGCAGCAGCGCATACAAAAATGGGAGGTCCAGGCGCTCCTTCTTGATCGGGGACAGGCAAAGCCTGAGAGATGTCAACTTAACAATTAACTTGGCATTTGCAGAAACTTACACAACCCTCATCTAACTCGCACCTTACGTCGCTCGTTGTCCGGGCGCTGACCTAGTAAGGACCTGTAAGAGCAAGCAGAAAGGAGATGTCACCCTCCACGAAACCACCATAGCCAGTAGCATGAACTGCTTACCCACTGCTCCCAAGTGGCCTCGTCCGGTAACGTGCCTTTCCCATTGCCATCATTGATGGGTCGCAGACTTGAAATTGGTGAATTCCAGATCCAGTGTTGAGCACAGAGAAAGAAAACTCGCCTCGACGTTGCGAGACAGCACTGGGGATGTCTGAACAACGTCCAACATGCTGCTCGGGCACTGTCGGAACATCTCTGGATCATATACCTTCATCACGTACCGACACATACTCCAGCATACTTTATTAAGTTCACTACAGAGAAACTCTCTTCACCCCAAGGTGCATGATGGCATGGCCACCGTGCTCTCCACGCCATCCGCCCTCCACGATCCAAGTCTGGTTGGCACCCAAGGCATAGATTTCCTTCCTGTCAACATCACGGGGAAGACGGGAAGACTTCAATGAGATGTGCATAATATTCATAATATGTTAGAGCGTGCAGGTGCAAGCCAGGCGCTGCATCTGCTGGGACCAGCGCATCCCATCCTCAGGATTCCCAGCTCGAGGTTTCAGGGGCCTTATAAGGGCGTGAACCTGCACAGGAACATGCTTCAAGCGAACGTCCCTCTCTCAGAGGACCCTAGACTCCCTAGACCCTAAAGCCTTGAAACCCTGCTCAACACTGCAAAAAGTGCAGCCCGGGCCTGGGTTTCGAAGGCCTCGTGGCCCGCGTTGCTGCGGTCCGCAGCGGCGCGCAGGTGCTTGAGGGCAGTACCTCGGGCGGTTTAGGGTTTGTAGGACTAAGGGTTTGGCAAGATTTGGGGTCCACTTTTGGGGGTTTAGAGGATTGCGCTTTAGGGGGTCGCCAAGCTGTATTATCGTCCAAGCTCGGATGCCTTTGAGTTGTAAGATCGCCGGGGCCCTGACGCAGTGCCTCCACATCGGTGCTGCTCATGGCAACGGGCAAGGAAGGGAACCGCAACAGCTCCTCCCCCACCTCCACGACATCGCCTAGCTCACTCCGAGCAGGGCAGCGTTGCAACCCCGTAACTTGCAACACCGGTAGAACCCAATCAAGTAGCACAATGCAGGTGCCATGACATACCAACGCAACAAAACCTTTTGAACGCTCAGAAGCCGTAATATAAACCCTATATATACTGTATATATATACACACTTTCTTTTAGTTTATGTATACTTACTACGCACATGACTCTGGTTGATTCGTGGCCGCTTCTGTGTCTGAGCCCGTGGCGCAGGGCCTCTCGCAGGGATGCAGCAGAAGGAGCTGACTTTGAAGACTTTGGAGACTTGAGGATACTGAAGCTGCCTGGATCCAAACTCTATACACCTTTAACGAATCCACCTAGCTTAACCTCGTCTACCCTCCTCTTCGTTTTCAAACTGGCACTGAGTCCTAGAGAGTACTGGGGAGCAGAATTTGCATGAACAATTACGAATGCGCTGGGCTTCGGCCTGGGACGAGCGGCCTCCCTCCAAGTTCGTGTTCTCGATGTAGGGGTCGCAGAAGAGGCCTGGGTTGGGCCCCAAACGCAGCTACACAAGTACACCACACCACCCGAACCCTCGAATGTCAGGGCTTGTTGCCTTTTTGGTTTGGGACTTCATGTTGGTAGTAGGCATCACGACTCTGTCGCATCACTACTAGTTTGCTATCACAACTCGTCTCACTGTTGTTATTGTGACCAATGCTTATAAAAATTTATTATCACAATCATAAAAGATTGTGATACCTAATGATCATAGGCATCATAATCAATCAGCATATTCGCGATTCTCTGATTGCTTGCGACACGCCTGCCTTGGGCAGTCTTGCTTCTCCAGGCGGGACATGGCATCTCGACCTTGGTTGCACGCGAGAGCCCTTTAAGCCCTATGGGGTTTCCATACGCTTTGAACCGGGCTTAGATAGGGTTGAGGGCCATTAGCCGCCCTCTTCAGTGTTCGGGTGTTGGACACTGCATGGCAACACGACGTGCCTCCGCGATCTTCGCACCCGCTGTATCTTCCTTCCTGAAACGGTTCTCCACATTGGGGCTGGGGATTCTGCCCTGGAAGCTCACGCTCTGCTATACTTCCCCCCGCCCTCAGGCCTGCCATGTACTTCGGACGATGCACGCCCCTTGGCTTTGGGCGCTGGCTTGGTCGCACTTGGACTGGCTGATCGCCTGTGACTCAAAGAAGGGAACGCGTGAACCATCTCTGAAGGTTTCCGGGCACGTGGACTTCCTCCGGCATGTCGGGGGGAGTTTGAATGACCCTGCTTCGGCCTGCTCTCACTTCTCCGTGCCGATGTGGCTTTGGCAGAGGTCTTCGCTTTCGGTGCCATTTTGGCTCGTCCAGCGACCCGGCGTGCTTTGCTCTGCTTTGTATATGAGCGTTTCGTCTCGGAGAAGTGCCTCCTCCATGAAGGACAAGGGATCTCGGAACGTGTGTGGTAGCTTGAGCTCCCTGAACCTACTGGCCCACTGCTTTGTGACGAAGCTTTGCGCCAGTCCTGTTGAGCCCATGCCACGTCCGGGAACAGCTGAGCATGCGCTGTGAAGTGGAGGAGCATCGGTCGGAACGACGCAACCGCATGAACGCCCACATGTTCGCCCACATGCTGACAGCTATGGAGCACATGAGGTTGCTTACAAGCCCAACAAGCTGCGCAGACCAGGATTTAACAAGCATCATTTAGTACAAAGCTAACAGGTCTTGCTCTAGCTACCACAATGTACAAGAGAGAGCAGATTCCATCCTGAAGTTCGAGGTGCAAGGAAGCTCTGCACCAGTAGAGCTTTAGGAATCCAGCAGGTGAAGTCACCGGGCTGATGGTGGTGCTGTTGTCAACTTCTCAGTCTGAATAGCCTTTATCAGGAAAGCGCAGCATGTACAATGTACAATGATGCTGAGCTCCCCAAAGCCTGTCTGGAAAACCCTGGCTCCGAAGCAGGGATATCTTGGCGCACCACTACAGCCCGCCAGGGCCATTGAAAGAAGCATTGTTTTAAGGGACCTCAAACGAGCTGCATTAAGTGTTTGGATGAGCGCAGGTATCCAAACAGCTTGTTCGCCTTGCGTGAAATGACCATGCCGAAAAAGGTGCAGGGGTCGGGCTTCTGCGGCTCCTGAACGGGCAGTGCACTGCATCATTTTCAGCACTCGCGCTGCCCGACTTTCCTGTGAGCGCAATTGACGCGCAGCAGAAGCAGCCGCAGGACTTTACCTGGCGCTTGATGCCTCGCACCACCGGAGGCATGACCATTATCCACGGAGCAAATCTCCAATCAACGGCAAGAACCAGCAAGGACGAAAGACCGGACTGGCTCAGTCATCTTGTCCGCCCACTTGTTCAACTGCCAAAGCAGCATCTGCAACTCTCCTCTCCAGAGAATTTCACGAGCAACGCCCTGCAAGTGGCAGCTCCAGCTGTCTAACGCCGCAGTGTCATTGGAGCTTGCCAGAAGGTCCTTCATCACTTCCTTGCGAAGGCCTTTAAGGTGTGTGAATGGCTCACAGTGAACCAGACAAAGGCATAGGCGGGCGCGATGTAGATTGCAAAGTTCGTCGGTACAAAGCCAATGCAGAATTTGCTCCGCGTAAAACGCTCTTGCGTCAGAGTCAGGTAGATGTTCTACGCAAGTCGACAGAAGGACGTTGACCACTCGCCAGAGCGCGCCTGCTTGCTTGGCCTCCGTCTCACCGGCTTGTGAGGCCGCCAAGGCATGGTGATGGAGCCAAGCTATGACCCTCTGCACTGCCGTTGAGTTTGCTCGCCACCAACAAGCAAGAGCATCACGGCAGAAGAGAATTTGGAGCCCTGCCAGGGCAGCGCATGGCAGTGGCATGGTACGTGCAATCCAACTGTAGGTCAAGAGTGGTGCGAGCCTCGGCATCCTGCCGGTTGGCTGCAACTCTGCGAGCTTGGGCCCTCGCGAAACTCGCGGTAAGCCAGGAAAGTATCAGGCCTGCCACATTGGCCAGATAAACCACACAGCACATGCGGGCATGGCATGTGACCAACGGCAAAAAGCCCCTGTCTTGAAACTGGCAGGGCCTTTCTGGCTGTATCAGATCCACGATGTGATCAACGAGCTCCTCCACACGAAAGACGGACTAACCCGGTGCACAGCAGGCGACACGAGCCCGGAACCTGCACATGCCTGATACCCGTGTTTCTCACTATAAAGGCACCCAACACCCTGATTTCGAATTGAAACTCGCGCCTCAGTCTGTGCTTGCCCTGGGCAAACGGCCCGTAGTCGAGCAAAGTCCTGCACCTGAGCGCTGCAGATCGACAAATCAGGGTTCTAGCTCTAATTAAGGAGCCGGCATATCCGGGTTTCATTCCCACCCAGGCAAGAACAGAGGGTAAGAATGGTACTCATGGAACTTTTCGGGGTTCGTCCGACGAGCACGTGGCTCGAAAAGCTCTTATGCTGGAATTCACGGTACAGGCAACCTGAATTAAGGTGCGCTCCTCAAGCTTCAAGGCTGCAGATCCAAAAGCAAAAACCTTTGGGTCCAAATCTTGCATAGCCGCAGTGAGATAGCTCTGCACATCACACACGATGTTCGGGAGGTGCCTAGGGTCACGTGGCCATCAACCGATGCTGGCATTCAGAGCAGGACCCAAACCATCCAAAAACATGAGACACTGAGACACTCGCCACGGGAAGCTGGTATGCAACTCCACCGGCTCATCGACTTTGCGGCCGACCAACACCTGAGGCACTTCTGGGTTTGGCTGTCAAAACGGAATCCTCGTTTCCGAGCGAACCCAACTCCCAGGACTCCGAGGGAGCGAAGGGCCTCCTCCTCGGAGATGTTGGCAGGAGCCTGCAAATACTCAAGAAGAAAAGTCCCTCTGGTTGTCCGAGGCTCCCTAGGCCCTAGGCAGTACGGGCATCATAGCCTGGCAAAAGCAGAACAGGTTGGTCAAGAAGTCCATGGGATCAGACCTTTTCAGCCTGACAATCTGACATTTTGGAAGCAAGGCTCAGTACACTGTACACTGGGTTGCAATACCTAAGACTCCTAAGATTCACATTGATTCATGCCTGGAGCAGAAGAAAAGGCGGTTTAAACATGCCCTCCGCGTGACACGTTGAGGCTAGGAAGATTCATAAGCTTCATGGCACGCATCGGCTACTTCCGAGCGCGCCTCTTTGCAGCATAGGCAGCCCATGATCAACTTTCACTGAACGAACTGGCAGCTGAGCTCTGCTTCTACAATGCTGAAAAGCGTCAAGGTCATGCCGGTCATGCAACTTGTGAAACTTCTTGTGTGCTCTGTTCCAGCAGACCTGCGAATCAGGCGGGCTCATGTTCAAGATCTCGGGCCAGCTGGAATGCGGGCACGGCAGCGTGGCAGTAGCCACTCTCACAAAGGCACTCAAGAACAGCCAAATTTCCCCAAATTTCCCAAGTTCTGGACACGGCCAACCGGTGGCATGGACGGGGAGGGTTGAGTGGGGGTATCGACCACGCGGCGGATCCTTCCATGACAACTGCCTTCGACAGTATGATAGCCTACACTCTGCACATCCCCATCCCTCTCGGGCAGGTGCATGATGCGCGGCCCACCTTACTGTATACAGCGGTAGGTTCTGGTCCTCCCCCTGTTGGCTTTCTGATCCTGGTGCATTGTGACCTTGCGCATGGAGCTTCACTAAGGGTGGCAGGCAATCACACTGCTCTCCCCGACCCTTCCTCTTCTTCGGAGCTTCTGGCTCGGGGTCTCGGGGTCTCGGTGTCGCGGGCTTCGGACGGGCGAGCTCTTTTCCTCTGTTGATCTTCGAGCTTCTGCAGATAAGGGACTCTCTCAGAGTCGCCGTAAGCATGGGCTTTGCACCCATTGGGCTGTACGTTCACGTTGCCCATCCTTGAGTGACCTCGTGTCAGGCTTGGCCCATCTTTCGACCAGCTGCGTGACGTCTTCATCGCGAGCATGCGTAGCATCGCGTCCCGATTTTCCGGAGCTCGGGCCTCAGCAGACGTCGCCAACCGGAGTGGACCGCCTTGCCTTCCCCCTTCCCCGCAGTTGACGTCCGGCCCTGACTGCTTTCCTTTGCACTTTGCACATCTCCTCAAACCGCTGCCCTAGTGCGTTCGCAAGAACGAAAGGCAAACAACAAGCACGACAAGTAGAACATGAAGAACACCAACCACATCGAATTTCAAGCATACCGAACCTGTCTCGTCTTCTCAGCTCACACACGAGCTGCTAGACTGAACAGACCACCCCACAACATCAGCAGTGCAATCGGCTTAACCGGTGTATCGCAAGCAACTATATACCTCCCCCGTACTGAATGTGATGTCTCCGAGAGACTGAGCGACATGGAAGCTGTAGTAGCAGGAGACAGGAGCCCCCGCCAAGGTCATTTTTTCACTGTTACTGTAGTCTCGATCGCCTTGATCATTTTTAGCAGAAGCAGGGGTGCAGAGGAGCTGAAAATTGTTGCGACAGCACTCGAACCAGGTGCCCCGAGATTTTTCTGCAACTTCCCGTGCGGAGCGGCGTAGCTGAGCCTCAGTATCCCAGTGAGGCGGTTTTCCACGTGGTGCTGTACACTTGCCAGAGATCTGGAGAGGCCTGCTCTGTACATCCGGAGCGGAATCGAGGTGCTCAAACCTATGTTTTGGGCCCCTCGGCTGTGCATGCCCGACTGTACATAGTGCATGCCGTACTGTGTCTGCATCAAAAGAATGCATAATTATGCTCATAGGCCTCTTATTCAACAGCTGCCCAGCACAGAGCGCTTCTGACCCTTCTGATCCTTTGCCATCACCACCAACTGCTCAGCCAGCCGCGGACTGAACGCTGCTCAGCACTTCTTGCGCCAGCGCCGTGGATCAAGACTGCCCGCTTGAAGTCGAGGCTCCTGCCATGAGCAAAGGCTTCACACGGCGACTACTGAGTTACTGCATCTCACTGTGGCCTCTCTGTGAACGGTCTCCATGCTCTCCGGGATTCCAACTGTGCTGATGGCTCCTCGGTGGGCCGGAGAAGCAGATCCTACATGAGTCTCCTTCGGACCACCCCTCGCTCTTGCACCATGAAAGTCTAGAAAAGCTGGGTTTTGCTGCTACACACATGTCATGGACCTCAGCTAGCTGCACGTCGGAGGCTCTTCTTGTAGTGAACCACCTGCACTTATAAGGGTGGCAGCCGGTTTTTCGGGCAAAACGATTTAGGGCATAGGCACAGTTTTCGCTCGGAGATGACACGCAAACGTCCGCCAGCCAGCACTGTCCGCATAGATCAGTGGCTTCAGCGGGCGGCGTGGAACGCTGTCTGTCCGAAGTGGTACCATCGAACGCATGGACTGCGATTGATCTGTGTACAATTGAAATCGCTACTATTCCTGAACACCGGTGCACCAGGGTGTGGAGAGTCTCCAGGGTGTCTTTGTCCCTGTAAAAACGAAGTTGACATTGAATCAGCTTGGCGGCCCCCGCATCTTCTTCATGCGCTTCTTCTCCTTCTTAAGGGCAAGGATGAGTGACTCGCTTTTTGGCCCGGATGGCGCCTTCAGAAGGCTCCATTGTTTTGAGTCCAAAGCATCCACACACTCATCTAAGACTTTCTGTTGTGCTTGGCTTATCGTCTGTTCTCTCATCCGTGGCCAAGCCTTCAGGCACACCACCGGCCGGGCGCAGTACGCAGCGCCATCTGCGTAACTGCATGTGGCCCCAAGTCCGTGAAATCCGTGGGAGTAGCATGGATGCTGAGCGCCGTCTACTCTTTTATTTCTTTCATAGACGTAAGTGTTGCGCAAGAAATCATGGTTCCGGCCTACTTGTGGGCGGAAACCGTCCGTCCTTCTCGAGAAGGTGTCCACCAAGTCCTGCACGTGATAGTAGCAATTATGCCCGTGTTTGTTATCTTCTTTCCCGATGTTGGCGCGACCAATTTGCTTCCATTCACCAGCCGCGCCGTAGTCGGAACACTGACCGTTGCACGCGTAAGGAGTGCCAACAATGCGCAGCTGCAAGTAGTTGCAGTTGTCATACCCCCAGCACTCCTGGTCCGTCCGTTCCTCACGGCAAGGGCGTTCAATTACAGTTTAGGTTATTCGGCGCTAGCGGAAACTGTATAGCGGTTTCTCCGGTTTCTCCTTTTCCGAACAGAAAGAACATGCCGCAAAGCCAAGCATCAGTGCGAGTGCATGGGTTCTTGGGATTGCACTTCTGCATCAGGGGTGAATAGCCAACCTCACACTTGTCCTGCACCTTCTTCATCAGCGCACTCACCCGCCGCATCATACGTGTGACATCAGCCCCCACCAGAAGGCCTCGTATATGTCGCACCCATGGAGCTCTTAAGTCACCCACCATGGCCTCGTCCTTGGCTTTGTCGTCGTTCGCATGCATCTTGATGACTTCGACCTTAGTACAACGGTGTTGCGACATCACAAACCTTGAAAGGGCTGAGACAAGAACCAATGAAGAAAGCCGCCTGATTGCATCTCCAGGCACAAAAGCGCCTTCCACTTTGCGAAAGATATCCTCTACATTTTGGAACTGCTTCAAAGCATCTTTCATCCAGTCGTATCGACCTTGAGCGATTGGCAGGCCCTTCGTGCCCTTGTCCAAGCAGTCCGGGTGATAATCGTGAGAAGCCCATTCGCTACACTTCTGCCAACAATTGCTCTCGAAAGGAGTTGTGTCCAATAGGTTGGCCCTCAGCGATTTCGTTTTCTCACCACTTGCAGCACCGAATGTTTGCAGCACAGCAAGAAAGAGGTTCTGGCGGGCTTGTCGAATGCTGAGTAGGCCATCTCCTCCTGTCCAGAAAAATTCCTTGAACATCTCCAGCTCCCCGTAGTATCGCTTATCAGGGACAGTACCGTTCAAGTGCTCAACACGCCGCACGATCGTCATCGCAAGATATGTTAGTGTTCCGTGCAATTGTTCCAGGCTGGAATCCAAGCTTTTCTGTATGCTATCCACTTCGTTGTTACTTATGGCCAACTTCACCACGTATTCTAAGTCATCCTTGTTGACGGCTAGCGGCCCTGGGTCGACTCCAGCTTTGAAGAAACCCAGCACCCACTGGATGGCAGAAGAGATAACAGGGCCCCAGGGCAACATGAACGCCGCCGCCGTCATCACTGCTGAGGCATGCTGCAGGAGCTTGATGCCTGTGCCGGCGAAGTCGCAGCTGCTGCTGTCTTTCAAGCACTTTCCCAATTCCGTCAGGGTGCCCGTGACGGATTCGACGATAGCGGTGTACTTCGATGCCGCATCTTTCGCCTTCTGCAACTTCTTCTCCGCCGCTGCCTTCTTCTTCTCAGCATCTGCCACTTCATGGGCTTTCTTGACCGCCTCATCGCCGATCTGCGCTTTCCGCTTCTCCTGGTCTTCCATATCTTTCCTTTCCTTGCTGCACGAGGATATCCAGGCCTCAGACTGGCACCTTTCATACGTCTCCTTGGCCTTGGCGAGATCCTCCTCAGCTTTCTTTCCGTCATTCTTCAACTTGATCTCTTCGTCTTTGGACTCTCGGAGCTTCCTATCCCAATCCTTCACGCTCTCCCTGTGATCCTCGATCGCTTGCTCGTTTTTCTTCTCCTCCACTTTGACTCCTTCCTCCAGGGCCTTTCCATCACCGACTCTGTCCTCGATGTCTCTGACCCGGTCCTCGGCCAAGCTGCCACCTCGCGGCGGCCGGAGTGGAGCTGTCAAAGAAATCCTGCCAGACCCGATCCTCGGCGGAACCACCCCCGATTTCCCGACTTGCAAGGCGCAGGCTGCTCTCCCAATGAAGGAGTACTACGTAAGATTCCTCTCATTTTAGGCGTGATTCCTATCTCATAGAAGCCTAACCTGATCTCGGCCTGTCGATTTTCTAGGATGTTGGATGACTTCTTGATAGCTTGCAACAGGCATCTCTTTCTGAAGGCTGAGAAGTTCGCAGGTGTCATTCTCGGCACCTCTTGAAAGCACAAGAAGCGCCAAAGCCAGCAGGGATGACGGCATGGAACGATCTGATGGCGAAGCGAAACCCGATCCTATCTTCAGGACGTGCCCGGGAGCCAAGCCAAGATGGCAAGGACCAAAAATGAATGCTTCTGGGACTGACTGCAGGATGGCCCCAAGATGAAGTACGTTACAGTGAAAGAAGTGCATTGCAATGGTGGCTGTGTCCAAACAACCGGCGCACGATCACTTCCTGATTCTGGCTGTCTCGTGGATCGCGAAGCACTCATCACTTTCTCCGGCCTGCTGTTGACCGCCCTGCATCTGACACCCGTGCTGAAAAATCACGCTGACGGACAAGCGAACACCCTGCCTTTCTGGCACTTGCACACCGCACCTGTGGCTCCTGCACCTACAAGAGCTAATCTGAAAGGCTTCGGGCTTTTCATTGGTCAACCTCATAAACAACTGCCGACACTCAACTCCCAAGATGGGAACAATGCAGAGACTCTAATACCCCTCACTCAAGGGTCACTGCCACTTGTTAGGAAACTCTACTGTAACTAGTTGTACTCTCATTTCTGGCACTAAGAACCCTTCCCCTAACTTCAGGAAGACTTCCAATGATTCAAGCGCAACATGTTGAAGGCTTCTTCACACTCATCGCCAAATTTCTCTAGAAGTAGGCGCCTAAAGTCATGTCAGAAGCTACGCATGCTTCATGGACTTTTTGCTGGTTTCTCAGGCATGTTCCTAGTTGCTTGGCAATGCAATACTCCAGGACGAAATCTTTGAACCGGGTTAAGGCTTCCTGATGCAGGCGCAGAGGCTTCCTGATGCAGGCGCAAGCACATGCTCGAACGAGTGCCAGCAATATCTGCGCGATGCCTACAAGCCTTGCCTGAAATCGAGTTTCCATCGGCGTAAAATGAGTGAATGTACGAAACAAAACCCCCGCTGCCACCGATCAACTCTTTTTGCGTTGACATCACCCATGTCCTTCAGGGGAGTGGGAAGTTTGGACAGCGCAAGAGAAGCTGGGGTTCTGCAAAGTGCTTGGATGAGCGCATGACAGCGCATGTGTCCAAACAGCTTGTCGCATTGCGTGAAATGACCATGCCGAGATGTCCTTACTTACGGACGGAATGTTTCGAATCGGATTGATTACACGTCGTGGACAAAGGTGTGGGGCAATCTCCAGCATGAAGTAAATCTTCCTAAACGGCCCGGAGACTTCGGGCCTACGTACGTTCCTTGATGCAAAGCTTTGGCAGAGAGACTTTGTGACCCCGAAAGTTCTTGCGAGCAAACCGTGCAAGGAGCAAGGTTGCTGAATGACGGTTATGAGATTCTGTGCAAGAATCCTCTGTGTCTCTCCGCCCTGCTGATGCGTCGGGTCCTGGGAATTGGCTTCGAAGGGGAAACCTGACCCCTGTCATGAGAATTGTAACGACCCGAGAATAAGAACCAAGACCCCAAAAGCACTTCCTGAAACCCCCTCACTTCCAGGCTTCTCGGCTCTTCACAGTCGTAGCATCTTTCATGCAGTGTCAGTAGCAGCAGCTAATGACTGTCTGCCGCCTTGCCCAGGCGACGATAGCCACAATCAACACCAGCTGCGCCGCGACGCCGGCTCCTCGTGAGGCGAGGTGCTTGGAGATGGGATTCAGGGCCTGCTCAGGTTTGTTGCCTCAACATACGCTCAGGCTTGACCCTGTTTTGCGAGGCTACCCGAAGGCGTCACAGGCAGGTGCTTTGCCGGCAATGTCCGGAATAGGACTAAGGGGACCCTTGGGGATATAGACCCTATGTATAAGGTCCCTGTGTAAGAGAACCAGATGACTTGTAAGGGTCCCCCTTATCCTAACAAGGAAAGGTGTCACCGGCAAAGGGCGTCAGCAAATTGGAACTGGCCCGTACCTGCTTCGCAGGCCTCTGTGGTATGTTGCTTCAACATGCGCTCAGGCTTGACCCTGTTCTGCGAGGCTACCCTCACAGGCAGGTGCTTTGCCGGCAATGTCAGGGATAGGATTAAGGGGACCCTTGGGGATATAGACCCTATGTATAAGGTCCCTGTGTAAGAGAGCCAGAAGAGGGTTGAGAAGGGTTCCCTTTTAAGGGTCCCCCTTATCCTAACAAGGAAAGGTGTCACCGGCAAAGGGTGTCAGCAAATTGGCAGGCCTCTATGGCACTTGCACGTAACGCCATAGATGCCATTTGATCTTTCTCAAAAAGATGGCTCAGATTGACGTTTGGATCTTCAGCTCCTTAGCTCCAGCATGCAATTCAGGCTTCTGGTATCTGCAACAAACTCGAAGAGACTTGAAGAGATCTGGACTCCCGCGATAAACGCTACTAGAAAAAAATATATATACATATATATATATATACATATATATGTATATATATATATAGAGTAGATTTCACAATGCACAGGGCACGGGAAGCAGATGCTCCATGCGTGGCTGAAGGTCTCCGACTTGGCACCATTATCCTTTCGGGAAAAAAGGCAAAGAACGCATTGTGTGCATGAGTCGCACTCTTGGCAGATCTGCACGGTCCCCAGCTCCTGGTAGGCCTTGAGCGAATCGCAGGATGGTTTGTAGAACCAGCATTGGAAATCTGGTGGGCCAGACACCTGTGCCGCAGCCAAAATGCGCACACACGAACACAAACATAATCGCATACACATGTGCGATAGGCAACAGGAGCTTGTCATCAAGCCTTGCTTTTCAGGAACGTCGGCTCAAAAATTAAATGGCGCCTTCTAGGGGATGTTGGATTTGGACTTGCGTCAAGCGCTGTCCGAGGATTTGCAGGCTCTGCTCGCTTTACGCATAGCATCTAGTGGCTTCACCCTGAAGGCTGCAGCATGCTAATTCTTTGTTCCAGGATGGCAACGAAAGATTCCCATGAAATCGTAATTCGCTCTGATCAAGGCTCCGTAGGTTTCGCCGCAACGCTTTGAAACCACTTCGTCGTCTGCTCCAGGATCTCGCAGCGGTCCTGGCATCTTTTGGGGAGCATAACTTCACTCTGCCCTATGGGAACGGGACTTTCGCACTCTCTTTGGCTTTCCGCGCCTCAGACTTCCGGATCTCCACAGCATTGCAGCCAGGAGAGTCCTCACACCGCTTCTGGCACTCCTTCACCGTCATAGGAATTTGGGCCCCAAGCGTCTTGCATGGCCCATAGTGGCAATCCTCAGCTTCAAGCACACGATTGTGAGCTCCACTAGTTTCGAGTTGCTGCTAGCTCGGCTATGGATTGAAGCATTAAAGCGTTTAAAGTTTAGTGCCGGGGCGCATGAGCGAGGGTGATGCTTGGCGTGTCAGGCAGAGTATCATGATCTCCCTGGTCAGCTCGGCAGACTGTGCTCTCGCCCATGAGAACCCACTCATAGCCAGCCTTGGCAGCCTTGGGGGCGGGCTCCGGGGCCTTTGCTTCTTTCGTAGGCCATGGGGGAGGTGCATTCATGCAGCTCACGCCATCGTTCCACCTCTCGATTGCTTCGGCGTCTGGCATTTTCTCCAAGCCGACTGTCCAAGCTTTAGTGTCAAGTGAGCTGGGATCGATGGCAACAATTTGTCCGCGGCTTTTGTCGTTGGTGGCCATGTACACGCGGTGATTGCCTTTTGCATCTGTAAATGTCCATGCTGCACCGTACTTCCTTTGAACTGGCGCGCCCCTGGCGGTCCATGTCTGGCACTTCGGTTGGACGTCGGGCCCTCCGCTTATATCCAAAGTCTTGAACTTCCGCTCATGAGCCAACCACAAGAGCTTGAGGTCCCCATGTAACATGAATGCCCAGTCTCCACTTGCGCAGCCACCATTCCTCCAAGCTGGGGTGCTGGTCCTGTCAGAGGCCTCATGTCGCGATTCAAAGCTCTTGCCTGCCTCCGTGTGCAAATCTTTCAAGAAGACCAATCCTGATATCTGGCACTGCCCAATGACACCAGATGACTTCAGGTATGTTCACTCCGATTCACTACCTGCCTGATAACAGCGACTTCTTTAAACTTGTTGTTGCACTGACTTCCCTATTCACAGGATTTGCCCTGATCAAGGCGCGTTGTGTGCCTGTGCAGAAGTTCCCATCCAAGTCGAAGGCACCGGCTTCAAATGTTGTAATCTTTTTGGGAAGCTGCGCCACGAATTCAATTCCTGCGCGCGACCGTACCCGCTGGAACTTGACAAGACTGACAAGAACCAAAAAGATTGGCCCTGGTCCTGCTTGCTGCGATTCCAGACCGACAATGCCAAGCCGAACCACCCAGTATTCCTTTAGCATCAATGGTGCCACTCAGTGTCCATTCAGTCGTCAGTGGTCTGAACTGAATAAAGACCAAGCAGCGGCAAGCGTTCGTCCTGCCGTGAGTTCCATCACGCAGCAATACACAAAGTCGTCCTTCGGGTTGATTGCCTCAGCACGTCCGGGCAGAAGGCATCAGCTACGTGATCTTCACCATGGCACGAACATGACAAACATGGAAGAGCTAGCAGCTACCGGCAGCTCAAGTTGCGCAAGCATTGAGTTGGTGAAGCTTGGGGTTGCTCCTTGGGATCGATGCCAGCTTCTGGTACTTGCCAGAACGCACGTCAAGGGTCTCCAAGTCCCAAGATTCCTTTCTGTCATTTCTGACCTGTATCGGAAATCCGGTGTTGCAATCCAACGGCTTCAGCTTCGGAGGATTCGGAGCCTCCACCAACATCGAGGCAGATTCTTGCACCGCACCCGAGCGGAGGTTGTTCAGCACACTGCGTTGGTGAGCCCACACACCCACGAAACCCAGTAGAAGTAGAACTAGGCTGGTCCCAAGTGCGCAGCTGCGAGGCCTGCATCGCGAGGCTGATGCTTCTCGCACTGAGACTCCCTCCTCGCTAGCTAAGAGGGAGCGCAGCTCTTGCTCCATGTCTGGTTGAGTCTCTACTGGCGACGCAGCTAAGCACTGATTGAATCTGATTGAGCCAAAGGCTCACAAGGCAAGAGGCCTGGCAAAGACGCGCCGTGCCTAGTGGTGTTGGACAGTGTTGGAGGCGGGAATTCGGGACTCGGGGGCGTCACCTCACGCCCAGGTCTCCTTCTCCTCAATTTTCTTTTTCTCGATTCTATGTTTACACAAACAAACACGTTAGACAACTTTAATCAAGGACAAATGGCTAATGAGTTTTTGAAAACCATAGACAACTTAATGTGTTTGAATATGTGGATATGTGGGTCCAGGGGCTTCAAGTTGGGCCCACAAAGGCCAAATCGCATTGGGGGATTCACTTCGTTCATCCGTTTCCGAATGTGAATAGTACTATACCCCTAAGAGGTAAAAAAGGGCATCACTAATTGCTTTGTCACAGGCGTGAATGAAGTGAACCAGCGATCGGCCCGTCAACGCCCTTTTCATATAGTGCTCATATTCATGATCAACTTTCACTGCACGGACCGGCAGCTGAGCTCTGCTTCTACACACAATGCTGAAAAGATCTGAAAAGTGTCAGGGTCATGCAATCTGTGAAACTTCTTGTGTGCTCTGTTCATGCAGACCTGAGGGTGAATCAGTCGGGCTCATGTTCAAACACACCTCTGTGATATCTCGGGCCAGCTGGAATGCGGGCACGGCAGCGTTTCAGCAAAGCCAGCGACTCTCACAAAGCGCATGAAGCAGGGTACAAGAATGACGATGGCCCAACTTGGCTACCGAGTGGGGGTATCGAACACACGGCGGATCCTTCCATGACAACTACCTTAGCCTGAGACAGTATCACTGGAGGTAAGCTGCGGGGAGCTACCCGCGAGCGACGACAGGATCACTCTGCAGAATACTCCGCAAGAGAGGCGACGCCCGGAAGAACCTAGTTGACGTCCGGCCCTGATTCTTTCCTTTGCGTGTCCTCAAACTGCTGCCATAGTGCTTTGGCAGAACAACAGGAATCGACAAGCGCAACAAGTAGAACATGAACAACGCAACAATCATAACCACCTCGAACTTCAAACACAGCGAACCTGCCTCTTGTGAGCTCACACACGACCTGCTAGACTGAACAGACGACCTCACAACATTAGCAGTGCAATCGGCTTAACCCGTGTATCGCAAGCACCTATAGCTCCCCGCACTGAAGGTGAAGTCTCCGAGAGGCTGAGCAACATGGAAGCTAGAGGACAGGAGCCCCGCCCTTGTGTAGAGGCGCTGAAGAGAGGCAGGGGTGCAGAGGCACTGAACAAATAATTGCGACACCGCTCGAACCAGGTGCCTCGACATGTTTCCGCAACTTGCCGTGCGTCGTGGCGTAGCTGGGCCTCAGTATCCCTGTGAGGAGGTTTGTCCGCGCGGTGCTGTACACTTGCCAGGGATGTGGAGAGGCCCGCCCTGTCCATCCGGAGCGGATCGAGGTGCTCAAATCGATGCTTTGGGCCCCTCGACTGTGCATGCCCGACTGTACACTCTACATAGTGCATGCCGTTGCTGCGTCTGCATCAAAAGAATGCAGAATTATGCTTTGCTCATGGGCCTCTTATTCAACAGCCGCCCAGCACAGCGCCATTCTGACCCTTCTGATCCTTTGCCATCACCACCAGGTGCTCGGCCAGGCGCGGCGCGCCTCCTGCGAGCTCGGCTCTGGCACGCTGCACCGCCCGACGGTAGCTGGCCCCACCACTCACCTGGCGCAGGACATCCGCCAACTGGGCTGCGGTGCATGTCTCCATGGGCTTGAAGAAGGCTTGGCCCCAGCCGCGGTCTTGCACCTTGCGGGCGTTCCCAGGCTGGTCAACAGCTTGCGGGATGGCCACGAGGGGCACACCCGCCATGAGGCTCTCCTGAAGGCTATTGAACCCGACATGCGACACAAAGACGGAGGTGTAGCGGTTTAGCATCTCCACCTGTGGCACAGACTCGCAGACAAATACGTTGCAAGGCAAGTGCTCGGAGATCTCTTCTTCGCTGCTGCCGAGGAAGTCCAGCGCATCTGGCTGCTTGCCCGCCGGCAGCACGCAGAAGTACTCCTCACCAAGTTCCTCCAACGCCGCGAAGAGAGCCTTCCACACGTGTTGGCAGAAAGCTTTGCCGGTGGTCCCAAGGGGCAAGTTGTTGCCACTTAGTCGGCCAAGGTCGATATTCCACCTGTCCAACAGTGCCATAGTACCGAGGGCGGCATAAATGATCTTGCGACCCCTGGCCAAGTGATCCATGAGCTCTGCAGTGGGCAACGCGTTGCCGAAGCTCTTGGCGGAGGCGGAAACACTGTGTGTTGGAGTCGCGCTCACCGTGCTCACATGTGGTGCAGAGGCGCTGACCAGGCAGCCGACTGCGGTGAAGCTAAAATGGGCGCGCAGTTCGTCGGCCCACTTCTGCTCTCCTGGCTTTGGCAACTCGGCGACAAGATCCTCACAGGTGGTAACGAAGTTTGTCTCAGAGTAGTACTGCCGCCGGGTCAGGAGGTGGCAAGACAAGTCGATGCCAAACTTGTCCTTGATGGCTTTGCCATACGGCTTGCGGATATCTGCGAACACTTCCAGTCGGCCTTCCGCCTCCATCAAGGAAAGCATGTCTCGCAGGCTCCCCATGCCCGGATACGTGACCAAGGAGGCGTATGGGATCCCAAGCCTCCTGGCCACGACGATGCCCAAGGGCACCCAGGCATCGTAGAGGACGACGCTGACGCCAATCTGTCGACACCGCTCGAGGACATACTCCCCACACTTGAGGATGGTGGTGAGGGGCCAGACAGGATAAAGGGCACGGTCCTCCACTGGTATCTGTGTCGGGCACGGTGGCTCGTCGACACAGCACTTGTCCATCTCGAAGTCAGTCGGATCTTCTGGGAGGTAGCCTTCCACAACCGCCCCAGACTCGATGGCAGCGTCGCGGATTGAGGCCACGGGAGGCAAAAAGTAGTGCACCTTGCAGCTGCGCTTTCGGAGTTCCTGCACCAAGGCGAAAGTGGGGTTCACGTGGCCGATCAGCGGTACGTTGAAGATGGCGACCACGGGCCCCTCCACGTTGTCGGTCCGATTCAGCTCAGAAACAGGCGCCATGAATGCGAACTTCAGAAAGCGGGAGCTTGCAAGACATGCAGGCTTGAACCAGAGCATGCCCAAGTACAGGTGTTGTTGGGCATTGGGGAGTCGTCCCTGAATTTACCAGCCCTGCTGAACCCATGCCAGGTCCCGGAACGGCTGAACCTGTGCTCATCCATGGGAACGCTAAAGTACATCAGGTCGAACGCAACAAGCTGGTGTGACCCAGAAGTAGCGGACCGTTTCGTACCAGTAGTACGTACCTTAACACTCTCACATCTGCTTATGCTCTTTTGCAGGGCGCTGTCTCATCTCCATGTCTGTCGTGATACAATTCTTCAATCTTCAATGCACAGCAGCTGCACATGATCAATATTCGTTCATCTGGACTTGGTTTCTTCGTGGAATATGGCTTTCCTTTCGCCGGGGCCTTCACACGCCATGTTTGTTGTAGTAATTAACGTCGTCGTCGTAGTAGTGCTAGTAGTCGTCGTCGTTGTGGTGGTGGTCTTTGTGGTGTGGTAGATTGGTAGAACTATAGTAGGAGTAGTATTTGACGCCGCGTCCGTTTGCATCCGAAGGCCGTTGCTCATCGGTAAGAGTTGCTTCTGGCAGCAAGGCTCATGCCTCGACCATGCCGGTGTTTCGGGTTTCAAGGCCCCATTCCGGCTCCCCTCCCCCCGCCAAGCCTGCAAGCCAGAGCCGAGATACCCCGGCACTGCGTGCGAGCAGCTGATGCTACACAGAACATCGGGAGCGATGCATCCGCCCAAGATCTGTGCATTGGACAGACACTTTTGTCCTTCTTCTGCGCGGAGCGGGCGAGATTGTCGGGCTGCTGGCCACAACTCTTTCGGATCTGCATACATACTACTGACCAGATATAGAGCGAGGAGAACCATCTACGATAGAGCTGTGCGTTTTTCATTCTGCTGGCTCCGAAAAGAGATGTGCGCACAGAGCCGTCTCTCTCTCCAGAAAGGGATAAACATCGGATAACGTACACCATGTGCCTTGGGCACCGGGTCTCATTCCAATCTATGCCTTGGGCATAGGTTTCCTTGGTCCGAGTCTGAAGCTGACAGAATGGCACAACATGCAGCAACATGCAGCAAGGAGCTCCTAAAAACACTTTGCATGTTTTGGCTTTCTGCTGGGACTTGCACGCTTTCGCGACCATCTTCCGCTTCACGTCGTTCGTTATCGTCTTTGCCTTCGCCCGGGCTCTGCTGCCATGCACTTCGCGAAGGCTCACGTGTTTTGAAGAACAGCGAATAAGGACCGCGCTCGAGTGGCAAACTTCAAGGTCATGACGGTCTCCTGAAACTGTACGGAGAACATCCACTCCACCTCCCACCCCCCCAAACCCTACGCATGCGGCGTGTCCTCATAGTTGGAGCTTGCCGGTGAACAGTTCACGAACATCAGTGTCTTCGACCTCGACTCGGGTGTAAAGTGCAATGTTAACCACCAGGGAGACTCAACACGAGTGGCTCGGCTACGGACGTACCACCAAGGGCATCTGACCTGCAGTGATTCTCTCTCACATTGTCGACAGTATACTTGGTCGCAAGCTGAGAGCCTAACATCACCTGGGTGAGCTTGTGGTTTTTGTACGGCACATGCGGAGCACCTCTTCTAGACACTGGGAGAGGACACTCACACGGCAGTCTGTGACGTGTGCAAAGTTTAAAGGCCTTTCACCAAGGACTCCATGACCTGAGGAGCACGTCACAAAGCCGAAGCTTCTCGTGATTCTCGTGAGTTGGTTCGGCTGCTGATGCAAATAAGTCGCATCCCCCAAAGCTGTCAACGACCTGAACGGCTCGGTGCTGCCGAGTCTGCAACATGAATGTGCCTTCATTCGAGGAAATGGGCTTGTTGATCTCGATGGCTTCCTTCTGCGCGTCGCCAGAGACCTGGGTACATCTGCAGCTGCATGGAGTGCCGAATGAGTTGCCAAACTACGCTATGCTATGCACCGACTATTCACTGATTCATGGGGCGCCAACGTCGGACTTCTTCAGTCTCTCCGACCCGGCCAGATCGCAAAGAAGAAGCCTGGCGACCAGCATCGACGTGTCATGAGAACGCCAGGCGGGCGTTTTGCCAATCTACGGCAAGAACCACTGAAAGGAACGTGCGCACCTTGCAACTCTGAGTCGTTGAACAACTAGGCAGACGTTACAGCGTACGTTGTACATTGTGCCTCTCTTGAACCCAAATCAGAGTCAGTGAGGCTTTCCACTCAGCTTCTGCTCGGTCTGCTTGTTAACACCTCAGATGTTTCCTGTGGAAATGCTCCAAGTATGTGCCATCCGGGCGAGTTTGTGCTTGTCCAGGCCGCCGCACCAACTACTCGGATGATGAGGATGAGGTGCGAGCGCGAACCTGCTGCGTCTGAATCTGTGGGGGGGGGGGGGGGGGGTGTGGTGCCAGAGAGCGAGCGAGAACTGTTCTTCCAAGATCATCTTGGGCTGGGAGCTCAAGGGTTTCATTCTCTAGATGTGCGTGAATAAACCGGTTGCACTGCGACAAGACGTTCTTTGGGAGTCTTTGGTGATCGAATGCACATCTGACTGAGCGTTTCTGATAAACCGTTACTGTATGTTCCTATTTGCCAGGGTCTACGGAAAGCTTACAGTACGAAATTCTTGCCACAGACCTGCTTCATCTGCGAATGCAGTGGCGGGCTTAGCTCAGGGCTCTCGCTGTTCATCTTTGTCGCACCTGTTAGTGAAGACTCGGAGCTTTAAGCATAGAGCCAGTGAAGGAGTTTCCAATTCGGGCTGTTGTGCTACAGTGCTACATGGTGGGCCGGGGGGGGTCTGTTCATACTTTGACTCGTTTGGGTCTCCATGGTGGCAGCGCGGCGCGAGCGAGAATGCAGAACCCCTAGCTACAAGTATTGAGCATTTACAAGCCTAAAGCCTACTTCAAAATCTTGACGATTCTCTCAGAGTCTTAGTCTCAGTTGGGGAACACAACATGAGCAAGTGCTGGGCGCATGGCACACGGTCCTCATCTGGTTTCCCCTCCTTGGCGTGCAAGGCTACATCTTTGGTTCAACTTACTCAGTTTCCCACCCCAAACATGATCAGTTCCCCATAAGCAGCCGGCTCCAAGAGGTCAGACAGGGCCTGTCACAGGAGCTAGGATCGGCGACCCCACCAGGACCCTTCTACTTCGGTGCTCGGATACTCAGAGCTTAGGAGGTCTATAGGGTTTCTGGGTGATGGGAGGTATGAGGTCCTGATAAGTCCTGGGAATGTGCGTCCAAACATGAACTCGGTACACTTCTCGATTTGAGTGTCATCCCTTCTACAGAGTCCATGCTCAACAGGCCTTTCTATAGCGCTTGAATACGAGGCTGTAAAGGACTTTGCGGTTTCCGGGTCCTGATGCGGCTCAACCTCATGAGAGCCTCGGCGGTCTTGCACTCCTCCTCCCGCAGATGCTCGATCTGAACCGCGCCGGACTGGCGAGGAAGGGAGAGAGAATGCCATGAGTGGGTTGCAGATTATAGGACTTATAGACCTACAGGATTGTACTTGCAGGGTTATTGAAGCAGCTCAATAACCGAAATCCAAACAAGGCGAGGGAGGAATCACAGTCGTCTTGGCCTTGTCCACGCGCACGTTCAGCTTCTGCTCCAAGGCCGCAGACTCAGCGGCAAAGATCGGGGCCAACAACTTATCGTAGTATTAGTGTTCCTATTTGTTCAGGAATTCTAGGCCCTGTAACTACCCCGTTAAGGGGGACTGTATGGGACCCTGTAGGATAACTTCCATGACTCGGCCAGGGCCCGCGCACCAGGGTTTTGGCTTTTCCGCTTCCTCAGGTGCGTAGAGCGGGTGTTCAGCTCGCTGCGAAATAGTCGGGCAGCTTCAAGGGTATTGGAAAACCCCACAATCTCATGCAATCCCACAGTTAAAACCCCAAACACAGCAACCCTAAACCTCTATACGCCCTTCATGAAGCCAAAGTGAAGCGCCAAGGTGCGGGGAGGCGCCGCCACTCTTGGGGACCAGCAAATCGACCAGCCTTGCGTGGCTTCTTGCTACTGGTTTACTGGTGTACCATGGTGTACCCCATGTTGCCCATCTGCCCGGTCATTGTCCAAAAGGGGGATTGCAGTTGAGGTAGGTGCTGGCAGCTACTGAGTTGCTGCGCTTGGAGCTTTGGAAGCGGGAAAAAACGGAACCTCCAGGAACTTCGGGCACCGGGGCTTCCATTCCCAACCAAGGAGCTCATTGCGGTAGAGCTCCATCATGCTGGCCATGACCTGGCAAGCGGCTTGTCGAAGCGCATTGCAAGGCACAGCTGTTTTGCAATCGTGTGCAAACATCCCAGCAAATTCCCCTATACCGCTACTATCCCTACTGGCCCTATACTCAATGCATGGCGTAATTAACACCAGCGGCGGAGGGTATCCGAATGCGATACGCTGCCCTAAGCTGCCGTGATGGTCTGCCAAAAAGGAACAGGTCTGAATTTTGTTTCTCGCATCTTTGTCGGCTTCTTCGAGCTCCTGGCCCGGCACTGAACGGACTCGCATCAAGGCTCCCTCGTACAACAAAATGATAAAGAACTACCGGATGATGGAGACATCGTTGTAATCCGCCGAGGCCTTGCGCCGTAGTTGTATGGGGAGAACAACGCAGGCACCCCACCTCCGCCCGCCCACCCCCCCGATGCCCCCCTCTCCTTATTTCGCTCTAAGCAAGCAGAACAAGCACCTCTGCGCAGGTCCCGGCCAGGTCGCGCAGCGTTAACATTACTGAATCTTCTCTGCTGTCCTCCCACTTCTGGAACAGAGCGCTCTGCTCAGCTTCCAGGGCCTTGCAGCAAAGGCTCGAAGAGAACGATAAGAGTTTCCCCCGATGGTTCGGAAGAAGGGCCCCCTTTCCTTAGGAGCCCCAATGCCGGTGATTCTGTAGACTGTCTGCCCTCAAAGAAGGCTTGAGGCCTTCCATTTTGCATTGCCGCAGCCTTTGGCTGCCCGATCATCCACAATTCGATGGGACGGGGTCAACACAGTCCTGCCGCTTCTCCAGGAGCTCGAGCGCCAAGTCGGCATCGCTGCCCGCGAGGGCCATCTCGTCATCTACACCGCGAATCCTTCGGTCTCTACATGGGAACAATTCAGGGTTCGACACTGTGTCTTCCTTCTCTTGAAGGGCATCCGGATGGTCGGCCGTGCGGTGCTACGCGGGTAGGGCCTGTTGTATACGGTTCCATGCAATGGGTGCGGGGGGAATGGCCTGCAAAGATACACACACTGCCGAACTGAGCAAAGAATTCCCGCAAGCTGCAACACTGCCATCATATGCACAAATCCACACGTTGCGACAATCCCGTACTCAGAATAATGTCTAGAAAGGTCAAGGGGTATAGCCACACGCTTCATTCGGGTGGGGGGGTGGTTTTGGACGAGGCTCTTCTCGTCCATCATGTCGATTCGGCGCTCCAAATCGCATTTCCTCCGAAACGCTCCTCACGTTCCAGCGCACAACATGTCAACATGCAAGTAGGGTCCTTGGTAACTTTCGCATAACGCAATAGCTTTCCTACAATTTCCCTGATTTCAGGTCTTCTCGATATTGATAAGCTGCATATGATAGGTGCAAGGTGCTCTACTTACCACTACCAACTGCAACACAGCAAGGCGGCGCGCGCGAAGGCAAACTGCGGAGAAGGCTCGGCGGCTCGCCAAGCGTGCAGCCTGACGTGTTTTCCTTGCTACTCTATAGTCGTGCATGCTGAACATGAATAACATGAATTCCTAAGTCCCATGCTTCAAGAGTGTCCTGAAGACAAAAGGGGACCACTTCGCGTCTGCCATCCCACATACAGACCATCGAACGAGGGTCAATCTCCCAGACTCTCATCGCAGTTCCCGCCAGGGAAACTTGCAGCCTTCAAGCTCCAGTCTGCCCCTGAGACAATGTTCCTCAAAATGCAAATTCCGGCAGAGCCAGCTCGAGGCATCTGGCTTTGAGGATGCTTGCTTGTTTACCCCCATAAGAGACCCTCATTCAGGTACCCTGCCCTTACGCCCCTGACCATTCAGGCTTCCTCTACGACTCTACAATCCTATAAGACCCCAAACCTCACTCCAACCCGCCTCCTTCTCCGGGTTCAGGAGAGTTTTCTTGGACTTGGAGGTCTTGGCAGTCTTGGATTTCGCCGTCTCCGGCTTCAAGCGGGCAGGGTCCAAAGGGGTCCTGAGACAAGGGAACGAACCTCTTAGGCATGTAGACACGTTGCTGGAATTGCCCCTCCTACTCCCACCAATCACTATACTGCTACACGAATGGATGCACCCTTCTCCACTGTTTTGAACCGGTTTTACCTACATGGTCCCCCAAAAGCCGCCAAGCCAGACATGAGCTGCAAGGAAGGCACACGTGCAAAGTGTCCACTTTGCCTTTCAGCAACACCTGGGTTTCGGAAGGGGGTTGGCTCCATGAGACCAACAGAACCCCGTCTGGGGTTCTTGCAAAGGGTTTCTCCATTCCTTAATTACAAGAACTTTTCAGATAAAATGCTACACACACATATATATATATATCTTTTATTTATTTATTATTCATTTATCTATACATAATATATCGGGCTTCTGCAGGGCTTCGAAGCCTTCTTCCCCCCCCCCCCCTGTGTTTTTCCATGCATGCTTGCTGGCGCCTTGCCAGCCGGCGATCCTTTGGCCTTGCTGACTTGGCCGCAGCTCGTTACGTGCACCTTCACGCGCCGGCCCTTGGCCTGCCACCCAGGAGGTTGCTGGGGCAATTTCGGGGGGGGGGGGGGTGGGGGGCTTGCTTGTTGAGGGGTTGATAGGGTCTAGAAGGTTCATAGGGTTTTATACGGCTTGAATAAGGCTTCATAGGGCTGAATGTGGTTTAGGGATATGGGCAGCCAAACCAAAGTGGCAAGTTGGTGAGTCAATGAAGTGGCATTCCATGCCTTGGAATAGAAGGCAGCAATACCTGGCGTGGCAGAAGTAGGGATGGCAAGCTGTACTAGCATGCGCTCTACGTACCCTTTCCTTGAACTATGCAGATCGCCTGCGGCCACATTCATGATGTCGCTCGGAGCCTGAAGCCTTTCGCCGTCTCCTGTGCAATCACACAGCTTTCAGCCACTGACTGTTGACATCGCTAAACCATCCCATAAACAAATTCATCAAGTCTGCAGGTTCAGGAAACTCGGGGGAAACGACCGTCCACAAGTTCTTCTTGTCACTGAGGGGTTGCTGGAGCGGGAAAGGCTTCATTATATGCTTAGGGGCAAAAGTCTTGGTGTATTTCAGTATTTCATCCCTCGGTGGACTATTGACTTGTGGAACTGGACTAGCGGGTGTGGCAACATGACACAGCCACGCATATTCCAAGCTGGGCCCCAGCCTCTCACTTCTCAAGGCGTTTACGCTCTGTGGGCACTTTCCAGAAGACCAGCTAAGCCGGAAAAGCTGTGTATTTCGACTTTCGAAATAAATATATCCTTTAAAAGCATAGACAGCTTGTGTTTTGACTTCGACTATGAACTTCGAAGCTCAAAGGCAAAACTTTCAAGCTTTCTTTGAAGTTCAACGTGGGTGTCGCAAAGTCTCCATTTTTCACTGGGTTCCTCTGAACTCGCTGCCCTCACTGGTCTCTTCGTGGGCTTCTGCTTCCAAGGTGGAAATGGAGTGGTGGTAGTTAATTTTGTCAGACTGGCGATCTCCTCCCAACCAGAGAAGCCATGACATGTAGCCAGTTTGCACAGGGTTGTAAGCAGATACAGCCTAAGTTAGCTACGTATTTCAAAGCTTTTCTAAACTAAAGTCATCTCATGTGCCTCGTTAGTTCGTGGTGTTGTTTCAATGGGTAAATTGCTTGGAAGTAGTTGACACAAGTCGTTTCTCTTGACAAATGAACCATAATGTATGTTGTATGCCCAGGATGTAGACAAAAGCCAACGGGACACTGCAAAGGAGGAAACTCCATGTGGAGAACCATCGGGGGAGGGGGGCCAACGACGAGCCACTCTGGAAGAGAAGGTGAACGTGGAGTGCACCCCCGAGGACATCACCCACCTCGACGACCGCCAGCAACCACAGAAAACGACAGCCACCACTTGGAGAACACCAACGGAAAGACCGTCTACAACACCAGCGAGCCGAGCGGGCCGAGCAAGATGCAACATCGAGTCGACGGAAGCCAACCACACCCCATTGGAGGCACATATGCCGGAAACCACGCCAGCCCCGACCACCCCACCAGAGGCCTTCGCATCAACCCCCGTCTCGCACAACCTGTCACGGGGGGCATGTGAAACACCATCGCCCCGTGGGGGCGAACAGCCGAACACTGGAAAAGACGGAGTACAGCAAGCCTGGGAGGCAGCCGAGAGCATACTAACACCACCGCTACCATTACTACCACGGCCACCATCACCGACATTGACACGACTACCCTCATCACCGCCGCCGTCTCCACCGCCACCTCCATCGTCACCGACAACCCCGCCGGCCTGGGGGAGCTCGGAACCTGGCTGCCTGGCTGTGACAATGAACAGCAGGACGAGAAGGAGGCAACCAAAACCACCACATGGTGCTTTTTTGAACTGTCTTAAAGCATAACTGCTATCAACTCGGATACGTGCAGTGGGGATCCACCGTAGTTGGAAGACTCGCATTTGCGTGCCATTTTGACGCAAGGCTTCATACATTCAGAGAAGAGCCTCACGCTTGGAATTCTGCGCGAGGCGCGGCTAGCCGTGCCACCACGGAGCCCCCATGGCCACCGGAGATGCTCAGCAGGCTTAGCAGGGCAAAGTTCGATGGAGGGGAGTCGGAGTTCATGTGCAGCGAGGCATCGAAGGGGGTCATGCACGGGGAAAGCGAAACAGGGAACAGTAGAAATAGTATCGCGGAAACAGCCTGCAACACCGATCCCCGCTGGGGCCTGGAACCTGTGCCACGTAACGGGGAAGAAGGCTGAAGGCGGGGCATGGAAGACGGCAACTCAAGATACGCCACGCTACACTATTCTCACGTGATGGTGGAAGGGCATACGTGCGTGCTGTGAAATTGTGCGCCTCTGGCTGTTTTGGCCTTTGGCATGTGAGGGCTCCTCAACACTGTACAGCTGTAGATTGTCCGGCATACGAGGGGAGGGCGGAACAAGAAAGAACGAATCAAAGGAAGCAATATAGAAACAAGTAAACAAAAACAAGCCAAGCCCGCTGCCCACGTGTTTTGCTGCTGCGCAAACATTGCCATGAAGGACATCATGCCATCAAGGGGACTTAGGCCCCCACAACCTCCCGCTGTATTCAGCAAGGTTCCTGTATTATGCGTGTTCCGCAAAACATGTATTCTGCAACTATAGACGCCTCGACTGCAATCGACACGGAACTTGCCGAAACAGCTGGAAACGCTGTAGACATGACTCTTTCCTTGTTGATACGGGGCTGGGGGTTTTCTGCGTTAGTTTCCTGTGTTTTGACTCATGACTCCCTGAATCGTGCTGTGCTCCATTCTTGAAAAAACACTCGCAGCTTCCGAAACCTTCATGCCACAGGATGGATGTGCGGCTGTGGCGCATGCTGTCGATGAGGCATCTTTGCGGAGCCAAAAACCCCTGTGCTTACAGAACCCACCACGTCGGACAACCGAAGCACAGAGTGAAAGCAAACAAAAATGGCAATCCTGGTCAACCATGTTTCGACCAACAGCCCCACGTGGCTCCTGGCTGTCGCACAACGATGTGCGAGCCCGGCACATCTGCCGCATGCATCCAGGGCCTCGGACCCATGTCCCATCTGCATCATCTGCCACTCCTCTTCTCCTACCCTCCGCCTCTGCATACGGCGAAAAGTCTTCTCCTACCCTCCGCTGCATACGGCAGAAAGACAAAAAGACCGCAACTCGCATCGCGTCGCCGTCTCCACGAACACGAGCTTCGTTGCAAGAAAGCGGCTCATCAGAGTGGCCCTCCTGCTCTTGCGGTTTGTTCGTGAGTCTTGCTACTATTATTATTACGATTATAATTACCATTATTATTACTAGTATTATTAGTATTATGGCTATCATCATGTTTGT